AGGTGCTAATCTTGAGCCCGGCAGCCCGCCCGGCAAGACCGCCCGTGGCAGAGTCCGCGTCGCTGCCGGCAAAGCTGCTGCTGCTGGGCTGGCCATCAGGGCCAAGAAGGGCGTCGACACCGGCCGACACGGGGAAGAAGTTGGGGTTCAGGGTGCCGTCGATGCCCCGGCCACCGCCAGCCGCCATGGCTGTGGCGTTAAAGACAGCAGCTGCGTTGCGACTGTCGAGAAGGCTGTGGAGGCGTTCAATCACTGCTTCCAGGAGTCCATCGATTCGATATGGCCTGGCGATCTGCAAAAGACTGCAGAGAATTTGGGGTGTGCACAGCGGCGAAGAAGGTGCGGGCAGGGCTGACGTGTACAGGAAGTGAAGAAGAGCCTGGACGGTAAGGTATGTGTGAGGTAAGTACAGACACCTCGGTCGACTGTTGGGTGGAAGGGTGCGTGGCGTCGGCGCCGTGTTGATGGCCGCAAGATCCATGGGTGGCGAAGAGACGGAGGATCCAGCTATGCTTGGCGCGAGGGTAGTAGTACTCGACGAAAACACAGACGATTGTCCAGGGCCTCGTCCACCCTGCGCTGAAACCGAGTTGGACCTTAGAGTGGCGGCATCACTGCCATCTTGCATCGCCGTCCCTTCTCGGAGGAGCTGCACAAAGTAAGGGCCCCACCTCCGGGCGACGATCCTCGAATTGATCGGTATCCTTTCACCTCCAATGCAAAGAATGTCCATATCAGCCAGCTCCCTCAGTGCCAAGGCCTTCTCACCAAGCTCCTCGGCAGCACGGCTGTGATACCTTCCACCGGCAGTAACACCCGCTTTGCGCGACAAGCTAAGCCCAGGCCCAGTATAGGGGCTGCTGGCACTAACGAAGCCACTCATTGGTGCCGTCTTGCGAGGGTTATCGTAAAAGCCAAAGGCTTCCAGTTCTACCATGCACACATTGCTGAAGTTTATCCTCCGATGATTGTAGTCGTCCACCAAACTCCTTTTCCTGTTGCCAAGAACCACAAAGGTGTTTCGCCTGTTCCAAAGAACACCGCGGTTCCAGCTTCCCTGGCTGAACACAGCTCCGCCGGCATCAATGCGACTCCACGTCAACGTCCGCAAATCCAGCGCCCAGAGAGCATATTCTTGCTTTGAAGATGTGAGGTATGTGCCGCTCACAACGAAGTGTGTATCGATGACACCTCCGTTGGGAAACCTAAGCCCTGGCGGGGTGTAGGAGCCGCTCATCGGTCGTTCGCTAAGGTGGCCATCGCTGGACCTGATTTGAAGCTCGAGCTTGACGTCGAGGAAGTTGTAGTTGCTGTAGATGAGCATGCTCGACCCAGCTTCCCGGGCCTCCAAACTCGCTCCTGCAGCATCCTGCCGAGCACCGTTCGGATGTGTCTTTCCAACCTTGGCAGCCACAGAGGGCGGAAGGGGTGCAACCACGCTTCTATATGCGCCGCAGCTCTTGCCCAGCGGCTGTGTTGAAACCCACTTCAAACTCCGTAGGTTGAAGACGCTTATTTGCTCAATGTAATGGTTGGCCGCATCTTGCCCTCCCACCACGATCATCTCAGCACCGCCCGTGCCGTCAATGTTGATGCCGATGCGCCCCTCATTCGGATTCCCACTCGATGGATTGTGCTGCAGGGCCGATAGAGGCGCCCTGTGGGAGGCAAATGTGGCGGATGACGGCAGGATGCAGGCGCAATGCGCATAACGGCCTTGTGGGGCGTCCTGTGTTGGAATGTAGGTCCATTTTTTGGTCGGTATATCGTAGATGTAGATATCCGACATGACCGTGACCTCGGGTTGTTGGTCTTGGGGTATCGCATTTTTTTGGCTCGTCGTCGGAGACATGCCGCCGTAGCAAACCATCTTTGTATCACCAAGCGCGCACATTGAGTGGAAGTAACGAGGTGGAGGGATATCGCCAGTCGTTTCCAACTTTGTCCAGTGCCGGCGGATCAAATCCAATTCGTAGAGGTCTGCCGTTAAGGGCGCTGGTCTGCTTCTTGATAATATCCTGCCGCCAAAGACGTAGAGCTTATCCCCCAGAACCGTCGTGGTTGCGCCGACCAGAGGGTGTGGTTCCCGACCCGTGGTTCGGTGAACATTACACATCAGACCAGACAGGTGTGTGGAAGGTCCAGCAGGGCCACCTATGGTTCCTCCCACCGTACCCCCCCTCGCCTGAACCGAGTTGGGAGATGCTCCGGCAGAAAGAGGGCCATTACTTCTTGGTGTCAAGTTTTCACCACGTTCCTCTTGCCCGTCCTGCCTGGAGCCATTGTTTAAATTCCCATTCACGTTCACTTCTTGATTATGATTGTCCCCTTGAGGTCTCATGTAGAGACCGCCGGCCTGTTGCTCCGCAGATGACGTCGAATCCATCGTTCCAGGCCTGTGATCTTTCTGTTCTTCGGTAGTTTCGGCGTCTAGAATCGTCGCCAGACTCCCCTGGGTGTGAGGATGTGCCAAAGGGGTCAGCGGGGATGCCGGGGAAAGCTGTGGCGGGGGCGGTTCGGGTAGGGGTTTCGATAGACTGTCTTGGAGGCTCAAATTCCGAGCATGGTGAGTTGGGCGAGCGCTCCTTGGAGGATTGGAGTATTGTCCCGGGGTTGGTTGTCTCTCGATCGTGGGAACAACAGTTTCCGAAGGCCGTCGAAGTCCAACAAGAGAGGGCTTCCTCGTGAGCCTCGGCCAGTCGTCTCGCGTGGGAGCAACCTTTTTGATGCCTCGGAAGGCAGATGTGATGATTTCTGAGGGGGACTTGGATGGTGAACGTTCGTCAGTCTCAGAGTCAGAGAAGCGGCTCAGATCCTGAGAGTCGGCCTGCTGCTGTCCTGATGATTTGCCGAATGTTAGCCCAAGTCCAGAACCCGACATGTCGTCCACAAAGCTGTGCCGCACAGCTGGACACACGACTAGGGCTAGCAGCCAAGCGAGGAGGCTCTTTCAGAGCGACGCGAAGGGCAAAGGAAGGTGAACGGACAAATGTCCGGCAGCGCCTTGGTCAAGGCCGGTACAAGTAGAGGTAGAAATGCAAATAGGTGTCAATATAGGTAAGGGGGGTCAAGTAGAGAGCCAAGGCAAGTGAGAAGGTGACGTGTCGAACAGGGGAGATGCCAGGCTAGAAGTATGTGTGATCTGTTGGAGTGGTAGTGTAGAAGGGGAAAACTCGGGGCAGCGGTTTAGAACAACCCGCCACCAAGGCACAGGCGAGGCGCGGTGAACACTGTCGGTCAACCAAAGGCCGGCGGTCCTGATCCCAGTCGTGGAGTTTTGCTGACGGGGGCCTGAGGACTAGGGGGGGCTAGGAAGCCGTCGCCGGTCGGTCGGGTGTCCCTGGCTAGCAAACGCTCCCGGGATCTCGGGTAGTGCTGTCTCCTGGTTCGGACCGCAACACAGAGTAGTGACGAGGAACCTTGGTGGTTTCGTGAGAGGACAGGTGAGGCGATAGGTGGACAGGAGAAGAGGGACGGTGAAGATGCAAGGCAACAGGAAAGATATGAGTGGGGGTTTGCGATGGAATGCTGTCTAGCGCACAAAAGGGCTCTGGAATACAAAATGACAAGGAGAGAAACTGGGGCATTTGCAATGGTGACGCCGCCACTGTAGCCGACGACAGACGGGCAGACAGACAGAACACAAAGGCCGAAAACCAGGAACATACCTCTCTCTCTCTCTCTCTCTCTCTCTCTCTCTCTCTCTCTGGATCACCACGATGTGTGTGGGTTTGTCTGCGGCACACAGTGCCTTGCGACGTTGCAGTGCTTAATTTCCGCGACAGGCCTGGATGGGGATGCGATTTGCGCGCGGTGAGTCGAGGTGTTGATAGGATGAAAGAGTCGACCCGCGATGTCCACCGCCTGCCCTTGGTGTGCAGTGCGGTCCAGCGGTCTCGAGGGCACGGACCGGACTGGCGTTTGATCTCGTCGGTCGAAGGTGGAGTTGTGTTCTATGAGGTCTGTGAGGCCCCTCACCACCAGGTACAAGGCACAAGGCACAAGGTACAGTTCTCTGTTGCCGCCGGCGGGCACACAAAGGAAGTATGTTCGTATGTACGGGTGAGTCAATTGGGCAGTCCCAGCAGTCACGTACGGTTCGATGATGTGCGCAGATTGGACATTCATTCGCAGGTATTGGAAGCATTCGAGAATTGTGGGGATGCCACCACCACCTCAAGTGTCTGCAACAAGGGGCTCAATTCAATATATCGACGCACGGATCAGTGCGTGGTCTGCCACCCGTCCTCGGTTAAGCGAGCTCTCCTGCAGCCAGACCTTCCAGACTTTCCATATGCTTGGGCTTTTGTTTCTTTGGATATAGCCGACGATATGTTGGCACGATTGGTCAGTCAAGAGAGCTTTCGGTGAAACTGAAACGTCCAAAGTACTCTGTGTGATGGCGGTAAGAAACACCTCAACCTGGCCATTTTCACACCATCCCTTCTGCAGTTGGTCAAGAAGCCTCCTGAAAATGCTCGGAAGTCCTCCCAAATAGGAAGGCCATCGCACGAATCAGCAGTGAGTTCTCGCAGTGACAGGCACCTCTCGTCTGACATGGCGTTCCATGTGATGAACCAGGTATCGATCTTTCCTTTCTACCAATGTGTTTCAAGTCTCGGCAAGGTCATGTCATTAAGAAGCAGCATTTTAATCATATAGCTCCGCAATAGGAGCGAGGACCTTGATGGTTTAAGGCAGACAGAAACAATTACAATTTCCACTAACAAAGAACTGGAGTTAAAAAAGGCTCATATTGCTCATGTTTGCTAGCTACATCTCAACAACGGCCTAGATTAAGCAAATAGCTTCCATAGAAGCTCCGCCAGAAGAATTCCTTTTGGTCCCTGTTCCCTGCCCATTCAAACGCCTGTCAACAATCCCTGACCTTTTCAAATCGGCGCCGACTTTTTCTTTGACTTCATTATATGCGTAACGTTCTGATATCATCGCCCCATTCCTAAACACCACACCATATCCTTCTCCGTCCGCGATCCCATTTAGTCAATCTCGGGGAGAGGGGTGAAGCGGAGGTAAGGCTTGACGGCACGGAGGTTGGGGAAGAGCTTGGTGGCCTCGTCGCCCTTGATGCTGGGGTGGACAATGACATCATCACCGGGGACCCAGTTGATGGGGGTGGTGACCTTGTGCTTGTCACCGGTCTGGAGGGACTGGATGACACGGAGGATCTCGGCGCTGTTGCGGCCGGTGGAGGCGGGGTAGGAGAGGATGCAGCGGATGGTCTTCTTGGGGTCGATGAAGAAGACGGAGCGGATGGTGAAGGCAATGCCCTTCTCATCGACGTTGGTGGTGTCCTGGTAGTCGATCCTGTGGTTACACATGTCAGTGAGTGCTTGTGGTATTGGTAGCACAGGTAGGTCCAGCTCACATGTCATAAAGGTAGGCGACCTTGCGCTCCTTGTCGGCAATGATGGGGAAGTTGACCTGGGAGCCGGTGACGTCCTTGATGTCGCTGATCCAGCCCTCGTGGCTACCGAGGGTGTTGGCAGAGAGACCGATGAGCTTGACGCCGCGCTTGGAGAACTCAGGCTCGAGGCGGGCCATCTCACCGAGCTCGGTGGTGCAGACGGGCGTGTAGTCCTCGGGGTGGGAGAAGAGGATGACCCAGTTGTCGCCAATGAACTCATGGAAGTCAATGGGACCCTTGGTGGTCTCGGCCTGGAAGTTGGGGGCAATGGTGCCCAGACGGAGGCTACATAAAAGTAAACAGTTAGTTGCCTGGCACGATGAAGCAAGATGGGGAGCTGGTGAGAGGGAACATACGGTTCGTTACGCTCAGCAGCCATTGGGAAGGTGTTTGGGTATCTTAACGTGAAAGTAGGGTATAGATGAAGACGATGAAGACAGGCTGCAGATGGGAAGAACAGGAGAAAGGAGAACTACGTATGAGGTGATGGAGGGGCAGACCGTGGGCATTTAAACTTGCAGCAGCTCCTGTGAACGGTGGGCTCCTCCGACTCCTTGGGCCTCCGACTCTCCTCAGCTCGCCTGGATTAATAAAGCGGCTTTTTCCTGGGCCTCGCTACGCGTGACAATAGCTGGGCTGGCAAGTGACCGAAGACATTCTCGTCCCATAGCCATCCATTCACGCCTTTGATCCCCGCGACAGCCCGAAACCAGCCGTCACAGAAGCTGCGAGCTCTCCTCCTGGGCGGTCCGACGCGGGGCATCTTGGGGGGGGATTTGCCCCTCCATCACCTTGACGTGGGGTAGAGAGCTGCCCCTCAGTGTCCGAATTGGGATTGGCGGCGCATTGCGCGATCAAGCACGCCCGTGATTGGTCCCGAAGACGACGTAAAATATTATGTCATTTGGAGTGTGTTGTCGCAACACTCACAACGCCATAGTGGGGGGGTTGCACTTTGGTGGTGATTATTGACAACGCCAATGTTGTCTGGGTGGATGGAGGCGGGGGCTACTGAAGTCATTCTTGGCACTCTCGTTTCAAGTGGGTTCGATACCTCCATCGCCATCCGCATATCGGAGCATCGGTTGCCGGTGGCTTGCTCACATGGCAACCAGAAGAATGGGGGTGTCATCATATACACAATAGGTCATTACTCTACAACAGTCCCGGGTATCAAAGTATGATGATCGACAGAGGAACAATGTCAACAAAGAAAAAAGGGCCATAATGAAACTCCAAGCGCCCGCTGGAAACCGTCCTCGCAACACCCTCCCGTCGTCAAAGCTTCACCTTGCCGCCCTGCAGCGAGCTCCAATCATTCGGCCCAAACCTCTCATATGATGCCCCCTTCAACCAGAAGATATCATCACTGCCAGTCTTGCTAGGATCCACGCCCTCGTTTCGCAGGCCGACCTTTTGCTGCTTGTTTGTCCCGGTGCTCTCGAGCGACCCATCCTTGGCGACTCGGAGGAAAAGAGGCAACGCGTATCTGGGCAGGTTGGCCATTACATGCTCCGCCAGCGTCTTGAGCGTCTCGCTGGTAGGAACACCGTCATGTCCCAAAGCCGAGGGCTTGAAAACCACGGCTGCGCATCCAGCCCGGCCCTCATGTCCCGGAATCTCTACGCCATACACATTTGACTCTTGGATTCCTGGATGAAGTCCCAGGATATGAGCCACCTCAGCGGTCGACACATTCTCACTCTTCCACCTGAAGGTATCGCCGATCCGGTCGTTGAAGTAGATCCTGTGCTCGCTATCTCGACGAACCACATCACCAGTCCGGAACCAAGCATCGCCCTTCGAAAAGACATTGCGCATGATCTTCTTGGACGTGGCACCCGTATCGCCGTAGTATCCCTGGAACCTCGCCTCTACATTCTTCGCCGGGAGCGAAAAGAGCAATTCGCCTGGCTCGCCCTCCGGTGTCCGCACGCAGAATCCAGTCTTGGGATCTCTGAGTGGCAATTCCGTCTCATGATCAACCTCGACGATGGCGATAGACCGGCCAACAAGCAGGTTGTACAGGGCGCCAGCCCGTCCTACGGAGCCCATGCTGAAGTCGTTTCTGCTCACGTTCCATGTTGCAAAACTTCCCTCGGTGGCGCCGTAGAACTCGGCAATCGTCTCAATGCCGTACCGCTCCTTGAAGGCATTCCACACGTCGGGACGAAGACCGTTTCCAAAGGCGACCCGGACTTTGTGCTTCTTGTCGAGGTTCTCGCCCGTGACGGGATCCAATTTTGTTGGGGCCGAGAGCAGATATCTGCATGTTTCGCCGACGTATTGGATGATCGTGGCATTGTGTTTTCGGACGTCGTCCCAGAAGTGACTAGTGGAAAATTTCCTGCTCATGGCAAATGTAGCGCCCACGTTCAAAGTGTGAGCAAATCCCAGCAGCATAGCCGTCGAATGGTAAAGGGGCATTGCCTATTGTGGTGGTCAGTGACGAAGCTTCCTCGCTGTAGACATGGCACCTACAGTGTAAAACACATCATTCTTGCCCGTGCCAACCAATCGAGATGTAAAACCACCAACAACAGCAACCTTGGCCCAAGAAACAATCGCGGCCTTGGGTAAGCCTGTTGTGCCGCTTGTGTAAATAAGTATGCCCATTGCCTCGCCCGCCGCACCACTCCGCAGCTCATCCGCAGGCCTGGTACCATCAAACGCCAACATCTGACTCTCCAACTGTGGTGTCACAACTTCAAACATGGTTCCGCTCAGCTCGGACTTGACATCCTCCCCAACGTTTCCAGCCACGATAGGGTCGATGAGCATCAACCGCGCGTTCGCCCTCTTGACGCAGTGAACGAGTGCCGCACCGGTGAGGTTGTAGTTGATAAGTGCCGGAACAGCCCCGATAGCCCACAAAGCCAGCAACAAGAAAATAAAAGTGTCGGTATTCTGGAAGTCAAGCGCAACCATTTCCCCCTTCTTCACACCCCGGCGATCCTTGAGAAAATTGGCATAGCGGAGAACTGTGTCGTAGGCTTGCGCATATGTGTAAGTCATGTCTTCAAAACGAAGGAAAACGCGGTTTTCTGAGGACTTGGAGGTGGCGAGGTCTTCGAGGCGGTAAAAGAAGTTGACACGATCACGCTGAGTCCACCATGCCACGTTTGCTACCGTGGGCAGGATAGACTTCAACAAGTGGAGATCGTAAGAGACCTGCCATCGAGCATTCAGATATGCTGCGGTGGCCGTCAAGGCCGAGGCGGCGACTGGAAGAGATACCGGCACTGCGGGCTGTCAGATATCAGGTTGTTGTACCAAGGACTGAGATGCATGTGAATCGGAAGCAGCTTACAAGCAGCCATGATCGCGTTTTTTTCCGGCTATTTCGAGGTCGCTAAACTGCTAAAACAGCACTGATGAACCTCGAAAGCGAAATGTTATTGCAAACAGGAAGGATTAAAGATCTTTATATAAAAACGTGGTGTCAATAAAAAGGCAAGCAACGTCGCAGCGGGCGAGTGGAATGTTGACCCTAACTTCAGATCCGGCAAGTCGGTCGTGGTTGATCGTACCTGGAACTTCTTAACAGCACTAGCAGGGATTGGTCGGATACAGCGCCGTCATCGACGGGTGGTTCCGCAAACTGACGTTGTTAAACGAAAGACCAAAGTTGAAGTGTGGGAGGGAGATATATATCAAGTGAGTGACAGATAGGGTGACACAGCATTCCTTATACCTCAATATCGGACTGCGTGGTGTCGGGAGGCGGTCACGAAAGCCGCCGGTAGGAACGGGCTGATCGTCTCGTTCAACGACCCCGATGCAACACAGGCCACTCGACATGCCTCCATGCTCTTCAAATGGACCTCGGTTCGTATGTACGCCACTGGGCGAGAGCCAAGGAACTTCCCATTTAAACTGGGCTGGTGCTCGTGGTGCCTCGCGAGATCCGGATAGGCGGAAGCACACGTTGAGAGTGAGAATTGTCACTCTTGGACCGCTGTCGTTCATGTGTGCCTCTGAGAAACAACGCCGTCCGGTTCCTATTGAACCTAGCATCCCAGGTGGTTGGGTAGTAAGTATACTTGTACCTAACCAAGTGACGTTCAGGGTCCAAGATTATGGGTTGACATTCAAACGGCGCGCAGTGCATGGAAGCGGCATCGAAGCTTTGACCATGTGGACCCATCGCGTTGGCTCAAGAGCTCCGACTCCGTGTCGCGAATGACGAGGAGCGGCGGGTTTCAACGCTGGCCTCCCGCTGCCGTTGCCATGCCCGACACCCGCTTATCGTTATCTTCACGTGCGCACCTGAAAGTGTCTAACCAGACTGGGAAATTTGGCTTTAATTGCTGCAAGCATTGTGTCGCGCTGGCGCATTCGTGGTGAGGCGTGTTCCTCTCGATTCAAGGCGCCAGCAACGAACTCGATGGACGCCGCCGAGTCCGCATCGCCATGTCTGCTCAACCACTCCCCAGCAACGACAATGACGTTTCCATCGCAACGATAGCCCCCAAGCAAGAAGCGCCAACTTCATCCAAAAAACTTCCCCCGCCAGAGAAGCCATCTGACGTGCGCCGGCGCAGCCATGTCATCCTCTCCTTTTGGCTGATTGTCCTCCTTTTGGGTCTCCCCATATGGTGGAAGACCACCACCATATACCGCGCCGATCTTCCCTTGGAGGACATGTTAGAATGGGCAGACGGAAAGGTTGGCAGTTCCACGGCCTGCTCCAAAACTGACTGCTAACGCTGCCCGCCATGTTCTAGGCCTGTCGCCCCGTCTTCCCCCTCCGCATCTCGATACAAGCCACATCGCTTCAGGATCAAGAAGCTCAAAACCTACTTCGACTGACCCAGCACGCCCTTGACGATCTTAATGATTTCGCCGGGCATCATCTTCGTCTTCAGATGGGCGATGAGAAGCAGGATTCGGCCGACAATGGCAGCGCCTTGACTATTCGCCTCACTCCAGGCGAGGGCACAACCGCAACGCTTGATCCATACGAACCTATTCTGGATATCACCTACCCACAAAATACGATACCCTCTCCAACCGCTTCCTCGTCGGCGCTTGCTACATATATCGCAAGTCAGCTAAGGACCACGTTCGCCGAGGAACAGGCCACCATCTCGTACCTCCTCTCGACGAACTCGATGCCCTCGGAACACAGGCCGCTTGGATTATCGCCAGAAACCGCCGAAGCTCTTGCCAAGCGCACGACAAGATCCTTGAAATATGCGCCGACTTACCATCTTACCTTCTCTCTGTTTACAAGTGGGCCTCTACCAAGTAGCTGGGATATCGAGACCGCCATCGAAGAGTACATGAAGCCCGTGCTGGACGTCCTCTCGCCCATTCACAATTTCACGATCGATACCCAGGTACAACTATACGCTTCACCTGGTGTTCAGAACCAAGTTCTCAACAAGGAGGATTTGTCCTCTTTCATCAACGCCGCGGAATGGCCACTGTCGCCCTCCATCGGTGGTGCGCCAACCATCAACTTCATTGTGTTTGTGGGGAACCAAACCATTGCGTCCCCTTCGCAGGAGGCTGCGCCGACCTCCCATTCATGGCTGATCCCCCAATGGGGCACCGTCTTTCTGCTGTCCCTCCCTGGCGACACCACCCACGTCGCGGCCACCACCCTCAAGCAGCCCCTTTTGACATTCACCTCTCACCTCTTGTCACTCACCGGCACCCCCGAGTCAGGTTCTCTACCCCTGCGCCTCTCCACCCTCGCGCGTATCCGGTCTGCCGACCTGCTCCTTCGTGCCTCGTCCACCCTTGGATCTCTGGCCCGTCTTGCCATGGCTCTTCCCTCCATCTCAATCCCGAGTAGCGTCGCAGACGGCGTCACAAAGACCATGTCGCACTTGCGCCTCGCTTGCGACAACCTAGGCGGCACGGAAGGACTGGCTCACGCGCGGATTGCAGAGGTTGAGGCGGAAAGGGCGTTTTTTGAGAAGAGCATGGTTGGGCAGTTGTATTTCCCTGACGAGCACAAGATTGCTGTTTACCTGCCGCTATTGGGGCCGGTGGCGGTGCCGTTGGTTATGGGGTTAATTAACGAGATTAAGGCTTGGAGGAAGAGGAGGAGGGAGCGGGCTGAGAAGGGGGCTGAGAAGAAGGGGGAGTGAGTAAATCATGGGGATAGCGAGCATGTTTTTTCTGTGTTGCTGTTATTTCTTTGTTTTGAGCATGCATTGTAGGAATGGAATGGCATAAAAATATGATGGCTGTAGGATGTTGTGTATATGGACTTGTGTAGTGTTGAGGGGAAAGATATTAGAGTTCTGGGCAACTCATACTGTTTGGAAAGTAGCTGCACTGATGTGTGGAAGTTCTTAGTCGGAAATCGTCGAAGCGGGTTTAGCTCAGTTGGGAGAGCGTCAGACTGAAGTTAACTTCAGGAAGTCAATCTGAAGGTCGTGTGTTCGATCCACACAAACCGCATCTTTTGCCATTTCTCCAAAACTGATTGGGACTTTTCACTTTTGTATTGTTCAATATTTTTATGATTTTGCAAGTTCACACATACTTTGCCTTTTCAGGGTGAACGTGGCGCAATGGTTTGACACGCAACCCGGTACTAGGGTAGGGGGTGTTGCTGAAGGAGATGAAAATATTGGCCATCAGCACCAAACTTTCATAACAGCACATTCTTGCCCAAACCATCACATACGACCATAGACAGCTGAAAATACGGCATCCCGTCCGCTCTGCCCGAGTCAAACAGCTGATCGCCAGACTAGTACTCAGGTGGGTGACCACTGGGGAATCCCTGGTGTTGTATGTTTTTTGGTGGCTTCTTTGACTCAGCTTAATGCCGGGTGAGGACTTTGGTAGGAGCTTACTGATCAGATCTTTGCTTATCTGGTTCATGTTGATCTTTTGAGGAGGTAGTTCAAGGCTATAAATCAACTACCTATCCTAACCATCTGTATTTGGGAATCACATAGTTGCTGTCTACCTCTTTACCCTTTTGCTTTCATCTTGAAATACTATCCAATAAACTACCTAGGTACGCTTACTTGGCGCAGGTCTATTGATAGCAGTTGAACCCATACGTCTTTTCAATAAAACTTTTAAAATCCCCACTCCAAACAACTCGAAAGCAATCCACAGTCCCCAACCCTCTCAGTCTTGACCACACAGCAGGTACTCATGCCGTCCCATCAAGCCTCCTCTGCTTAATAAACAACGCCAACACAGACGCCGACGCAGAAAAGAAAAACGACACCCCGTGACTCCACCACAACCCGTCCACATAGCTCTCAACAACCGCCTTTTGCACCACCCCCGTCGCCCTATCAACATAATCCACATCTGACACCGTCTCAGCAATAACCTTTGCAATCTCCATCGCCCCAAACCCAAGTCCGACAAGCCTATTGAACAGAGTCCTTCTCAGAGCAGCCTTCATAACCGCATTCGACACTGAAAGTCCCATTGTCAAAGCGATGGTGCTAGAGAGATACATGAACGAGATCGAAGGTGCCGCGTGGGCGGGGTCGACGACGGCTTGAAGGGAGATGAACACGGCTGACTGGGCGATGCCGGTTCCGAAGCCGCTGGGAAAGATGTAGAGGGATTCCCAGACGTTGGTGTTGCCGTGCCAGCGGAGCATGAGGAGGAGGTAGGAGAGGGAGGAGAAGGTGACGGCGAGGATGATGAGGGCCTTGTAGCGGCCGGAGCGTTTGATGAGGATGCCGGAGAGGACGCCGCCGATGGCGTTTCCTGCTACGGCTGGGACCAGGTGGGCACCGGCTGAGGAGGCGGAGGAGCGGGAGGTGATTTGGAAGTAGAGGGGGACGGAGAACATGAGCTGGGTGAAGTGTTAGTGATTTTTATACCTGAATTGTTTCAGGAAAACTTACTCCAAGCTGGGCGGCTGTTTGAAGTCCCAAAATCAGGTAGGAAATAACGGCATCCCGCTGATGAAAGATCTCCAGTGGCAGGATCGGCTCCTCTTGGCGTTTTTCGACTGCAACAAAAACAGCAATGAGCACAAAGCTGAAGCTGATGAGACTAATCGTGATGGGAGATGACCAGGGTAGCTTGACACCGCCTAGCTCGATGGGTGTGAGTAGGGCGAGGATCATAAAGGCGAAGATGAAGGACCCCTTGAAGTCGATCCGGCTGAACTTGGATTTGCGGATTTCGGCCTCGGCACTGCTGGTCGAGACAGAATCCGAGGTTGGCTCAGTGTGGCTCGGCAGATAGATTGCAACGAGGATGATGGCGCCCAGGATGATGGGGACTTGCCCGAAGAAAGACCAGCGCCATCCGATTACATCCACGAGCCAGCCGCCGAGAGGACCGCCGATAGATCGACCAAATGTAGCCACTAGATTGACGTAGGCGCGCCATTGAGCGACCTCTCGAATGGGAAGGAGATCTATTTGTTGTTAGTGATTGTGGTCAAAGCTTCCGGCTGTGCACCATTCCTACCAGTGATCAAGATTGACACCAGCGAAGCCATGCCAGAGGCGCCAGCCCCTGAAATGACTCGGCCAAGAATGACCTGGCCCATTGTCTGGCCGATGCCCCTGTTTGTTGTCAGTATTTATTTACCTCTTTTGCCGGAAAACAGCAAACTCACACAATAAAACTGCAGATGGTCAGCTATTGCTTCTTCTTAACAATCAGTCGGGATTTCAACTTACCAACCAAAAACGAAAATGGCATAGGCAAAAGTGACGAGCGTCTTTCTGCCGTAGATATCACTCAACTTTCCATAGAGTGTCTGCGTTGCCGCGCCGGCGATGGCAAAACCGGTGATCAGCCATGTCGAGTTGCCCAAGTCGTTGAACTCGGAGGCAATGTTGGAGTGCGTGGCCAGCAGGATGGAGCCGTCGCAGTGAGCAACAAAGATGCCTGAAGATTTTGAGTCTCAGCGTCATGAGTTTTCTTTGAATTGGGAAGGAAAGGAAGGGACGAACCGATGAACAGGACTGAAATGATGCGAGCCACCTGTGTTCTCGAGATGCCAGTCGCAATCTCCCCGCTGCGCACACTTTCTTCATCCACGCCGACCTTCTTCACAACACTCCCATTCTCATTGATTGGAAACGCCTCAGAGTTTGGCGGCGTCTCACTGATAACTGGCACATTGCTGAGAAGGGGCGACTGCTCGGTTGGTTGGCCACCTGCTGGGTCTGAAATTTGTGCCATGGTTGCTCCGCCAAACAATGGACTGCAACTGATCAGTTTTGTCGATGCAGTTATCACAAGGTTTTCCCAACAAGAAAAATCAATCGCGCTTCTGCCTTCAGCTCGTGGCCGGCCTCGGCCAAAAATCCGAAATAGTCGTCCCCGGAAACAAAGACTTATCGCCGGCCGGTGTGGTACAGCTCGGGCGATCACGACATACAAAAGGCAATGTCGCAAGGCTCGTTTGGTGGCATTTACCCCATCTTCAGGGGCTCTGCGAACTGCTAGTGCAGCTGCAAGCATGTTTGACAACACCACACGAAGCCATCCGGGATGTGGGGGTCGGTGGTGGTCAACAGCGAGTATTGGTCTTTGCAATTGCCGCGAACTATTACGCAATCAACAAGGCAGAGCTAAGAACCATTCCTCGGCAACCTCACAATCACCGGTCCACCGGTCTGGTGCCAATCAAAGAAATGATAAATATGAATCAAAATGTCTCTCCATGCTTCTTGGATATCTGTCACCTCATCAACCTCTTTGCATTGGCCCCCGAAGTGACTTGTCGCCATGCGTTTCTCAGGAGCTGCACTTGCAGCAGGTCTGCAATTGCCCACGGCGGCTTTGGCCAGCCATGGCAGCCAAAAGCCGTTGGGAGATGACCGGCTGGACAGCACACCGGCAACCAAGGGGGGCAAGCAGCCGAATATTGTCTTCATCCTGACCGATGACCAAGATTTGCACATGAACTCCCTCGACTATGTCCCCCTGATCAAGAAGCACCTTCTCGACGAGGGCACCCTCTACAAGCGCCATTACTGCACCACAGCCATCTGCTGCCCCGCCAGAGTATCTCTCTTGACCGGCCAGCAAGCTCACAACACTAATGTCACCGATGTCAACCCTCCACATGGTAAGATTCCTCTCACTACGCTGTGCCGGGCACGAGCTTACCAGGTATCCCAGGTGGCTATCCCAAGTTCATCAATCAAGGGTTGAACAATAACTACCTCCCAATCTGGCTTCAGGAGGCCGGCTACAACACCTACTACACCGGCAAGCTGTTCAACGCCCACACTGTCGAGAACTACAACTCGCCCTACCCGGCCGGCTGGAACGGCTCCGACTTTCTCCTGGACCCATACACCTACAACTATCTCAACTCCTCCTTCCAACGGAACCAGGACCCCCCCAAGAGCTACGAGGGATTCCACTCTGTCGACGTCCTCGCGGAGAAGTCCCTCGGCTTCGTCGACGAAGCCGTCAGAGCCGACGGCCCCTTCTTCCTCGGCATCGCCCCCGTCGCTCCCCACAGCAACGTCGAGTCGAACACTCTTGGGGATGACATGGGCGACGACTGGGGCAACCTCCCCGACATTGAGGAGTTCGCCAAGTTCGGCCCCCCCGTCCCGGCAAAGCGCCACGAGCATTTGTTCAAAGACGTCAAGATCCCCCGGACCCCCAACTTCAACCCTGACAAGCCGACGGGGGCGAACTGGGTCCGGCTTCGCAAGAAGCTCAACCAGGAGAATATTGACTACAATGATCACTTTTACCGCCAGAGGCTTCGCACCCTGCAGTCGGTCGACGAGCTGGTTGCTTCGGTTGTGGGGCGGTTGGAGGAGCATGGCGTTCTGGATAATACGTACATTTTTTACACGACCGATAATGGGTATCATATCAGTCAGCACCGTCTTAATCCTGGGAAGGAGTGCGGGTTTGAGGAGGATATCAACATCCCGCTTATCATTCGCGGTCCTGGCGTGGCGAAGGGGGTGGTTTCGGAGATTGTCACCACGCACGTTGACTTGGCGCCTACGATTCTTAACATTGTCGGTTTGCCTCACCGAGCGGACTTTGACGGTGAGGCGATTCCGCTGAGTCGGAAGGACATTGAGGACACGGTCAAGACGAGACACGAGCATGTGACGGTGGAGTTTTGGGGGTTTGCTGTTTCGGAGGGGGGCAAGTTGTTTGATGAGGATGAGGAGAGGTTGACGCTGAATAACACGTACAAGGGGTTGAGGATTATTGGGAGGGGGTATAATTTTTATTACGCGGTTTGGTGCAATAATGAGCATGAGCTTTATGATTTGAGTGTGAGTGCCCCCCCCCCCCCCCTTCCCTTTTTTCCCTGATATGAAATGGCAAAGATGCTAATGTTGGAAAGACTGACCCCTACCAAATCAACAATTTGCTTCATCCTACGACTACCAAGCCCAAGACTCTTCTTGGGGTGGAGTTTCACAAGGTGATTGCCCGGTTGGATTCTTTGTTGTTTGTGCTCAAGTCTTGCAAGGGGAGGACTTGTGTCAGGCCGTGGGAGGCGCTGCATCCGCAGGGGAATGTGGCCAATTTGCATGATGCGCTCGGGAAGAGGTTTGATGTTTTTTATGAGCAACAGCAGAAGAAGGTTAGGTTTGATAGGTGCGAGTTGGGGTATATTGTTGATGCCGAGGGGCCACAGTTCGAGATGGATGGGGTCGTGTATACAGCGGGGGCGGAGGGGGGGTATAAGAGGGGGGGGGTCAGTTGGAGTGAGTGGACTTAAGGGGGGGCAAGGTCGTGGAAATGTAAACATATGGTCATGATTATTTGGGCGGTTGATGAGGGTTGAAGTCTATGATTCTGGAAAATGGTGTTTGAGAGCTGATAGGAATGAAGTAAAAACTGTGGGCAAATATAGGTATGGTCTGAAGTGTTTCTCTGTTGACTGTGTATCCAAGTAATTTGGTAAAAAAGCCTCTTTGAGATTAAGATGGCGACTAGAATTGTCAAGATAGTCGACATCAATAGAAAGGTAAGGTAGCCGGTCTGTCAAGGCACTTATAAATACCCAATGTTCATGCAATCAACGACTCTATTCCTTCTGTTCAGAATAGGTCAGCGGTCCAGAATTATGTCCGTCCCCAACAAGTCATCCGCACACACCGCATGTATTTATCCAGAAAACCTCCGAGAAACCAACAGTCAAAATTCGGAGAAGACTCGGGGTAATCCCACCTCACCTCTGTTACCCCGCGGGGCTGTGACCCTTCTTGTGATATGTCACCGCGAGAGTGGACACTTCAAAGCCAGAACTGAAATTACATTCTTCAGTCCAAACTACCTTGGCTTTATCATCAAGCACTTGATCTTCTTGCCTAAGCAACCATGACCGACCAAACCGCCCAATTCACCCCCCGCTTCCGCACCGACATCTACCCCTTCATCGAGCCCTCCAAGTACAGGGGATCCCTCCGCAACAAAGTAACCATCATCACCGGCGCAGCGGGAGCAATCGGCCGAGGACTCGCCGAGTCGTTTGCTGTCGCGGGGACAAAGCTGGTCTTGACTTACAACCGGACGCCGCCACCGCCCGAGCTGGAGGAGAGATGTCTTCGGTTTGGAGCTGCTGATGTGTCGTTTGTAAAGTGTGATGTTGCTGAACTTGGGGGGTGTGAGGCTCTTGTTAAGGAGGCGGGTTTTTCTTTTCCTTTTCAAGGGGGTAGGGGGTGAGATGGCTGACTGGGTGCTTAGACTTTGGAACTGCATGGTAGGGCAGATATTTTGATCAACAATGCTGGGGCTAACGGGCTTGGGCCGGTATGTTTTCACGGTTGGCATGTCGAGTTGGTACTGATGAATGGGATATAGCTTCACGACCAAGCGCCTCAGGATTTCATCAAGGAGATTGCGGTCAACTTCCACGGGCCGTATTACCTCATGAGGCTGCTCCTCACGCATTTTCGACAACAGCGAAGTGGCTGCGTGCTGAATATTGCCTCGAGGGCGGGGACGGTGGCTATACCATATAGCACCGGGTACTGCTCCAGCAAGGCAGCACTGATCAACCTAACCGCCTGTGCGCAAAAGGAGCTTGACATTGATGGTTTGGGAGAGGAGGTGCACATGTATTCGCTGCACCCTGGGGGGATTAAGAGCGCGATGACGCTGAAGAGTGTGTCCTTCCACATATGCTACTACTTAAAGGTATAGGCTAACAGAAGATACCTTAGAATACTCACCGGAATCTGTGTCTACTCTTCCGCCTCAGGCGCAGAGCAAGTTTGTGAATGCGCTGGATATCTATGATGACTCCCCGTATCTGAACGGGATGGTGTGTGTTGCGCTTGCAACGGGGATGGGGAAGGAGGTGCTGAGGGGCAAGTATTTTGATGTTGGGCAGGATTTGGAAGATGTGCTGGCTCAAAGGGAGGCGTTGAGGCAGAACCCGGATTTGTATGGGTTGCACACGAGCTTCTTGGGTGGGCTGAAGAACGGGGGTGTGCCGGAGGGGGGGTATAGGAAGGAGGAGTGGGGGAAGGAGTTTCCTGGTTTTTGATGTGGTATAGATGGGCTCTTGGACTAGAATATGGGCATACACTAATTGTTGAGCATCGTGCATGTTGACGTCGTGAGGTTGTTTAAAAGAATTGGGAGAAAAAGGGTTAGGGTTGAATGACCGACGGAGACCGTCGGCAAATGCGGTACCGCGTTTTACCGGTGTGGCTGAACCGGAAGCCGCCCATCCCTGCTTGAGCGATGATCTGATGATCTGATAAGATCAGCCTGCAGAAAAGGTGGGTCACTTCTGGTGGGTTACACCGGGGCGCACCTTGCCAGTTCAAATTCAGAGCGGGGGGGACCTTTTTTTTCCTTCTGAAGTTGCGTCTTGGAAGTCGCACAACACAATCCAGGGTTGGGACTTGTGTCAAGGTGACAATCTGATCTTGGAGAAGATAAAGACAAAGGGGCAAAAAGGAAAGGATACCACCATCTGGACCTAGAACGACACAATTCCGATGCCGGTGACATGGCTGTTTTCCGCGGATGGCACATGTTGCATGTGCCAACGTCCCCCCGTCTCCAGGGAAGAGGTGGAGCCCCCGTTTGTCAATTTTTCCCCTGCTGCTGCTGCTGCTTGCTGCTGATGAGGCACTTTGGCACCCTGGCACTCCTGGCCGGCCAGCAGCTGTTGGGGTGCAGCCAGCGCAGCGGATGCACAAAATGACACAACGGCGCAAAGGGCTCCAATGGGGAGGGTAAAAACGGGCATGGAAGGATGATTTTGTGGGGCAAGCGTCCATATTGCAACTCTTCGGGGCACTGGGGGAAAAGAAGGTGGGGGAATCGGGATAAGAAGTCCAAGAAAGTGAAAGTCGGGGGGTCTTTCGCTCATCCCATCCCCCCTTCCCATTTCCCATCATACATTCAGGTTTCCCGTGAGAGAAGAAAAGATTGACATTGTGCAGCGGCCACTGACATCAGTTCCATCTGGATATACACACTTTCTTCTCTCTCTCTTTTTCCTGTCACACACACCAGCACGACCACAATGGGATCCATCGTCCAAGCACCCGCCCTCACCACCCAGGCCATGCCCTTCAAAGTTCTCGTCGTGGGCGGCTCCTACGGCGGTCTCTCCGCCGCCCTCAACCTCCAAGATCTCTGCAGTGGTCTCGCACCACGATGCGGCCCCAAGCCAGTCGAGGGCGCGCCAGTGATCGAGACACCACAGTTCAACGTTGACATCACCATTGTAGACGAACGTGATGGCTTCTGTCAGTAGTCTTTTCATTTACGCCTCTATTTTGGCTTACCGTATGCTAACACACACCCCTCCAGACCACCTCATCGGCTCCCCCCTCGCCCTGGCCGACGAAGACTACGCGGCCAAGTCCTGGGTAAGATACGAAGACGTCCCCGCCGTCTCCCAATCCCAAAACATCCGCGTCCTCCACGGCTCTGTCAAGTCAGTTGATCAAACCTCCAAGACGGCCACTTACCTCCCTCACGGCCTGGTGTCCTCCCCAGAAAACACAAGCACCCTTTCATATGACTTTTTGGTCGCCGCCGCCGGCCTCCGCCGCGTCTGGCCTGTGGTTCCGCAGTCTCTCCGCAGGAAACAGTTTCTCTTCGAGGCCGGCGACCATATCCGTGCTGCCACTACTGCTCGCCATGGCGTGGTGGTTGTGGGCGGTGGTGCGGTCGGTATCGAGATGGCTGCTGAGCTGAAGCTTGTCCAGCCTCAGTTGAAGGTCACGCTTGTGCACTCGAGGGATAAGCTTCTCAGCTCGGAGCCGCTGCCGGATGAGGTCAAGGATAAGAGTTTGGAGCTGTTGCTTGAGGCGGGGGTTGGCGTGAGGATGAGCACTAGGTTGGATAAGACGGAGGAGGTGGTGGACGAGCAGGGGAAGAAGGCGGTCAGGGTGTGGTTTACCGATGGGGAGAGCATCCTCGCCGATCAGGTCAGCTTGGCGGTGTCCCGGTCTGTGCCGTCGACGGAGTTTTTGGGGGTGAATGAGACTGGTGTGTTGGATGAGGAGGGGTATGTGAAGATCCAGAGTAGCTTGGCTTTCCCGGCTGAGACGCCAAACTGGAGTGATCACTTTGCTATTGGGGATTTGGTAAAGTGGTCGGGGATTAAGAGGTGCGGCGGGGCTATGCATATGGGTTTTTTCGCTGGGAATAATATTCATCAGAGGATGATTGAGATTGCTTCTGGGAAGGAGCCTGCCTTCCTTAAGCTGGATGAGATCCCGCCCATGATTGGGTTGGCGGTGGGGAAGAAGGCGGTTTCGTACTGGCCTGCGACTGGTGTGTCGGCCGGTGAGGATGTCTCGCAGGCCTTCTTTGGGGATGATCTTGGGTTTACGAGTAAGTGTCTTTTGGCATCCTGAAACTCGAGCTTCGATGGCACTAACAAAGCGGTTGTACAGTCTGCTGGAATCACTTGGGGCTTGGAAACAGCCAAAAGTTGTGAGGGTGTTTTGAGATGCATAGCGAGATTTTGGGTTCACAAAAAGTACGTGGTTGGATTTGGTATGACTAGGGTTTAGATCTTATGACATATAGGGGACGTTTCTTTTCTTTTGGTTACAAGAAAACTTGTCGTGATTGAAGTTTTTAGGACACATAGGCACGAGAAATGTTGAAGAATATTGGAATGACCAACTTTTAACACTAACCATCCATGTTGCCCAAACCCATCCATCCAGAATAACAACTGAAGAAAAAAGACATTACGTATTACACACACAGAGAGAAATTAAAGCTTAGGAACCAGCCCAACACCAGTACCGCCCATCACCTTGTCGTTCTCATCCAGAGGGCAAAGCTGGAAGAAGCGCTCCCGCGAGCAGCGCACAAAGGCGGAGCGCTTGTGGGGCAGGTCGATGAACTTGTCCAGACCGAAGCCGTGCATGAGGTCGTACATGAGAACCGAGCTGTTGGTGTACTTGGGCTCACCGACGACGCTCATGGTGCGGGGCTCGTCAAGGAAGAGGTAGTGCATCAAGCTCGACCACCAGGCGCTCACACGGTGGGGCCCGCGGTAGCGGACGTCGCCCACGAGGGAGTGTCTGCCGCGGTCGTAGTCGCCGGCAGAGTAGTACGCGCCGATGCGGTCTTCCTGTTTTTTTGTTAGTATTTCTTTCCCAATGTCAAGGTGTTGATGAGGAGGGTGGGAAGAACATACCTTGCCCCAGTACACCTCAAAATAAGCAAAGCAGACGTCGTCGAACCGCGCGAGAATGGTGATCTGATGGGGATCCTCGTGCGCCTTGCGGAGGTACTCCCTGTGCTGCTCGACCGTGCCCGTCTCGTTCCACCCCTGGGAAACGCGAGGGTCGTTCTGCCAGGTGTGGAACAAGTTGAGGTGTTCGTCGTTCTTGTAGTCGAGCGCGATCATGCTGAACGTCTCCTTGAGGTGGGGGATGTACCGGCTGTAAATGACGGAGCCGGGGATGGGCTTCGTCCGGCGCCTTGGGTGCCAGCAGAGGGCGGAGGAGTCGCTGGTCATGACGTACTCGGGGGGCGGGAGGGGGTAGCCCGAGAGGTCGGGGTCCTGCTCTTCGGGGACCCAGGCGGGGCGGGAGCCGAAGGGGGAGCCGGCGCCTTGCCAGAAGGCACCGCGGGAGATGACGAGCTCCTTTGTTGGGGGGGCGTCCTTGATGGCGGTGGTGGGGTGGTCAATGGCTAGGCCGACGGCCTTGAGCTGAGAGGAGAGTTTGTCGGCGCTGGAGCCGAAGAGGGCGAGGCGGAAGGCTTCCTCGGAGGGGCGGAGGATGAAGACGGCGTAGGTGATGAGCCACACTTGGCCGACGGTGGGTGGTTGCTCGCCCTTCCAGGTGATGGAGACGGACGGCGTCCGTCTTGCTCTGCCCCAGGCGGTGTTGTTGGAGTCTTTTGGCTTGTCGCCGAGCTTGAGGTCCTCGGGAGCTGTGAAGAAGATGGCATCGTTGTGAAGAGGCTCGCGAAGGGACTTGAGGCCCTCACGGGCTTGGAGCTGGAAGCCCTCCTGGCCCTTGACGACGTGGTAGGCGGTCTGGTAGGGGTGAGGGAGTTTGAGGATGGGCTCGGAAGACGCAGCGTACTCCGCGAGTTGGAGACGCGCTTTTGTTTGAGTTGACGCCATTGTGATACTGTATGTGATCGGGTTCGCGGGAGAAACGTATGACGACACTACTACACTGATGAGAGAGTGGTAGTTTTGTCTGACACTCAAGAGGACTACACGTAGCTTTTTTTTTTTTAACACCTTCGGAAAAGCTGTCCCAATTCGTCTTCACATGTCCAGTGGGAAAACAAACAGAAAGAATAAAACAAGGATGCCCCTCCCCCACTACACTCTCAATGAAATGCAACCCCCAGGGCAACTCGCAACCGAAGAGATGCTTCTGGGGTCAAACGAGGACCGAAGGCGTGGCTCCTAGATCCATGGTGCCTGTGGAAACCGGTTTGCTGCTTTCATCTTTCCAGCCAAAGGCTCCGAAACGATGGCCAATGGAAAGGGGGCTCAGGGGGTGGTTGCACAGAAGCCATGGCGTGCTGGGGAACGGATCTGATAACTTTGTTCGGACGCCAGAAAGCGGATCAGATAATTTCTGTCTGCAGACCCCTGTCAGACCTCCACCCTTGGCCAACCGACCTCGGAGGGAGGGGACACAGAACAGAAGACTTGAGAAATTTCGAGGACGTTGTGTGACTTTGATGGCATCATTCTGCAGGCCGTGGCAACTGGCAAGTCTCTCCTCGTTGTAAAGAACCATGTCACAAGAATAAAAGAGTGAGGCACGAACTCAGCTGTAGGAAGGTCTTCTCTTCCGAGACAGAGACGAAAAAAACGTGGAAACCCACGACACAAAGACTTGGCATGATTAATCTTATCAGATCGTTTTGATGCCGGCTGTTCTGAGGCATTTTACAGGGGTTGCAGTGGACAGTGCGGGTCTGAAAATCATACCATTGCCCCCTGCTCAGTTGCAGCCCTCGACTTTATCAGATGGAGCTAGCACCAAACTGTCCATCTCGTCCTTTCCGCTCTTCACGGCAAACCTCTGCGGGCCAAGTTTCTCGGAGCAAGAGAGAAAAATCTGCCATGCACCCCACCTTCTCTGTGCTCCAGCCGAGGATCTTCACTTCTTCTCCTACCGACTGACCGCATCCGATGGAGAAACGAAGCACTGGAGATGCTGTTCACGCAGTCCAGGTCTGACTCGACAGGCCCAAGGTCAGGGGACAGCAGCATCACAACAGGATCGGTGGAAGGGGAGCTTGTGTGAATCACATCTTATCAATCTAATCAGTGGCTGACTGGAAATGCCGACATGAGGGCGCGTCACATTCACGATTGGTCACCGGTTGCCAGGAAGCCTGGCCATGCGGCACAAATTTGGTCTCCAGCAAAAGGGGTCCCCCCCCTCCTTCTGCTTCGTGGGTGTGTAGGGCCACATGCCATTCCGTCATAACCCTCCCGTTGCCGGCCCCGGCATGGCGGTTCTCGACTCTTCTGGGATGTCTTGTAATTTGTTGAAGAAGTTGTGAAGCCGTTCTGTCGTTCTGGTAGTACCAATCTTGCTCTTGTCGACCGGGGCTTTTACATACGTTAATATCGAGCCGAGAATAAACCCCGAGCTTCTCGCTATCGCCCTTCCTCCAGACAGCCGGGAATCACACAGTTCACGCCAGATTGTTATCAAAATGTCTGCCGTACAAAATCCCGTCGAAGAGGCCGTTGTCCTCCCACAACCTCAGAGGCTGTCCCTTCTCAAGGGCCCAACAGATCCTCCTCTTGTCGACCTCACCCTCGGAGAACTCCTCAACCTTCAGTGTCTGCACCACGGAAACAGAGAGGGAATTGTGATTCCATGGACAGGAGCGAGATGGACCTACAACGAGCTCAATCACCACAGTCGGCTGCTGGCCGCCGCCCTTCTAGAGATGGGCATCGGTGTTGGTGACAGAGTCGGCATCATGGCTGGCAACTGCGAACAATATGCTGCTGTTTTCTTCGCCGCCACCAGGATAGGAGCCATTCTCGTCATCATGAACAACACTTATACCCCTACTGAGGCCTTGTACGGTCTCGACTTCTCGGGTATGTCTCAGCTCTGATGGGTGATCACCGTGATGCTAACAACGATCCAGAATGCAAGGTTTTCTTCACCACCAAGAAGATTGGCCGTCTCGATCAAGGCCCACTACTCACACAACTTGCTGCCAGAGCGACTGGCCCCAAGGTTGTGATCCTTCGCGGTGATTCCGAGGGTTACCCAATCTACAAGGAGCTTCTCACCCAAGGAGCCAGGGTAGATCCCGAGCGCCTTCATCATGCTGAGAGCAAGGTGCTTCCTCACCTTGTTTGCAACCTCCAGTTCACCAGCGGCACAACCGGTCTTCCCAAAGCTGCAATGCTCACTCATCACAACATTGTCAACAACTCCAGGTTCATCGGAGACCGCATGAGACTCACACACAACGACGTTCTCTGCTGCCCGCCTCCTCTGTTCCACTGCTTCGGTCTGGTGCTTGGCCTCATGGCCGTCATCACTCACGGTGGAAAGATCATCTACCCTGCCGAGGTGTTCGACGCACCTGCTACCCTCCGCACCATCATTGGGGAACAGTGCACCGCTGTTCATGGCGTCCCCGCCATGTTCGACAGTCTTTTGGCTCTTCCCGAAGCCAAGAATCTCAAGGCGGCCGACCTCCGACTCCGCACCGGCATCGTGGCCGGCGCCCCCGTCCCTCGCCACCTGATGGAGCTCATGGTCTCCAAGCTCGGCATGAAGGAGTTCACATCCAGCTACGGTCTCACCGAGGCCTCTCCCACTTGCTTCAACGCTTTCACCGACGACCCCATCGACACCCGTCTCACCACCGTTGGCACTCTGATGCCTCACGCCCGAGCCAAGATTGTGGACCGCGACGGTGTGATTGTGCCCATTGGCACCCGGGGTGAGCTCTGCATCGGCGGGTACCAGCTCCAGGCCGGCTACTGGAACAACTCGGAAAAGACCAACGACTGCATGATGAAGGACGAGGCCGGCGTCTTGTGGCTGCACACCGGTGACGAGGCCGTCTTTGACGAGCGTGGATACTGCACCATTACCGGTCGGTTCAAGGACATCATCATTCGAGGAGGGGAGAACATCTACCCGCTCGAGATTGAGGAACGGCTGGTCGCCCACCCGTCCATCTCCATGGCTGTGGTTGTCGGGCTGAAGGATGCACACTATGGCGAGGTTGTCGGTGCGTTTCTTCAGCTTGACCCTGCTCACACTGCTAGCACGAAGCCCACTGTTGAGGAGGTGCGTGAGTGGTGTAGGCGGAAGCTGGGGAAGCACAAGGCGCCCACTCATGTGTTTTGGCTGGGCCACGATGGGGTTCCTGCTGCGGTGCCATTGACGGGGAGTGGAAAGGTGAGAAAGTTCGAGATGGCTCAGTTGGGGAATAAGTTGCTTGAGGGTGTCAAGGCGAAGCTTTGAGGGGTTGGTGTGAGGAAGGTCTAGCTGGGGAGCCGTGATATTGGTTGGACAGAAGTTGGCCGGAAAAAGGAAAGACGGAGTTTGCATAATTCGGGTGGGATTGGGCGGGGAAATTTGCATGTTCTTTTTGCTTGGCTTGGATACAAAAATGATAATACACACCATGACATTGATTCTGTGGCGCCTAGAATTGCCCCCGAATGACGAACAGACAAGCCCCCAACGACGACCTGAACCGAGCCACAACCGCACAACTAAACAAGTGATGAGCTCCTTCTCAGTAGACGAATAGTTCTAATTACCTCGCTAATTACCATACTTCACAGGCCGGCTGGTGTAGTGGTTATCACGTTTGTCTCACACACAAAAGGTGCCAGGTTCGATCCCTGGGTCGGTCAAATCAGAAGTTATCTTTTGCTTCCCAGCTCAGCACCCATAGTTGGGATTGCCTCTGCTTTTTGGACTCGAAGGAGGGAGGCATAGAACACAAGATTTTGCTGCTTGATAGGAGTGTGTCGTCCCCTGATGATTTACAAAGGAGAAACCTGCTGGTATATCCTGCTGGTATATCCTGCTGGCCCATTATCGATCAGCTGACGTTGAGATAAAAGATAACGAGTGTGTAAAATAGTTACAGAGACATGTATATCATCTGTCTGAGATGTACTCAGAACACCAAGAGCTTGGAATTTGATTGTGGTAGAGTCGGGCATCAGCTGTTCAACATTGATGTAGACTCGGGTCATTGGTAAGTAGATCCGTTGATTCAAAGAGAGACATTGGGAATGATTGAAATCAAGGAAGATCAATAGTTATATTTGGGGGTTGGGATTTCACTGAAACCAACACAACAGCCAACCAGTTCACACTTCAAGACACACTCAAGCTGTTGCACCCAATGCACTTCCATTATAGCCAAACTCACTGAGAAAACTAATAAAGTACAAATAAATCGACATAAATGTGCAAAAAGCATTTGTATTCAAATCATATCTGGTATCTTCCCAACAACAAAGCTCCATCAAACCACACAATGTCATGAGCAAGTGCAGAACAATAGACTCAAGCAAACACCGCCACAACCGCCGAGATTTCACGTGAAAGCTTCTCCACTTCTCCGCCTCAACACATGTACTTGTCGTTTCCTGGCTACCAACGGTTCTGCAAAACATAACTATTTCATCTCTGACTGCATCATCCTGGGCTATAGCACGGAGTCTTTTCGTGGTGAGCCGCTGTGATAGGGGTCCGAATCGCTGTCGACATCCGCATCTGAATGATGATTGTTTCTTGGAGGGGAGGATCTCACGATCTTGATGCCGACCGGGGTAATAGCCACCTGCGATTCTTTGTGCGGGTCGTCAACGTTGATATCCTCCATTGCCACTGCCGAGTCGTCTCCCGCATGACTTGGGGATAGAGGCTTTGCGAAGTCATACAATAGTATCCCGGGCGAATGGAAGTAATCGTGATGTACGGGCCGTCCAGCACGCAAGCTACCGTGGCTCTGGCTAGCACGCTTGAGTCGTGGCTTGCTCCTCGTACGGGGTCTGCTGGTAGCACGTGTTTTGCTACCAGGACGTCGTGTACCGGCCCGGTGCATCCTGTTCCGGCCACGAAGGCTCATCTCTAGTCTTTCATCCTCTTCCGACTCTTTGTCCGTCCACTCGTCCTCCACATCCTGCATATTCTGGAAAAGCTTCTCGTGTCTGGCCGCCAGCAGTTGGATGCTACCGCCAGAACTGCGGCGTCTTCTGTCCCAAGCTCTTACAGGAGTCGCTTCGCCAGATGATGGCTCTTGGTCACAAGGCGTACAACTAGAACGTGCATAGCCTCCGGTCGTGAGCTCAACACTTTTACCTCTGCTGTGAAGTGTTCTTCTCGTCGGGGCCTGCGGCTCTGAGACTCCCACAAGACGACGAAGCTCTACCTGGCTCTTGCTGAACACCACCCGGGCCCTCAGGTTGTGAACGGCCTGGTCCAGCGCCAGCTCAATAGCCAGTCGATCACGGATGCGGCTGAGTTTAGGCCAGGTTGCCCTCTCACCAATCAGGCAGTTGCGCATCATGAAGTCCGGTGTGGGGTTCTTCAAGATCAGAGGCAAGTCATGCACAGCAGTCTCGGGAAGAATGGTGATATCCCCCGAGTACTTCTGGCTTAAGATGCAGCGCAATTTGGTAAACAGGTTGGGAAAGATGCCCAACTCTGTCATGAACTGGAGTCTGTGGAGTGTTTCCTCCTTGGCCAGTGTTGTGAGCGTGTCTAGCCAGGCCCCGCTGTCTGGGGATTCTTTCTGCTGACGAAGCTTTCCTGGGGTTGTCGCCGGATAAAGACGGTCGTCCTTGGAGAGGAAAGGAACGATATGTGGGTTGACCTGTGAGACGATGAAATGGTTGACGTTGAACATCTCGGCAAGTCGGGTCATGGGCAGGTCATTGTCCACCGAGCCATCAATCCAGTGTTGTGGTGTTGGGTTCCAGGGCACATGGGCACCGGTTGCTGGATCTTTGACTAGCAAAGAAGCAGCCTGGAAGACAAGAGGAACCGAACACGAAGCTGCCACGGCTGACCAGATCATGACATTAGGGGCCGTGATGTAGTTGAGCAGCCTAGGCAGCTCGTAAATCGAAGCTGAAGACACGCAAATGTTGCATATTCTTCTTGTTCGGTTGTAGGCCTCTTGGAATGTCACGTCACCGAGCCAGCTGCGCATTACCCTGGTCAGGTTCGATATGTCGGCCCAGCACCCTTCGGTAAGGAGTCGTCGAATGTGATCAGAAAGACCGTCCTTCTCGCCTTCGAAAACGCCCAAGTCTCCATAAGGGAACGCCTCGACCAAGGCGGGAATTTCTTCGTCCTTGCGTGTACACAGAACAGCACAAACAATTGAACCAGCCGAAGCACCCGAGATGATGCGCGGCAGCAGCTTGGATTCATAGAGTGCCTTCAAGACGCCGATGTGGGACATGCCAAAGGTTGCTCCACCGCTCAGGAGCAGAGCACTCCTTCCGAAACTCTGTCGAGCGTAGAGCATGCCCTCCAGCAAATCTTGGGTTTCCATGCCGGCCGGGATCGAGTAGGCACTCTTCTCCACCAGTGCCTCGATCGTTTTGACGGCCGAGTCCACGTAGCGTTCGATGAGGCTCTTGGTCCCAATGTACGAATGGCGGTACAAGTCAATGTTTCCCATTCCACCAAGGTCTCGCGAGAGGGCTGTTCGGATGAGATACATCATGGTGCTGATATCACAGTCGATCCGGGCAGCATCCAACTCCTTGAGCTTGAGTCGGATCAGTTGGGGGTGGTAGTCGCCACTTGCATCGTCGAGCTTCCATTCGTCATTCCCTTCGAGCGCATCTAATTCTTTAGCAGCGGCGTTCCAATCCCGCAGCGAAGTAGCCTGGTGTGGTGTTAGTACATGAACACCAGAGTGCACGTGCCCCCTCCGAAGCATGGTGTCTGCTTACGCTGTGCATGCGCGCTGCCAGAATCTGCATCCTCTCCTCCGTCCGCCTCTTATCCTCGCGTTCCGACTCGCTGAGGCCATCTCGCCATGATAAGACAAGGTTGCTAGCGTCCCGGACAATCTTGGTTAATGGTGGGATGTAGGAGTGTGAAGGTGATGTTTTCTTCTTCAGCTTTAGCGGCGCCGGCCTCGGCCTCAGCCTCTTGGACGCTTTGAGCTTGCCATCCTCAACAGTGTTGACTTGAATAATGGGAGGGCCATGAACGAGCAGGTCCGTCATTGCGGGGAAATGACGGCAGAGAGGAGCCGGGGGAGGAGGAGGAGGAGGAGCGGGAAGGGAGAAGATTGGTTCGCAGGCTGTAGTAGGTGGGCAGGTTGGAGGTACGAGACAGGGAGTCGTTTTTCAGGATGTGAGGCATTCGGAGCGAGGGTTGGATGGGTTGAGTGGTTTCCTCGTGGCTGATCTGGACACGCTTGGGCTTACAACGGGTGACGTAGCGTTGTTTTAAGGGTCAACGGTCACGGAGGACGGGCGGGCGTTTGAGTAAGTTTGTCGTGGTGGGAGTTGAGTTGACGCGCCGCGAGTCGAGGGGACACCGTTGGGTATCTGTAGCCGCAACTCCTGGCAGACAGCAGAAGAAAAGCAAAACAGGGTGACGGGGTATCAGGGAACATTTTGATGTCGTTCCGGCGGCCGGAGCAAAAGGACGAAACAGGCCACCTGACGATGTGCCGCCGACAGGGATTCAACGGGCGCTGAAGACGAACAAAGACAGAAAAGGCGTAGGCGTGGGGAAAGATGGGATGCAGCAGGCGGGGCGGTCTGGGGCACGCAGCTGACCCCAGAATCTCAGTCTGGGCATTTTCAGCGGCCCGCCCCACCACTGCCCACCAATCAGTGCCCGACAGCCCAACAGGTCAACACCTGGTGTGATGGGAATCTCCGTATCGCTAGGTGTGAAGAAGCAGGTTTTACACTGCCAGACTGGAGAGGCCAGACGATCTTCTTTCCATATACAGAGACTCCGTCTGTAACTCGGAAATCCATGACCTCAGCACCTGAAAAGATCGCACAGAAATGGAGACTGTGTGCATAGCCGAGCAATGTGAAGGCGAGACATGCAAGGCACTGCTTCGCTGGGTTGCACTTGGGTGGTAGCGTAAGGTAAGGTCGGGTAGCTGATGGCAGGAATGGAATGCGGGGGACGGAGTCGCTCGCTTGAGGTGTCTCTCCCGTATTATGAAGAACGGGCATTACTCCCTGTGAATTCATCAAGGTCGGACCTGGAAAGTGGTTCATGAAAAGGGCAACGCTTGATGCTCTGCTTGGAGACCTGAGTCAGGCTTGTGGTACGTATGAAAAGCCGGAGATATTCCCGATATCCAGTGTAGCGGTTGGGCAACTGTAGAATACGAAGCATGGCAGACCTTTCCTTTCACATGTCAGCAGCCGTCAAAGCATGTGCTTGATATCGAACTGCAGGGGAATTCACCGCTTGACCTCTGGCTGCCAACACATAGATCATAAGTCACCTACTCGTACTCGACATATGGTAATTGGCTTCACAACATATGGAAAGAAAAGAAACCCCAGATTTGTTCCTGTCTTTGTTGGGCGTCTCGATCCTCAAGAGGGCCCAATGTCGCGGTTGTGATTTGCGGGTCCGGGCCGTCAACCTGGAAGTCCGCTGATGACACGATGCTAAGCTATCAATTCGAAGGGGCATACGTGGCTGGATCAATGCATTTCCTCTCTAGAAGCGAGACGTCAACAAGCCCAAAATTCTACTTGAGAGCAGTTTCTGTGGTTGTGAAGGTCGATTAAAGACAGGGATGGCGGATCTTGCGGATCAGCGCGGTCATCACACCGCTCTCTGATTGGCCAACCGAGACCCACCCAACCGGCAGTCAGGTTTTGGAAGACCTTTCGAGGCGCAAATTGGAAAGATAACGCGCGTCCAACAGCATCAACTCTGCGACGACGACATGGCGAATTTCTTCAGCCCAACTCCCTCGCTCATGGCAAGCTGAAGCTTGCTTGGGGGTATGCAGCAAGAAAATGCTGCCAGAACCCAACATCACCTTTACGGTGCCGAGTCTCCACGACGCCCTCGACATCGACTGTCGTGTCTACCACCCCGAGTTACTCGCGCCCACGTCTGATGCCGCCCAATGGAAGAAACACGCCGCCATCTTTGCACATCCCTATGCACCTCTGGGCGGCAGCTTCGATGATCCCGTAGTGGGAATCGTTGCAAGTGCCCTTTTGCGGATGGGCTTCTTGGTTACGACCTTCAATTTCAGAGGGGCTCATGGATCGGCTGGAAAGACTTCCTGGACGGGAAAGGCAGAACAGGCCGATTACAAGTCAGTGATAGGCTTCGTCACCCATTACGTTCATTGCCTGAACCCATATCCGCATATTACTCTCCGACGGTCCCATTCTGAAGTTCGCGAGAACGAGGTCGAACTGGAAGGCAGAGTTGCAGCCAAGATTCAGCTTCAGCCGCCCACTCCTGAGCCAACATTGATGGAAGCAACCCCTCTTTCTGCTGCCAGTACGAAGCCTGTTCTTTTGATGGGCGGTTATTCGTACGGCTCTATGATCACTGCTCAACTACCGGAAATCGAACCGGTTATGGCTTTGTTTGAGACACCTGAAAACGGAACGCCGGCTGCTGAGATCCGATTGAGGGCAGAGCATCTCGCCGAGAAGCAGAACACAACTTTGGCTGACCTGCGCGCCGACTTTGTGGACCGCCAGCACGCCGGATCGCCGCGGCGGACTGGGGGGCTCCGTGTTGGCGGCATCGAGGATATTCGTAGGCCCCATGAGCCCCGACGTTCACTGTCCGTCGAGCTTGAGGAGAGAATACGGCACGGGATTGAAGAGCTCATGGCCAAAACCAAGAAAGGACCCAAGGCATCCCAACTGACCGAGATTAGGGACGGTGATGGTCCAAATTCCACTCGTGATGCAGCCTGTTCAACCTCGAAGCATGCCGCTACAGATCACCTGCCCCCTATCATAGGACGAACTCAGTATCGACCGGCATATCTTCTGGTGTCACCTCTTCAGGGCATAGTTACAAACTTCATTGCCATGTCGGTCCCTACGCCAATTTCCAGCCTTGCTCGGAAGGCCTGGAATCGGCTCCCAGCCAAGCCTGGCAAAAAATCTGCTACGTCGCCAGAAGCTCCAAAGCCAATTGGTAGGTCCATACTGTATTACTTGTCTTCCTTCCATTTGCATGATGAACATCCTACGTTAACCCAGCTCACTCAAACGCATACAATGCGGATGCTGAAAACGCGTATTATCTACTCCTGACTTCTTCCATCTATTTATCCTCCATGTCTCAGCTCGCTGTCTGGTTCTGCGCTAACATGCTGGCCCCAGTAGACAACCCGGAGAATAAGTTGACCCAACATGACACTCTGGTAGTATACGGCGACAACGATGTCTTTACGCCCGTCCGAAAGCTCAGGACTTGGACTGCCCGGTTGCAGGCGGTACCCAACTCCAAGTTTCGAGGAGTTGAGGTGTACAGTGCAACGCACTTCTGGGCACAAGCGAAGGTCGCCCAAACCTTGCGCGATGCTGTCATCGTGTTTGCCCAGTCTCTGCTCGCTGAAACATGAACCATTGGATCTCATTGACTATCAAGTACAAATGCCAAAGCCTATCAAAACACGGGAACAGGAACACCACCAAACCCAAACCTCATGCGCCTAGTGCATACTCTACAAACTACGGAGTGCGAAGACTCTGTTGTTCACTGCCTTCTGCGTCACAGGGCACTCATGGCTCAACCACTCCCAAGCATGGGGCACGCCTGGATAGAGATGGAACTCGACGTCCACCTTGCCCGCGAGCAGCTTGGCGCCAAAGGCATTCACCTCGTCCTTGAACAAGTCCAACCCTCCAACATCAAGATAAGTCGGCGGCAACCCAGACAGATCCTCAGCCCTTGCCGGCGCTGCATACACGCTCGCGTCAGGACTACTCACAGTTCTGGCACCGGCACCGCCCAAATAAGCCTGCCAGCCGATTTCGTTCTTTTTGTTTGTCCATGTCAGGTACTCGTTCAGCGGATGGTCCTCCCCGATGCGCGTTCTGTCATCGAGCATGGGGTATATCAACACCAGCTTCCTGATGGCGGGCACAAACTTCTTATCGCGAGCCTCGAGTGCCAAGCCAGCGGCCAGACCACCCCCGGCGCTGATTCCCATAACACCAATTCTCTTTGGATCGATGTTCTGTTCTTGTGCATTGTCGCGGAGGAACTCCAAGGCAGCGTAGGCATCTTCCAGCGGTTTTGGGAAAGGGGCCTCGGGAGAGAGCCGATAAGCGGGAGCATAGAAGGTCAGCCTTGTCTCGGCCGCATAGCGGATGATGTCTTTTCTGAAGGATGTAACCGAGCCGGAGACAAAGCCACCTCCATGGAGATAGAGGACGCAAGGACGTCCAGCTGGTGCCGGAGTTGATGAAGATGCTGGGGGGTCGAAGCGGTGGAGTTTGAGCTCAGTGCCGTCGGCCGACTTGTATGAGAGTTCTGTTTCGGCAACTCTGCTTCTCGCCGGGCAGGGGAAGAGGCTCATGACGGTGTTGATCATGAAATCATTCTGTTTGCGGAGTGATTCAGCGTCAGTTGGGACGGGTGGGACATATGATGCATAGGGTGCTATGGCCCTGGCATAGTCGGCGTCAAGACGGAGCTTTTGGTCGGAAGACATGTTGGAGATGTTTGGCTTCTGGAGGAGAAGGTACTTTTCAGAAATAAGAGCGATGTTCATCTCCTACTTTCAACCTATATATGCATATATTCCTCTCACCTCCGCGGACCATAACACGCGTACGAACCGAGACAAAACCGGACCGGGCCGTTTTGCAAGGACCGAGCGTTGGTCTTTCCCTGGGTTTTAGGGCTGCGGAATTCTCAGCATTGGCGACCGTTGGCACACCGTTACAAACGGCTCGTGCTTTAGGGCGAAAGGCAAACTTCAAGTTCCTGAGCACGTTTTGTTCGGAGCATTCCCCGGGTCGTGTCTTGGGCCGATGCCCCGATGGCGACTGCCGGCTGGTCTAGAGCTGGGTGGAAGCTTGCAAGGCATGAGGTCTGAGTGCGATGGAATTTGGGAATGCCGAGGGGGCGCTGTTTGTGCGTTTTACTTGGACTCTTTTCTTGAAACACACCATGAGGCAATGATAATGATTTACGTAAATACCTTTACACTTTGCCGCAGATTTGAGCCAGTCCTTGAAGTGGGTGTCACTTAGGGGCCATGTCGGTTAGGGTTGTAAAGTATCAGAGGCAGGCATCACCAGATCTCTCCTTGTCTCTCAACATCAAGTCAACAAAGCAAAATCACGTTTCATTCTCTCTTCGCCGTTCAACTTTCTAGAACTAATAACTCCCATGATGGTACACCACTCCCTCATCTCCTGCTTCCCGGGGGGGGCCTTTTAGCTGGCAGCAGTCTGGCCGGGCATAGCCTTGATCCCTGTTGTTGAAGACACTCCAGTCAGCTTTTCATCTTCACCAAACATAAAATCATGACAGCAAAACTCACAGTTATCACCGGTATCCTCATTCACAATCTTCTTGATGGTGCACCTGTTCATCGCGGCGACATTCTGCGACTTGAGCGGCCGGCCGTTTTCGCACGCGTTGAACATGCACGAGTGGTCCATGGCTCTCTGGAGGGAGTCGCCCTTCCAGCCGAAGAGGTAGTCGGCGTGGGTGCCGTAGCCCTTGGAGTCGGTGTAGGAGAGGGTGAAGGGGTTGGCGCCGCCAGAGGGCCACATGCTGTTGAACTGAGTCGTGTCCCAGAGGGTCTCGTAGGCGACCTGGGGCATGCGGACGGGGTGGGAGGCGGGGCAGGGGCCGGCATTTTGGAAGGCTTCCTTGCCGGTGTTGTACATGTGTGATTGGTGGTCGGGGGAGTCGACGTTTTTCCCGTCCCAGCAGCTGTTGAAGGGGGGGGGGGTTAGCGGTTGGTTAGGTAGGGGAGAAGGGGGGGGAATAAGGGTGTGGCTTTACGCTGGGAAATGGTGGACTGTCATGATGCCGCCTCTGCAGGGCTTGGTTGGGAAGTCGGAGAGCTCGGGGAAGCGGGTGCCCTTGTTCTCGAGGCATACGAACTTGAGGCCGACGTTGGCGCGGGAGCCGCTGAGGGAGGTGGTGGTTGGGTTGCCGACGACCATGCGGAATCCCTGTAGTCACACGGTTAGTATTGCTCCCTTCCAGGCTCATGTGGCCGGCAAAGGTCTGGTACTTACGGGCGGGAACGACGTGATCTTGACATTGCCGTTCGAGTTGAAGTCCTGCTGGGTGTAATAGACGGTCATACCACCGTTGATGCCGTTGGGCAGGGCTGTGTTCTGCATGATGGGGACACGCTTGTAGGTGCCGTTGGGGTGCTTGAAGAACATGACGGCGGTCCAGTAGTTGGAAAAGTCCTCGCTAAATGTGCAGGTCGTGCAAGTTCCCTGCTCACCAATGTCACCGCTCATCGAGGCGTTGAAGGCATCACCACCGACGATTTGGTGAAGATGAGCTGAAGGAAGCGCGCCAGGCTCAACGAGGGGGTCGAGACGCTGGATGGTCAAGGTCGAGCATCCGAAGCGCAATGCAGCCTGGGAGGGCGCGATGAGCGCAGAAAGAGCGAGCCACTTCATGGTTTTTTTTTCCTTGCCTATTGTCTTTGCCACGAGAAAATAAAACACAAGGAGCAGGAGTAGGGACCGTTGCTGGACAGAACAGAGCCAGAAGAACACCGGTATCCGGGGTACCTCGATGCGGGCATATATACCTACATACACTCGCTCGCCTGGCGAAGCTCTTGCCTCTTTTGCAGTTTCTCTATACTACATTGGTTTTTTTTGAGCCGTGTCGTGCCGTGATAAGAGGTGCCGTCCTCTGGTATATCCAGGATCGTCTATTAGATGCTAAATTCTGTATTTGCCCGTTCATCTATTTAAAATGCGGGGGTGACAGTGCCCTTGACCCTTGACAACCGCGCCGGCAATTCAACCCATACCAATCAACGACGCCTCAACTCCAGAAACACTATCCGGGTTCCGAACCTGGAGGTGTGTTCATCACTCCGCCGGCCAGTGAGGTGAGTGATGGAAAGGGTGTTGAAGCCCAATTTGATCTACCACGTTGCTGTCGTCGGCTTTTGCCACGGCACAGCCAACTCCTTTTTGGGCGACTGACATCTGCCGATGGTGTTGCCCTTCAAGGAAGAGGTCTTGTTATAGCAGCTTCGGACCAACCGAGAGCCGTGGCGGACGAGATGTTTATATTTTCTTTGATCATGCTGTTTGTTTCGATTGGTTGTCGTTTCCTGCGTGTCGCTACCGTGATCATGATCCGGGACGGCTGCCAAGCTTTTCCCTGAACCCAGATACTGGGCAGGTTTTTGTGTCGTGGTCGGCAAAAGCAGAGATGGGTTTATGGGGGCTTTAAGCTTTTTGCTTGATCAGCGTGGCTGTTGGCCTGCAGAGTAATACGGCCAGACCGTTGAGCGATCTTTTTACTGATGGATCTTGGCTGGACTCGACAGGATGCATGCAATCTCGCCATAGTTATTTATTTGTAATTCGTTGTGCTTTGGCACCCGATTGGCAGGTAGGTAAGGTAGGCACTCTTTCTCTTCAAGGCTGGCGGCTTCTTTGTTCATCAACCTTTCTTACGGTAAATCAAGACCAACCATGTTGCCCCCGTGAGAGTGCACGGTCCAAACAAGTTGTGTTTTGTTTTTGTTGTTTTAGTCAGGGGTTCAGGGGTAACAATAGCATCATGTACTTGTAAAGTTGTACATGCTCTCAAGACGATGGGTTGACGGTAAATCAGGCCTACTTGCCTCTAGACATGGATGAGTAGGGCATGAGGTTTGCATTTTTGCTCTGGATAAAGTCCAGCCTTCGCTGCTTCGATGTATTTCACAAGTCGCAAGCGAGCGATATTCGATGCCTTGACACATGTGAAAACTGCAAAGACCTTCCAACACTCACCGATATCAATCATTGATTCCAAGTGTGTCTGTCATACGGTCAACACACGTTGTGGGGGCGAATCAGAGCAATTTTCAAGGCAGATGCCGGCTGGCAGACTGTCGACTGGATTGATTGTTAAGCACCCAATTGATCACATTTGAAAACAGAATTATTCAAGCTGTAATCAGCAAAACTAAGACAGATACGGCCAACACTTCCTGACTCTGTTCGCGGCAGGCAAAACAGGTGGAGAGGAAGAGGAGACTCACCAGCGATAAGATATGGATTATGGAAATGCTGGAAGGCGGGGAGATAAGCAACTTTTTTGACATCGTGAAAGGAGCGGGCGGCCAAGAAGTGGGAGAGGAGACCCCGCATTGCACCACATCCCGGTTTCTTTGCCCATTTCGGACCTTATCTCTTCACTTGGTGCTCGAATTATCGAATGGCCTAGTCACAAGTTCACGACACCGATAGGACATGTTTCCCCGTGTCTTTTTCTTTTCCACACCGATCCGGGCATCGCTGGGGCCGAGTGACGTTGGTTCGGGAAGCTGGATGCCGAGCGAGCGCAACCGAGCTCGGATTTCGGGCCTGCGATATGGGCTTTGGTGATGCTGTCTCCAACGACCCCACTGCCAACGACATTCCCGGATGACACCCAGGACTCACGTCAGATACCACCTCAGGCAGTCAACGGTGTATCTTCAATGCTATCGAGTGTTTATTTGTCGAATGATGATTTCTTTCTCCGTTCTGTCGGCCGAGTATGCTAATTGCCGGCGCAGAGGTTCATGTGGATTGCCACGCTGGATCGCGACTTTAGTGAAAGGCTTCTTTGCGTAGCCAGGTCGCTAACGTGGGGTTGGGACCAACCGTCGCTATGCAGTCAGCCACTCAACGGTGAGCATCCTTGATGTGCGGGGCTATGTTCCTGCAGCAGGGGTCTTTGAAGGCTGCCAACCACCATGCTTCTATTGGAGGATTCCGGGTGGATGTAAGGGACGATATCTGGGAGAGCTCCGATAAGAGCTTCAGTCAATTGGGGTTACGATGGATATGGCCATGACGGATCTGGGTGGGAGAGGGTGAGAAAGATATCATAAAAGGTGTCTTCCCCGGTCGTGACCAGCATGGGATTTTGTCCCTAGACCTTCAAGCTCCTTTCAGTCTTTCTGCCCACCGGAGAAAGCATCAATCATGGGTTTCTTCGACAGCCTGAGCCCTCGGGCCGTGGCTACCTCTGCCCTCCTCCTCACCTCCTTCGCCCAAGATGCCCTCGCTCGCCCCAACCCCGACCCCAAGGCTCCTTGGGTGAAGAACACTGGCTTGGGCAAGAAGAAGATGGCCAACCACCTCAAACGTGCCATCATGGGCGACAGGAGAGCTGTCGAGACGCCCTTCTGCTCCGAGACATTGGCCACCGAGATCAAGGCCCCCAAGCCGAACGTTTGGGGCCCTCTGGTGGACGTCGAGGTTGCTTCTGTTGTTGAGTGGCTTTTCGCCCAGGCCGATCTCAACCTGACCGTCACGGAAGAAGCGGGTGGATGGGATAACACCATGTAAGAACCGACTGCGCTACAGCAAGCTGGTGGTGGTTCGTACTGACACATATCTGCGCAGTCAACTTGTCGAAGCCATGTGGCCAAACAAGACTGATGTTCTTGCCTTCGTGGATGGCGATGGCCCTGCGCCGACCAAGTACGCCCACGTTGTTCTCAACAACCGTGCGACGGAAACCCCCCATTACGCTGATATCATCGTTGGACCCTTGCCCCTTGACAATGCTACTGCCAAGTGGGAGCCCCTCGAGTATCCCTACACGAAACAGAACGGTGGCAAGGTGCGCAACCTCGATGCCGATTCCGACCGCCTCTACTCGGAGTGGCTCTTCAAGATCGGTGCCTCTGTCGCCGACATCACGCTCGATCTCTGGAACGGCACGGCCATGGGCTTGGAGAACGACACCCTCTCCATCTGGGGCATTGACCCTCTCTGGCAGGATGACGGCGAAATCATCCGCTGGGACACCTTCTGGAACATCCCTACTGGCGACTTTGATGACATGACTCTCTTTCCTCTTGGCCTCTACTTCAGTAGCGAAGTCAGCGGCAGAGACCCCAGCAAGTGGGAGCTTCGTGGGTGGCTGTACAACAGCGTTTTCTATGCCACTACTGAGGAGTTCCGTGCTGCCTACTGGTCTGAGGACTTCGTCAAGAACGGGCCCAACGTCGATGGCGACTGGGCTAGAACTGACAAGAACGGAGAAACCCCTGAGATGGACAAGGCCCAGGGCCCCGTCATTGTTGCTCCCGCTGGCGCTCGTTTTGCCGTTGACCACAAGGAGAAGTACGTCGAGTGGATGGACTGGAGCTTCTATGTCGGCTTCAACCGCGACACTGGTCCTGGTCTTTTCGACATCCGCTATAAGGGCGAGAGACTCGTCTATGAGCTGTCCCTCCAGGAGGCTTTGGCTCACTATGCTGGCAACGACCCCATGAACTCCGGCACCGCTTACCTCGACAGCTTCTACGGCTTCGGTCCTTATACCTTTGAGCTTGTCAAGGGATACGACTGCCCTGCCTACGCCACTTATATGAACACCTCGTTCTACGTCAATGAGGAGACTCGCACCCACATCGACAGCCTCTGCTTGTTCGAGTACGTGGCCGACTACCCGATGCAGAGACACACCACCTCGGACTACGTCTCGGTCACCAAGAACACCTACTTTGTGATCAGATCCATTGCCACCATTGGCAACTACGATTACCAGCAGTCCTTCTCCTTCTTCATGGATGGTTCTTTCGCCGTCGAGGTTCGCGCTTCTGGCTACATCCAGAGCGCCTACTTTGCTGGCAATGAGGACTACGGCTTCAAGATCCACGACAACCTCAGTGGTTCCATGCACGATCACGTTCTCAACTTCAAGGCCGATTTCGATGTTCTGGGCACCAACAACTCCATCGAGCTCATGAGCATGGTCCCAGTTTCCAGGTCCTACCCCTGGTCTGCTGGGAAGGTCCGCAACACCATGGCCCTTGAGCGCAAGTTCATCGAGACCGAGGATGAGTCCCGCTTCAACTGGGGCCCCAACTCGGCCACTCAGGTCTTGATCGTCAACGAGAACGAGAGGAACAAGCACGGTGAGATGCGCGGCTACCGTGTGCTCCCTTACATGGGCACTGCTCACTTGACTGTCCAGAACAGCACCAACTTGGGCGTCGCTGCTCAGTGGGCCAACCACGACGTCCAGATCACCAAGTACAAGGATTCTGAGCAGAAGGCTTACCACGCCTTCAACACGCAGGATGTCCATGATCCTCCCGTCAACTTTGACAAGTACTTTGATGGAGAATCCGTCCGCAACGAGGACATTGTCCTGTGGCTGAACCTGGGCATGCACCACGTCCCCCACACGGGTGATCTCCCCAACACGGTGCAGACCACTGCCCACTCAGGCATCCAGTTCATGCCGTCCAACTACTTTGACATTGACCAGAGCAGACGCACTGTCAACCAGGTCCGCATCAACTACTTCAACGGCAGCGCCGAGGTGGAGGAGTTTGGCCAGTTCAAGGTCGGCAGCTCCGAGGGCACTTGCAGCACCTGCAAGCTCAACTACACTCCTCTGGAGCCCGAGCACCAGGGCTACAAGGGCGATGTTGTCATTCGCAAGTTCCCCTTTGACCCCAACAACCCGTTCTATGCCACTTCTGGCATCTAAGATGGGAGTGATGATCTGACATGATTATGATTTATGCGGAGATGAATGCCAGGGAAGTTGGTAGTTGATAGAGATACCTTATGATTAGATGTAGATGGCTGGCATGTTCAGGGCATGATGTAATGTGGTGGATGGTGTTTGTATGCTTTGGATAGTGCTTTGATGAATACAAATGAAGAAGAATTTGAATATCTGTATCATGTGTCTTGGGCTGCTTTGTGAAAAGTGAGGAAATACCTTGACTCCGGTGTGCTAGCTGCAAAAAAGGTTATGTACTTGAGATGTGGATCTCGCAATTGCATAAAGCGCACAATTCCAACTTATGCAATGCGCCCAGGCCATATCTCGGGCTGACACACCCCACACAGCACTTGGGCACCACCTGTTCAACCTCAGCTCACTCGTGACTCCCGCCCTCAACTGCTCAGATACACAAACGCAAATTATTCCGAATCTAAAACCGTTATCCATCACACCACCATTTACCTGCTCAATTTCACCATCGTTCACCTCAGCCATGACCCAGATCACTCGCCATCATAGCTTCCCCACCCGCGCACCTTCCAGTCAAGCCACGGATGTTGAAGATTTGATCCAAGTCGAGCCTATACCTATCGGAGATGACCCGCTTCCTCCTTACTCTCTCAACAATGATCACCCATCTTCCCGTGACACTGCCCTGCCTCGGTCCGACCCAAAAGCCCCTCAAGTGTCCGTCCAGCCACCACGAGAAGAGGTCTACAACGGTCCACCCCGGCTGCATATCCTCGCGGCTGCCTGGGGAGGCGTGATTGTGACGCCTACTATCAAATCCCTCATCCGGACCAGTCCTCCACCTCCTCATGGCGTTGGCTGTCAGATTCTACAGCTCGAGATGCGCAATATGCACAGTCTCCTCCAGCCAGACCCAGCTTCCGGCACCTACAAGGTTTTGAGTCTCGTATACCGATACGATGGCGACGAATATCCGACCGTTATGAATCTGCCCGAGACGATTCGCCCATCCCTTATCACCATCGCCAAACCCTCTGCCGTATCGCAACTCGGTGGTGCCAACATTGGCAACGGTGGCTACCGAGCTACCATAACACAGCCGTGGCGGTCCATCACCTCATCCTCGTCTTCATCAGGTCCTAAGGTGGAGATTTTGGCTGTCTTTTACGGCAAGAAGCGCATCGAACATCCGGCCGTGCTGGAGGAGCTAGCAAACTACTTTGAGGGCCGTACGAGGCAGATACGGATGACCAACACATTCTTCCGCGGCGACACGTGGCCGTACACGATAAAATCCTGGACCGTGTACTTTCGCTTTGTGGGTTCCAGGGCGGGCGTGCAGGTGGTTACGGGGTGGGAAAATCAGGCTCTTGAGCAACCGTGGACTCGAGACTGATGACACTGTCCCACCCCACAGATGGAGTTGATGCCTTGTGTATCCGGCAGTAATGGGTAGGTTTGCTTGTTTGTGTCACTGGGCTTCGATTTGTGTCAAGACTCCTTGGAGAGGATGACGTGGGTAGGGGCAAACATGTCATGCCTCTCTCTACCCGTTTGATTCCAGCGGTATAAGTGGATTGAATACTTGGAAACATGGATGAATGATTTCTTGAGAAGCCAGTCTCACACGTAATCTGGCAGGATGGCATTATCAGTGTTCACTTTGGTTTTGTTGTTTCTCTTTTCCAGTCAGGCAAACGCACAGCATAGAAGATGGGAGCCATCGACGTTTTACAAAGCCACCCGTCCACCGCTTACTATACCGTATTATAACAAGACCTACGCTTGCTTTCTGGCGACAGCAGAGGCAACAACGACATCAACAAAAATACCAGCAACAAGAGTCTCGGTCATTCCCATCGATCCTATCTGGACAACCCTTCCGATTGCGAGCTTGACAGGTGATCCTTTTTGCATCAACGAAGCGGCACCTCATGAAGGGATCGGGAATCATTGCGTTTGTCAGAACGGGGAGACTTTGAGCGTTATTCCGTTCGCGACGGGGGGTAATGTTTCGGATTATCAACCCTGCGCCTACACGACCGTCTACCCGGATACAACAACATCAACCCTCAGCCAGACTCTGATCACTTGTACAATGAGTATTCTATAGATGAAGGATGGCGAGGGGAGGATTGTTGGGAATCGGGAATCTGTATTATTATTCTTTTCTTTCATGTTCACATCAGAAAAACATAGTCTACAGATGATAATCTCTCTGGCTGGTCACCTTTGGCCCTCTTCGGCCCCATACCTCCTCGATGTTCATGTCTTCCCTGCCGCTGTGTTGGTCTGTTAGCAACCGTCTTTCTATCTATTTGACCGCCATGAAGGGAAAGAGACCTACTCATCCTTGAGGTTGATATATGGCTCCGTTACCCCTTTTGCCGTGTCGGGGTTTCTGAAGATGACGTTTTTGGTCTGTTGTAATCACTTTTGCGTCAGTCACATGCTCCCACATTTTTCCTTTTTGCTGTGTCGAAAAAGACTCACCAGCCCCAAAGTAAGATGAATCCCAGCCGGCGCAACCTCCAACTGTTCCTCCGCCTCTTCCCCCCTGATCAAAGCAGTGATGTTCCTCGCAGCAACACCAGCCTGCACCATCCCCGGCTTTGCGGCCTTGTGAGCCCCGCAGTCGTTGATATCACCCACGGCGAAGAGGTTTTCCCACGGGCCACCGTCGATCTGCATTGTTGGTTTGACTTTGACGAATCCATTCTTTTTGTTGATCACATCATTTCCAAGTGAGGATCGCAACCACTGGTTATTTGGCGTTTGGCCCGTCGCGGTGATGACGAAATCAGCGGTTAGGGTCCGCCCGTCTTGGAGGTGGACGTCTGTTGGTTGAGCTGTGAGGGGGAAGCCACGCTCAGGGATGACGACCCTGCTTTCGGTGATGAGGTTGACGCCTAATTCAGCAAAGCGAGACTTGATTAAGTCGGAGAGGGACGGGTGGTAGGCTGGCATTAGGTTATGTCGGGAGTGGATCAGGGTTATGGGTTTGTGGGGGTAGATTTCTTTGAGATCGCACGCCATCTGGACTCCTACTGCGCCGCCGCCGATGATGATGATGGAGGGGGCGGTACGGAGGGAGGATTGGTAGGATTGGAAGAAGGTGATGGCGCGGGGTTTGGTGTTGTGGGGGATCGTGCCGGGGGGAGAGAGGTTGGTGCCGGTGGCGGCGATGAGGTGGGTGAAGGGGACGGTGGTGGAGCCTTGAAAGGGGGTGTCGAGGTGGAGGGTGGAGGTGGTGGGGGAGAGGGAGAGGGCTTTGGCTTGGATGACCTCGTGGCGGGAGGGGTCGGGGGAGAGGGAGAAGGTGGTGGTGTAGGGGATTAGGCATTTGTGTTCGTGGGAGGGGAGGATGGCGAAGCGAGGCTGGGAGGGAGGGTTAGCTGGGGAGAGGAAAGGGGGGTGGGAATGGGTGAGGCACGTACAAAGGCGAATAGATGGTGGAAGTGGGTGTGGGGTTCGATGAGGAGGACCTTTAGAAATGTTAGTAATAGGGTCGTCGCAACTAGAGATAGGGTTGTCCTTACACGGTGAGAGGAGGGAAGGAGGTTGGCTAGTTCTTTTGCCGTTGCCTGGTCAAAACAAAAGGGGGAGGTCAGCGATGGTGCCCCTGAATGGACCCTAACCCTGAACAAAACTGACCACTCCGACGTAGGAGCCGCCGACAACGACAACATTCTTAAACGCTTGTGTCATGTTTGCTGTGCTTTATTTCAAAGTCTTGATTGTTTTCTCGACTTTGTAAGAGAAAAAAGCTGACGATCTGTGCGATGTTGTTTCAGGATGTGGCTGTGGATTTGATGCAAGTGGACCTGGGAAGCTGTGGGCTAATAATCTGATTGAATCTTTTAGTCTGAAAGTTGGGACAGTCGCGAGGAAGTATCAATTTTATGGAAACGAGCTCAAGCTAGGATTCTACTCTATTATTAAAATACGGCCTGCGCTTTCAAGCATTGATCCCTTCCTTCAAGTCTCATGATGGACTGCGGCAAACAAGGGTGGGGACCGGCTTCGGCTTCGGGTTTATCATGGGTTAACTATTCACCGCAACAAAGTCCTCCAGTCAACGTTTGTTTCTCATAACTAGCAATTGAGTCAAGATTTTGCAACTACATTCTTGTAAAATAGCTGCCGTTCCATCAGACGTCCCTCCTTGACTCATGGACCCATTATGTTGCCCGGCCCCCCGCTGACAGGAGACTCAGCGGCCGCCATTCCTGTGGTGTTCTGGGTTGTAATAAATGTTTTCCTCACTGGCCGCTTCGACTGAAACGTATGTGTTAGGAATGTCCTCGAGTCATTGTAGTCATTGCAGGATTAAGGAGGTTGGGGGGGCACCTACGTGGTATTCCCTTTTGGGTGTGCGGCCAAAACTTCTTCTTGATTATCTGCTCGGCAATCGAAATGTCCTTCATGGCTTGATCCTTTTTGAACTTCTCGAACTCCTCCTCTTCAGTGCAGTTGCTGTTTTGGCCCTGCTCACTTTCAACGTCCTCCTCAACGTGGTAACCCTCGTGTCTCACGGATCCGTACGCGTTAGCGATGCTAACGAATTGAGCCGGCTTGGGACTCGGCCTGTGGCGATAGTGATTGATCTGGTTCTCACAGACTATGGTAGGATCCCGGTGTCCTCCGCATGAAGGTGAGCCGTTGCAATAGGTGTCCCAACCAAAGACAAACGATTGAGACCTCTCTGGCATGTAATAGATATGGCCTGCGGGGGAGGGGGCTCTGTAGTCATCCATACCCTCAATCATCTTTTTGGCGGCCTGGTTGAGCATGGCGGCTGAGCAGGCCTTTTGATAATATCCCAGGTTGCAGAGCCAGCCCACGACGTTCTCTCCATCTGGATGGTCTGTTTTGCAAATGGCCTTGCCGCCCAGTTCCCAAATGAGGTAACGATCGTCGCACCAGTCTTGGAGGCATTTGTGAACATGGCGGACCCTGGTGAGGTTGATGTGATGTCCAGAGTGAACTGGATTCCATGAGGGAAAGGACTGGACCTTTGGGTCATCGGCAGGTCTGGGCACCGATGGAGGCAACGGATCATCTGGGGAGGCAGTAACTCCTCCAAAGAGAGATGTAACCGCGGCTAAAAGCCATGAACCAGGCAAGGAGTACTTCATTGAGACGCGGTCGTGAGAGTGATGTGGTGTTTTGAGCGAGGGAAAATAATCCAGCTCAAAAGTAGCACAGAAGGTAAAAGCTTTTCTCGACGGTATTAGAGTTTCGAATTCAGACCAGGTGTCCTGATCCGAGAGCACAATCTGTGATAGCTTAAGGTGTGGTCACGCCGCCATGGCTTTTGTGTGTATCGGCTTTTAGCTGATAAAGTTGACGCCGTTGGACTCATGCCGTATATCATGGCTTGCCTGCTTTTTGCAGGCCGGGAGGCACGACTTGGGCTTTTCTACCTTCTCTTCTTTTCTTTCTCCCAACTCCCGGTGTTCAAATGCGAGCTGGCCAGTCTTGCAACATTACTGCTCCCGCTTGACTTGACGGCTTCGACAAATCCCAAACATGAAGCTGTGGGTAGTGTGGTTCGGTATTCTCTGCAGCACTCTTGCAGGCGCAGTTCCCAGCTCACTGCAGACTCGGCTCGTCACTCGACAAAATCCGCCTGCGACCCAGCCAGCTGGGCCTCCCAAGGCTAAGCAGCCCCTCAAGAGCAGATGCAACAACGAGTGCTTGGAAAAGACCTATGTTCAAGTTGGGTGTTCTCACGCTCATGACTGGATGTGTCTTTGTGTGTATGTGATCAACACATCTCTCAAGCATCGATTCAAAGCTTACAACTTACCAACCCTTAGTGAATTTGATGGGGGACAATGGGACATCGCGAACGCTGTTCAGCAGTGCTTTCTAGACAATTGCTTGGATGCCGAAGACAGGTAAGCCCCTGACTATTTCCGCCGTGAATCGACCAAAAGCTGATGCATTTCTAGGATGTCCTGGCGAGGGATCACCAACAGTCATTGTGGGCGAGACATGAAGTCTCTATCGAAGCTCGACGTGTGGGGAATTCTGAGAAGTAAGCAAGAAAGCGAAATGGACGAATAGATGGAGATAACTAGAAACCTGGAATAGAGAGCCGTGGGTGGAATGCATAAATACCTAGTAAATTCTTTGTTTTTGTTCACCAGTGGTGTATTCTTCCACTGCACCACTTCCAGTAGCCGTTGCCCCTGAGCAGCCTACCCCCAGGTTGTCTGCATGTATGTGAAGCTTCAGAGAACTGAGATTCATGTTCCTGTTCCTGTTTCTGCTCCTGTTTCTGTTGAACTGTCTAGGTTCAATGAGTTCCGCTTGTGGATCTCCAGGCCAACCGGCGGCAGCTGCTGAACGAAAATGGTGAAGCACTCGGTTGGAACCGTTTTAGCGGTGACTTCCTCTTCGTATCTCACGAGGCGTCGATTTTCCCTCTTCATGGTGGCGTTACGGGCCCGGGGTGGCGGCATGAAGCGAAAAGTTTAGATCACCGCACCCGAGGAGGACTTATCCGGCCGGGCGGTCACACGGTGCTTTACTTCTCTGACTTCCTTTCCCATCCTTTTCTTCTGTTCCCATCCTCGCCTCTTCTGATCTGGCCTGACCAAGGCAACAGCCTCCTATCGTACTCGCCGATCATCCTCTCGACTACGATGCTGGCCTCCCTGTTGGTGGCGGCAGGCTTCTCAGCATCGGCTGTGGCAGCCCCGTCAGCTTTGTATCCTCAGACAAAATGTATGGATGTTGCCAGCAAGATCCAAAAGGCCATTCGCCATGGATTTCCTCGTGTAGGTTGTCCTCCAGAATATGAGCCCGGATCCATGATGTGCTAAGTTTGGTGATATGTGACGCGCAGTTTGTGACTGTCGATGAGAATCGAAATTGCAAACCTCAATATCGGCTTAACAGGGGCGAGTGCTGGGATCACATGAGCCCCGAAAACAATTGCAAGGCCTACTGTGAAACAAGCCATGGGGTGAGTTCTGCCGCCGCATCACGTCTTCTCCCCTCGCCCCTGACTAACTGTTTGCCACAAGTGGTATTGGGGCCACCCGCGGGTCCTGGGCGTTCGGAGCTGGCACAACCCATGTCAACGAAGCGATAGTTGCGGGATCTCTGTGAGTCTCGGTGGCCCAGTCGGCGAAGCCACGACCGTCATGATCAAGGACGAATCTTCCACTGGAAACAGCACCACTTACAAGGATGGAATATCATGGAGCGATACATGGACTGTTGCGGATACCTTCAACTTCGGGGTAACCGGCACAGCCGGTGTCGGTCTGTCTAATATACCACTGTTTGATGGGGTTCCAATCATGGGAAAGGCCGGTGTGGACATGACATCGGGTTATACACACAGCGACGGCCAAAGATTCGAGCAAAGCCGAAAGCGGAGTGTGGATTGGGAGAGTAATGTCAAGTCTTCTCAGTCGTATGGGATCACGAGGACGCGGCAAAGATCCCTCTCATACTCTACAACCGGTAGTTGGTCAAAAGACGTCTGGGCCAATGACTATTGTGGCAGCTGGTTTGCGGTGCCGCTCTTGGGGATGTAAGCCCGACCATGCCGTCTTGCTTCCACGCCGAGAGATTGTGTGCTAATGTTTGAGCGTAGGAGTTGTGGCAGAGCAGCGATGGGCGACTTGGTGAAGAATCCTCTCAATAACCACACTCGATGCAATCTCGATAAGTTTGGATCGTTCGACGTGTGTGCCTCGTATGGGTTCAAGCACGAGACGGTTCCCGATGAATCTCGCACCAGGACGGTATTTGTGCTGCGCGACTGCAAGCGAGGTTTTATCCTCCCTGGCGAGTGGCAGCAACATGAGTTTGCCTACAGCACCATTTCGTCCATGCCTGAGTACTACAGGGACCACATCTCGAGATGGGGCATCAGAAACCTGGACGAGAAGCCCGAGGACGATGAATGGGTGTTCCAGAGACAGATGGACCAGAAGCTCCACAAGTTCACAAAGACCATTGGCGTTACCGACTACAACTTCAAGTACTGCGGAGAGGGCGAGTACTGCGTCCAACTGAAGTTGACCAAGGATCGGTGCTATGATATCCCGCGTGGCTATGTCAGTATGCCCGATGAAAGCCCCAAATCAGCCCACGTTGTTTCGGCCACCGTCATGCCCGGCCACTGCTGTATGCTTTTCTCCAGACACCAATGTCTTGGACAGGCACAGCGTCTGCTCCCCGGAGATACGAAGTTGCAAGAGGTTGCGTATGAGGGTCTCGCCCACAGTGTTGTCTGCAATGCGAGTGAGTATTGCCGCTCTCAGACAGACGAAGGTTATGGCAGCGCCAGCGAGGATGACTAGGCGTCTTAGCCGTGGATTTCCAGAATTGATTGGGACGGCAAAACTTCTTCGGATACCCTCGGAGTAATGAGAAGGAGTTAGATTGGAGTAGATGGGAGGATCTGTGAGCTCGTTTGCTAGGTATATTGCTAGATATGCAATACATTCCAGGAGTCTATTGATAAGGTAATCGTGGCCAAATGACTACATATCAACATATATCATATTCTAATGCCAACTCGCTGTTGCTTAGAAAATCCCAACCATCCGTGACGTAGAGGCCTGAGGTCCAGACCTGTGTGAGTTTGTTTAGCATGTACTGGATTGTACATTTTCTTTGTCAGCCCAGAAGCAGGCCGCTTCCGCCATTGCGATGATAACGCACCACAATCGAAGTTCATGCTCGCGATCAGCAGTGATCCTTGCGATTCGTTAACCTCTTCGTATCAAGCCGAAGACAACACACACACATGCATGTCTCGCCGGAGAAGACAGATCTAGCATGATTCGCAACCAAAATCCACGAATTGCTGATTGTGGAGAAGAGGGCAGGTAGGCTAACTACGTACTTTCAGAACACGAAAACCTAGATAGAGTCAAGCCTCGGACCAAAGCTTACAGTGGCCGGGTCGAAGACTATCTTTAGAAGGTTTGGGCAGGCTCACAAAGATGGACCAAAGGCAGGTTTCTCGATGTCAACCAATTTTTTTCATCCAGCTGAGCACAAGAAAAGCAAAGAGCCCCTCTGCTCCATCCCAAAAAAAGGCGAGACAATCTTGTCGAACGTGCCTCGGAGAGCGTCAACATACCTAGCAATATTCGAGATGGGTAGGCTTACTGGGCTTCTTCTTGCCTTGCTTTCGCCCCTGTGTGTTCTCGGCAGTCCCAAGACTGTCGCGGCCTGTGGGAGCACTGGCTTGTCGCTCTTTGCTGAGGCCAACTATGAGGGTCCCTGCCAGGCTTTCTCGCCTGAGACTCTCGACAACACACACCAGGCCAGCTGCGGTATGTTTCTCTTTCATTGTTGCCTCCAGAGGCTCCACTATCTAACCATGATCATTACACGCCAATAGTGGACATCAGCCCCTCTATACCAGTGAATTCCATCTACAAGGGCTCCTCCCTCAGCTGCTGCTTCTTATACGAGTAGGTCTTTTGCTCCACATCTACAGGCTCTCTTTCAATCTGTCCATAACTGACGACTGCAAACTACAGAAAACCCTGCCCGGACCCGTCGTCCCCGTTCTACCCTCAGTGCCCCAATCTTGTGTCTCAGCGAGTCTTTGTCCCCGGCATCTCGGATCTGTGTCGTTTCGGCTGGGGAAAAAACACCATCAAGTCCATCGTTTGTCCCGACAAACACACTTGCGAGTCCTTGAAAGATGACATGTCTACCACGACACTCACTTTCTTCGTTGAAAAGGAGATTGAAGATCCATTCACTGGGCGTGTAACTAAAAAGAAGGAGCCGCAGAAGAGGGAAGTCAGTTTGAGGGGGTACTGGTTGGATTTGCAACAGGTCAAGGGTCACAAACGGGCCATCTGAGTCCGAGATGTCAGGCCAAAAGCCGGGGGAAGACTAAATGCGCAGCTAGCAAACTTGTTATCAGTCTATTCCCACCTTCCCACAGGCAGACAAGGGAACCAAATACAGAAAACAAATTTACAAGCTCTTCCTATCCTCCTTGATCAAATCCGCCGCCTTCTCCGCAACAGCATAAACCACACTCTGAATATTTCCCACCGGCTCCAGCGGGAAAACGCTCGCGTCCACCACCCTAAGCCTCTTGGTCCCGTACACCCTCAACCTCGCATCCACCACACCGCCCTGCTCCCTTGGCTTCATGGCGCAGCTGCCAGACACATGAAACACGGAGATCTGCCTCTTGCGGACAATTTCCTTTGCCTTTTCCAGATCCGTCGCCACAAGCCCCTCCGGCTGCCTCTTCCCCCCGTCCTTGAGCAGCTTGCCAAACGGCGTCGACTTGTCGACGAGCCGCTCGACAAACTCGACGCCGCGGGCGAGGAGCTCCATGTCGAGGAGGTTGGAGTTGTACTTTGGGTCCCATACCGGGGCGGCGTGGACGTCGGGGCTGGAGATGTGCACGCTGCCGCGGGAGAAGGGGTGGTTGAGGATGGTCATGACGGTGATGTAGTTCTCGGGGAGGACCGGGAGGATGTACTCGGCCATGGACTTGGGGACGTCGGGGATGGAGACCTGGGTGGGGAAGAGCAGGAACTGGAAGGTGGCCTCGTCGGGGGACTCGACGAGTTTTCTGATGGCTTGCGCGTCCGGGGTGGTGAGGGTGTGCTCGTGGGAGGCGAGGAGCTCCTTCTTGGCCTCGGGGGAGACGATGCCGGAGCCGTCGACGAGGGGGGAGTAGGCTACGCTGATGGTGCTCTGGCCGAGAGGTCCGGCGCCGGAGGCCTGGTACATGCCTACCAGAGCGTTGAGAACGTTGGGGTCACGGAGGACATCCCCTGACGGGGTCGTATCGGCGACCTCGAAGCTCTGGCATACAATGGGGTGGTCTTGCACGTTCTCGCCCACGCTGGGGTTCTCAACAATGACGGGAATGTTGTGCTTCTCGAGGATGTCCTTGCTTCCAATACCGGAAAGCTCCAGAATCTGGGGTGACTGCAGGGTACCAGCCGACAGGATGACTTCGAGGTTGGCAGATATCTGCTTCTTCTCACCATCCTTGGTCAAAATCTCAACACCAGTGGCAACAGGCTCATCTCCCGTGGTGTCAAAGACAATCTTTTCCACCAAAGTCTCGGTGAGAACCACCAAGTTGGATCGCTTCGCAACCTCTGGGTTGTAATAGCCTGTGGCTGCGAAACTTCTGGTGTGTGTTACTGGATCAATGCTGGCCTGGTTCTGGAAGGCACCCAATGCCCTTCCATCACGAGGATCCGTGGTGACCTCAAGGCCTTGTCCAGCAAAGGTCTTCAACCAAGCTTGGTTGGTTACATTGTAACCTTCACTGAAAGTGACGTGGATGGGCCCGTCACCTTTGGCGAGGTCCTCATTGTGATAGGTTAACCCGCAGAGGTCCTTGGATGACTGGGGAGGAGTGTGGACGGTTGCAAACTTGCGCAGGTAGGGAGCAAGAGAGTCAAAGTCCCAGCCCTCGTTGCCCAGGGCTGCCCAGGCGTCAATGTTGCCCTTGGAAGGATACAACAGCATGAGGAAGTTGAGGGCCGAGCTGCCACCAAGCATCTTCCCGCGAGCTTGGTTGATGACCCTGTTGTTCAGGGTAGGCTACGAAACATGATCAGCAAAAGGCCCTCCTGGTCAAGAGAGCGAGTGGCACGACCTACCTGGGGTGTTGATGTGAAGTTCCAGTCGTATTCATCCTTGCCGTACAAGCCGGCAACAAGACCCGGGCAAAGAACCAGGGGGTCACTGCTACGGTCTGCACCGGCCTCGATGACAAGAACACGGACATCGCTGTCTTCGGAGAGCCGGTTGGCGATGACGAGGCCGGCAGTGCCGCCGCCAACAACGACATAGTCGAACGGCTTCTCAAGGTCAACAGCAGCCATGATGTGTGATGGGAGGTTTGCTGATGGTGGGTTGTACTGAACAATCTGGGCGCTTTCGGCAAGATGCGGGCTGGATGTCGCTGAAGATGCAGAAGAAAGGGGCACCCAAAGCTGGACAGATATGGAAACAGAAAGGGGGGGCTCGCCAATTGTATGCACAAGGGGGAGCAGGCAAGAGATCTCGGCTTCGGCAGTTCGGGGATGACGAACAATTAGGGGTTCGCAAAGCGGATATCACCAGGCTCGCAACACGCAGCAGAGAGGAGTCTGGAGAAGTCGGTATGAAGATCAGCCTCGTTTCAACCGAGTATGTCGCGAACGTGGTCCTTTTGTTTGCTTCAGTTCCCCTCTCGAGCCAGTCCCCCAGCCCCCACTGGGCCATGCCAATGGTTTACCACCGCCGACCCCCAACATGGTCTAAGAGTGTGTTTATTCAGGGGCCGCCCCTCCACACCTCGGTGTCGTGAGCCCAGAAATGTGGGCGTTCTGCAGGTGTTCTGCGTGTTCTGCAGGTCGGTGGCTGCAGTTGGGGACGTTGTGGCTCGACAATGACACCCGCAAGCACGCCAAGTTGGTTGAAAAAAGACTGGGGTTACACTGGGGTCATGAAGAAGCGAGAGATATCCCTAGAGGTGGGCAGACTCGAGGTGGTATGGAGCGGCAAAAAGGGGCGCAGATCTGCACCAGGTAATTGGGGCCAGGGTTAAGGGCGGGGTATCGACTATTGTTTGAATGGCACGATGGACTCGTCCAGCTCTCGCGCTATCGACACAGCAAGACGGGAGTCAATGGGAGACTTTGAATTCACCATGCCTGGAGGTGGTTTTGGGGCACGGAAAGTGGGGGTTAAACAGGAAGTGATTGCCCGGGGAAGCCATCCGGAAGAGGAGATATTGACGAAGACCTCAAAAAACGACGTCTCGAACCCCACACAGCTCAAACAAGCTAGCCCATGTATCCTTGCAGAACAAGGTCTTTCTTGGATTTCGTCCGCTTCTTCGTCCTTGCTGTCGTCTGCTGTCAAAGACTTGCCAAGGTCCCTTGTGCTCGGACACGCCGTTGATGGCTTCCGCAGTGGAACTTGAACGCGCCGTCCCTAGTAGTGCAACGGTTTTGTCTTACCGCAGCGGCCATCAAAATTTATATTTTCTGTGTTGGAAGCCGGATGAGAGGACCTCTTCGTGGTCCAGAGATTTGACCGGGCATTACTATTCCTTTGAGCCAGTTGTGCCAGTTGTTCCAGGCTGGAGCCAAGCACACAATATTATTTCTCAGTTCCACCCTGCCCTGACAGCACCATCACATCACTCACATAAGCTTGCATAGACCCAAAATCATCAGGTACAACCGAGGCTGGGCACCAGAGCTTTCAGAAAGCAGGCCACATCTTTATCCAAAGACCCCGAAAGACTTCGCTTATTGCTTGACCAGTCTCGTTTCTCCAAGAGGAACCCAGACGGCACATGCACGGCACAGCATCACTCACACCCCCCGGTCGAATAGGTGTGCTTCCTCTCATGGGCAATGCAACGCCCTTCTGCAGTTTATTATTTTCTTTTCTTTCTTGAAGATGTGACTGCTACCCACACGAGGCACGACGTGCTTATCCTGCTGCTCATCTTTTCTTTCTCGGGTCCTGACAACTACCTGGGTTGCTTGCCGGCCATGCCCCGGATGCCATATTGACGATCTTTACCTTTTTACTTTAACAATCCGTCCCCTGTTGCTTACACTGCTCCCGAGCAAGTGGTGGACATTAGCAACCGCTCCACAGTGATCTGAGCATTGCCCCAGTTTCTATCTTTTCTCTCTCCTTTCAAGGACAGCTTCCTTGCTCAGACTCGGGATAACTGCCGTGGCCTTTTCTCACTAAAAGGAAGGGGACCACTCCTTTTGGCCTCCCTCCCCTCCATCTTGTCAGATCAACATTTCAAGATGTTCGAATACGTCGAGTTTCCGATCCTCCCGATCGTCAAAACCCATCTCATCATCAACTGTGTACTAGCCGTCATAACTTTGGTGATCATTGGGCTGAGACTCTTTGCTCGCTTCCTGACGGGAGCTGGCCTGTGGTGGGATGACTACCTCATTCTGTTTGCCGTCCCTCAGGGCATGGCCATGGTAGTGATTCAGGGCCTTTGTAAGTCGAACGACTCTCCCCTCGCTCTCGAGACATAGATGTACTGATATTTACCTTCTTTCAGGGGCGCCGATGGGCGTAGGATATCCAATGGCCGAGACCGCTCCAAATATCGAACACATCCTGAAGATGCTCGTCTCATACGAACTGATCTACGCGACATCCATCAGCACCATCAAGCTCAGCGTCCTCATTTTTTACCTCCGTGTCTTCGTCAACAAAACGATGCGCATGGCCACCAAGGGCGTCATCATCTTTGTCTGTCTCTGGTCTGTTGGGAATATACTGCAGGTGTTTCTGATTTGTCGTCCTTTTGCCGCCATCTACACCGTCGCTCTGATGCCAACAGCGCAATGCGGTGACCAAGTCGGGTCTTTTATTGCCATTGGCGCGTTCAACATCATCACCGACGTGTTGATTCTGACGCTCCCGATTCCAACGGTGTGGACTCTGAAGACCTCCAAGGGCAAGAAGATCGCCCTGACAGCCGTCTTCTTGGTTGGTTTACTGTACGTGATTCCCTCGCCTTCTCCTTTCCGTTCACACATCTAACAAACCTCTCCCCCTTCCAGCGTCAGCGTGGTCGCCATGATCCGCATCGTAACCCTCACCCAGCTCGACCTCGTCAACCTGACCGAATCCATGGTCTGGGCCGACTTCTGGTCCGCGACCGAGCCCAACCTCGGCATCTTCTGCGTCAGCCTCCCCATGCTCGGCACCCTCTGGACCCGCTATTTTTCTCGCAAGAGCCCCTCCAAGCTCGACCCGTATCACTCCTCTGAGAACGGCACCAACGGCACCAACGGGTTCAGCAAGCTGAAGAACAGCTCCAACCCCGGCACCGACACGATCGTGATGGAGGATTTGTACGCACCGAACAAGGAGGTGTATCACAAGACGGACGTTGCTGCTGCCACGCCGGATGGGGATAGGGCGGGGACGCCGCTGAGGGCGAATAGCTCCGAGGAGGCGCTCACGATGCAAATGGGGGATCATCGGAACTATCATAGGCAGCCGGAGGGGATTAGGGTGCAGACGAAGTGGACTATTTCGGTTGATTAGAATGGTGTACAACAGCTTTTTTACCTGCCTACACATACATCTACGGGCACAGTTTCTTGTTTGTTGGCTTACGGCTTTCATTAGATACGGATTATTGGATTGGAGTGCAAATTCTTCATGTACATCACCATATTTGGATACTCATACTTTTCTTTTTGCGTTTTGGGAGGGGGGGACACGAATATATGAGTGAGGTGGGAAAAACAAGGCTCGGGAAAAACAAGGCTCGGGAAAAAGCAAAATCAGTTAGATACGGCTACCTACGGATACCTACTACTAGAGAAATCAATCACATTAAAGACAGCAAACACTCAGCTATTCAGCGTCTGCTTGCACGGAGCAAATCATCGCTTGTTGTCCAATAGGCTTCATGCTTCATTGGGACGTTTTAAAACATAGCTAGTGGACAAGTTAGCTGTAGTAGGATGAGGCGTAGCAGGAGGAGGCTCAGCGGCACAGAGAACGCAGAGAAAAGCGGACGGAATCCCAGAGGATGGCACAGACTCTGCCGCACGCCGCAAGATGCAACGGTCGACGGGGTTGGCTCCACGCCGCTGGGGCACATACACACATCGCCGCATCGTCGGGACGAGGGACCCGATTGAAAGGTTTTGCTGGTGGCGTTTGCTTGGTATTCGGATTTGTGCGAGACTGATTCTTTGAGGCGGGCAAACAGTGGACTGGCCGTATTAGGTCAATGGTGGATCTTGAATTCTGGTTGGTAGAGATGTGAAGAGGACAGTTTTGGGAAGCCCCCTTTTTTTTATACCCCTATTCTGCCCCTGATGTGGCAACACATAGATACCTTACTGAGTCAGCAAGCAACTAGCTAACGATTATGCGTAGTTGGCACAACGGCAGGCGTGTTTGATAGAAACCATAGATTTTGAATTGTACAAGAAATCTAGAGAAGTAAATTGTGTACATATGTCTGGCCACACACGTGCAGAAACGTGTAATATTCACCAGCTTCTGTAGTCCAAAGTCCGAACTATAAAACCGAGACAGTGGCGGTGGCACAGACCGTCTAGTAACGTCCATAGTTTCTTGTAGATATTTATAAGCAGTCTAGAACCGATGGCTGGCGGGTATGTGACACCAATGTTCAAGCTAACGATTCAAAAGAGGAAAGACGAGAATCAAACCCAAGCCAACGTAGGCAAGCATGTGAACAAACAATAGCAATCAATAAATCCGGATAGCTGGTATACGAAAACGAAAATCAAACCGTTATCATTTCCATCATGATCTCGCCAGCTGCTCGCATACACTTCATATCTTGGTCCCCGGCCTCGCCAACGCTCTCTGCTGCCGTATCGCCGAACTGCTGATCTTCGCCGAGAAATTCTCTTCTGTTTTGGTCACCTCTTTCTCCTCCAACACATCCTCCGCATCCAGCACATCCACCTCAAACACCTCCAACGTCTTCCACCCCTGTTCAGCCCTCTTATCATTCACTGCCTTGCCTCCTGACCTCGTCTCCCCAGACACAACCAACGCATCAACATTCTCCACCGTGATCGTCGGCCCAAAAGGATCTTGAATCCTGACACAGTGAACAAGAATCGTCCCATCCCTAAACCAAGCCTTGACATCGCCGTCCCTTTCCTCCACTCGTCGCGGCTGCTGAGTGTCTTTCCATCCTCTTTCCGAGAGCTCGAGAATCCGAGACAGAAACAAAATCACATTCCTCGCTCTGGTTTCCCAGGACTGGACGAACTCGGCATACTTTTTGTTTTTCAAAAGCTCATCGCCTGTGATGCCGATGATGTAGGTGCAAGGTTGCATATTGGCGTCGTCTTTTCTTGGGACTTTCAACAACAGCGCAGCGGCGGTGAGGAGAAGCTTGTGACCTGGGTGTAGATAGTCAAAGGTTCCACCGAGGCAGACGACAGGGACCCCCGGCGTCCGAGCGGGTGTTGGGCGTGGTATGTTTCCTTGGGGGGCAACATGCATAGTGATGCCCCCTTCGACAGGAATCAACTGCTCCTGCAGCAATGTTTGCCTCCCCTCAGCGAGCTTGAGATAGGTCTGATAAAACTGAAGCCCAACCTCGCTTCGGACGTGGAAGATGTAGTTCCATGGGTGATAGGCCGAGGCAAAGGTTGCGAGGTCAATCACGGTGGTGTTGTTGGTCTCAATGGCAGGGCGGAAGTCTTCAGTGAAGCGCTTGTTGCGGTTGTGGTCAATCATAACGACTGTGGCATCGACTGAGTTTGGCCCGCCGTCAATTTCGGTGCCGATGCCAAGCTGAGCAGAGACGACGGAGATGATGGTGTAGATGCCGGCTACCAAAGCCTGGGCTTCGGTCCATGACAGGGTCTTGGACCGCAAGAACTGGCCGTGCAATATTGGGCATTCGACAGCTACGGTGAGTTTAGAGGCGCCATTTGGTCGCTTTAGCCTTGAGAGTGCAGCAGTGATGGATGGTCGATATGCCGTGTTTAACAACGAGCGACTTGAGGGGTCGGGAGGAAATGGAAGCAATAGCAACGAGGGTAGTTCGTCTCGAGGCATGGTGAATAGCTATGACTGGTTGTGTGGAAATTGGTGATAGATTCAAGATATGTCTGGTGGCAGATGTTGAGAGTATAATACAGGTGACGGGACGTTGTTTAGCGGGACGTTGAGATGGGCCACTGATGCACGATGATAACCGCGGTTCGTCCTCAGCGCTGCAGATACCCGCTCGGCTGGTCTGGTTGGGTAAGGTAACAGGTAGCGGGAACACGTGAGGTCTGCAGTTGTTCTCCCGCCGGGTTTGTTTCTCCAACTCCCTCTGCTCTGACGATTGAAGCTTCCGCTGTTGCTGTGGAGGGCCTGAAAGGAAGCTACCGATAATCCAGCTTGTTGTTAGCGGAGCAGCCGGTCCACCAACCTCCAAAAAGGCCGCGGGGCTACCCCTGGGTAGATGCAACGGTTCAGGCAGGAGATGCACATCACCCCAGAAGCCATCCGCTGTGTATGTGTCTCGCTGTGTGGCTTTGATATTGACCACCATTCAGGTACCCGTAGGTCGTTAGATTTGAGTCAACAAGTGACGCCCTAGATCAATCCAACGTGTCAGAGACCAGCCGCAGACACCTGGTCAGTGCTCAGTAGGCGGCTGACGATTCGCGACTTGGCGGCTAAGGTAGTAGCCCCTCGGCGGCTGGATTGGGTGCACGATTGCTGCCAAACCGAAACATCACATTTGGTCGCCCGGTTTGGGAAATCCCCTCTTCAGCATAGCACAAGTCCTGCGATCTTCTACCGCAAGCCAATTCTGGGCTCTTGGGCCCAAACAGCCACATCTCGCGCTGAAGACGCGACACTGACACCGGTCCTGCATTCCGGTCGCAAGACGGAGCCACGGTGGGCGGACATCGCATCGCTCTGGCGCATCTCGAACTACGAACCACCCCGCTCCCCCCCCCCCCCAAACAAGTACTCCAATCATCCCCCGCCTCCCGCCGCTGCTTGATTCGAGTCGACCCTCCGATCAACCAAGCTCGGACCCGGCACCGAACCTCCTGTGTGCTGCGCGCTGAATTTTGAGAGTGTCCGAGACCATGAACCAACAGCAGCAATACCAGCAACCGTCGAGGCGGACAGACGCCTACTCGTCGCAACACGACGAACTCCACCTGCCCTCGTCATCCAGCATGGCCCACCAAGGCCAACATCCCCTTCAACAGCAGCAGCAGCAGCTTCCCACCCGCCAATATTCCTCTGGGCCCGGCGTTCCTCCCCATATCAAGCTCGAGCAGTCCCCAAATCCTCAGCAGCATCACCACCAAAGCGCCGGTGTAGTGCCCAACGTGCTACAGCCGGGCGGGCTGCAAACCAGACCTCCTGTCATCTCGTCAAATACCGCTCCGGTCCTGCCTACCATGCAGCAACAGCAGCCACCAGACTATCAGCCTCATCAAACACCAACAAAATCCAACTCGATGAACCTGTCGCATAATTACCCGCGATCCAGCCCCGCCGCTCCCTACGAGGGCGGGTCCGGCTACTCTGCCTACGCTCCCAACACTCCTGGCGGTGCCGGGAGCTCTTCGCAGTACATGTCGCCAACCGATTCAAAATACAGCCAGTCCTCGGGCTCCCAGCGCATCCCCTCCAATGCGCCCCTTGGTCTCGCTGACATACGGCCCCGCGCTGACTCGAGTCTTTCCGATGGCATCCCCGGGACCACCTCCTACGAGCATGCAAACACTCAGTCACGTACCAGCAACTACATGGCCCCATGGGCTCTCTATGCGTTCGACTGGTGCAAATGGGCTCCCCAGGGAAACAGTGCTGGGAAAGTAGCTATTGGGAGTTATTTGGAAGATGGGCACAACTACGTAAGTACATGCGAGCGATATGTCGCTGCTTGGAAATGTCTTCTCTGACTGGTTCACTTCCGGTGGTAGATTCAAATTCTCGACGCTCAAGTATCTCCCACACCGTCTGACGTCTACTCGCCCGCCGGGTCGAGGTATACAATGGACTTTACTAGAATCGCCGAAGCAACTCACTCCTATCCCGTCACACGTCTCCTGTGGGAGCCTCCATCGTCACAAAAACAGTCAACCGATCTTTTGGCCACATCCGGCGACCACCTCCGCCTTTGGTCTCTTCCTTCCGATCCTCAAGTTCAGACTCCTGGCTCCTCGATAACGTCAAGAAACGGCCGTGACATGCCGATTACGAAACTCACCCCCTTGGCTTTGCTCTCCAATTCCAAGACACCCGACCACACAGCACCCCTGACCTCGCTCGACTGGAACACCGTGACCCCCAGCTTAATTATCACGTCCAGCATCGACACTACCTGTACCATCTGGGATATTCCATCCCTCACGGCCAAAACTCAGTTAATCGCCCACGACAAGGAAGTCTACGACGTCCGTTTTTGCGCCAACAGTGTGGACGTCTTTGTGAGCTGTGGTCAGGACGGCAGCGTGAGAATGTTTGATCTGAGGAGTCTGGAGCACAGCACCATTATTTACGAGCCAACCGGAAAGGAAGAAAGAGGTATACCTTTTCCCCCATTTCCTTCTTATTTTTTACCCGTAAACTAATATATTTGTTCTAGACGCCAACGGAGGTCGCATCTCCCCCACACTTGCCCAGCAAACAATGTCCCACCCTCCTCCCCTCCTCCGACTGGCCACCTCCCCCCACGACCAGCACCTCCTCGCCACCTTTGCCCAAGACAGCAACGTAATACGCATCCTCGACGTGCGCCAGCCAGGCCAGGCCCTCCTCGAGCTCCGCGGCCACGGCGGCGCGCTCAACTGCGTCGAGTGGTCCCCTCTGAGGAGAGGAACCTTGGCCTCGGGAGGTGACGACTGCCAGGTGTTGATCTGGGACTTGCTGAACAACAACAACACGTCCAACGCGGCCACAATCTCCACCAACGGAGCTGCCCCGCCAACGGGCGCTCAGGCTGCTGCAAGCACTGATAATGTCAGGAGTCCGGTTGCTGCTTGGCAGTGCGAGTACGAGGTGGGCAATCTGGGGTGGGTGCCGCACTTGGCTGGGGGGGAGTATGGGGATTGGTTGGGTGTCAGCGCCGGGAGGGGGGTTTGGGGTGTGAAGTTGGGATGAAAGGGAAACGATAGCGACAAGAAGAGAAGAGGTTGAAGGATTATGATACCGTATGAACAACGTGAATGAAATTGGATGTTGGAAGGAGGGGGGGGAATGAAGGAATGTTTGATAACTAGTTGGGGAGGTTTCTGACGTTGGGAGGCTAAAATGAGAGGAGGTTTGTTTGTGATGCACGAAGAGAGGAGACAAAGGCAGAGAGGGACAGGAGAAGAGGCATCAAAAGGGACAGGAAAGCAAGCATTACATATCTGATATCTATAGACGGAATGAGCCTGTGTACTGCTTTGTTTTAACCCTTGAGACCGTAGATTATGGAATAGGTACATGCTGCAGCATGTCTTTACGCCCATGTCGATACAAGGCTTCACACTCAGAAACAAAAGGCATAATATGATCCAGCATCTGACTTTTTGGTCTTCTCTAACGTCGCTACCCCCAAAAAAGAGCAAGATTTGACTTTTGTTGGTTTTGTTGCGCATATTATCAAGATGCAACACACGCTATAAAACTTTCCGAAAAAGACACTCCTTTCATTACTCATTACAATGTTCGTAGCATTTGATGAGGTCATGGTATTTGTTTTCAAGATGACCACCAACTATTTTATCTCAACACATCACATGACAAGACGCTTAAAGCTTCTGCATGGCAACAATGTCGGAAGACTGAACGTAGTCCTCGAGCTCGGCGATCTGCTCCTGGAGATCATCAAGAGAGACCTTCTCGTCCTCGACGACAAGGTTGATCTGGAGCTTCTTGATACCGAAGCCGACGGCGACGAGCTTGGAAGCACCCCAGACGAGGCCGTCCTTCTCGATGGCACGGACACCCTCCTCGAGGGCAACCATGTCGGTCTCATCATCTGTGGAGAAGCAGTGTTAGCAGGAATGCCAGAAAAAGTAAATCATTGAAAATTGCAACATACCCCAAGGCTTGACGTCCATGGTAACGACGGACTTGGCGGCGGGCTTGGCCTTGCCCTCCTTCTTCTTGCGGTACTCGGCGAGGCGCTCCTCACGGATGCGGGCAGCCTCGGCGTCCTCCTCCTCGTCGTCGGAACCGAAGAGGTCGACATCCTCATCCTCCTCCTCGGCGGCGGCGGCGGGGGCCTTGGCGGGGTTGAGGGTCACCTCGGCGACGTCGGGGCCGTAGACGGTGTAGGGCTGGCTGGCATCACCGGGGAGGGTGGTGAACTCCTCCTCGTAGGAGGCGATGTGCTTGTACCAACGGGCAGCGTTGGGGTACTTGGCGGCATCGGGAGCGGAGCTCAGGGCCTTGAAGACGACAACATCGGCCTGGGAGGCAGAGTACCTTTGGAGAAGCGCCTTTGTTAGTTCACAACGTCTCTTTTGCTTTTCTTTTGCGCGCTTAGAATTGGCAGTGAACAAGAGGACACAAAGCGCAATTCAGAGCCGAAAACTGAACTGCGCGCTGCGGGGTGAAAAGGAGAAGGGAAATCAGAGTCGCAATAATTTGCTGGATGTGTAATCATTTGCAGAGGTCTTAATTCTGCTAAGAAACACGGACCATAGTGATCATCATGAAAAGAGAGGCAAAAATGGTGTATGACTGTCAGGGAGGGGGAGAAATCAACACATACCCGGTAACGTAAGAGCGGGTAAGGAGCCAGTTGTTGAGCACGGTGAGACCGGCATCGGAGAGGAGATCGGTGAAGCCCATTTTGATGATGTTGTGAAGTCTTTGCGACGTCGTTTTGTTTAGAGGTGTGGATGAGGAAGTTGTCGAGGTGGCAGCAAGGAGGGCGAGGATGGCGGGGTTGGAAAATCTTTTGGATTTAATAGATTTCGCTGAGTCCCGGAACCCCGCACTGAGCAGCCCACTTTCGCCCACCCCCCTCGTCCCTGATTTTGATGGCCTGAGGTAGAAAGGGTCGCTGCCCGACGCTCCACTTTAACTGCTCTGGACCGAGGACCCTGGTTGGCTCCGCGTTTCATCTCATCTCTGGGATGGACAGGTCCAGATCACGAAACACCATGAAGGGTTTTGTTGAAAGCTGGAGACAGAAATGATTTGTTTTGGAGCCTCAATGTCATGGTACTTGACTCTGCTCACTCGATCCAGGTAGAAGTAAGGATTGGGGTAATGCGACCCTTGAAGACGGCCTACAACCAGCCTGGAGTTCTCACTCGCCCTGCCAAACACATGTGTGTTTCTGGATGACTCAAGCATCACCATGAATATGACATACACATTAATGTCCCGAGAATTTGGGTATTCTTAGTCAACTATTTTACCGGTATTCTCTTTCCTAGACCCTTGGTAGCTTAGAATTAAAGTCTTCTCCCAAGATGACTGATTCAGGGGACTGTTGTCCCACATGTCCCAGCAAGAAAATACTGTTGACAAGCTCCGGGCTGTAGGGTTAGGATACAACCATTGTCTCTCACAAGACAGACCATAAATCTATCTGAGAAACTCAGCATAGCCCTGACATGTTCTGAAAGGTACAACTTATTCCTCCTCGGCTTGATCACCACCACTCAAATCCGGAATCCACCCCTTGGGACGTTCGCTACCCCTGATGGTCCTGTCGTAACCCAGACGTTCAACCTTTTGAACAGACTGCCGTGTGACCTCCAGCTTCTTCTCCCACTGGAACCTGTTGCCTTGCCCAACGGGAAGCATCTCAAAAAAGCTACCCAGCTCATGCATATCCTCGACAATGGTTCGAGGCTGTTCGTCACCCCCAGCTCCGCCCCCAGCCATTGTGCCTGTCAGTGCTGTTGATGTAGTGGCAAAACGCATCATTTCACCCGTAAGATCAAACACGCCGTAGAGGTAGTCATCTTGGGTGAGGCTAACTTTCGGTGTCTCCTTCTCCAGGGGTTGCTCTGGGGCCGCAGCAGCTGGCTCGCTTGCATCCGTCATGGCTACATCCTCTGATGGTGTGATCCCCTTCCGGACCAAGTCCTCCATGATCGGTGTTAGCTGCTCGGGGGTGATGAGGGTCTGTGTCTTGAGATAATGCAAGAAAGTAAGCGCCTCCACAAGCTCTTCCAGACACATCAGGGATCGAGCATATCGGTAGCGATTGATGCCCTGGATCTCAGGGGCAATGGTGGCCAGAAGCTTGGAGATATCGGCGAGCCGTGTGTCAATCTCGGCCTGGATGTTTTTTGGCAATTCCTCGTCGATTTTCCGGATTCTGAATAATGATATGAGCATTTCAAGATATTTTCTTAGGATTTAGATCCACTCCATACCTCTGCAAGGCAAATATTCTGTCACGGTGGTTAGTGAAGGGTCAATTCGAGCCAAGGCAAATGCAAGCTCACATTTTCTTGCTCAAAGCCGTGATATCTCTTGAAGCCTTGATAATGCGCTCCCGGCGGTCATGATGCTGGTCAAGCTCATCTCTGAGAGTCTCAAACATGGGTGTGAACTGATTCTGCACAACCTTTTTGGCAGGCGGCTTTGGTCCATCCCTCTTCTTGGCATTGCCATTCCAGTCACGCTTGAACCCGGACATTTTGACGTATTTTTTGTTGGTTTGTACAAGAGGTGCAGTTTGTTGTCGCTCTTGGACGCCTTCCATTTTTGACGTCGTGGTGATTGGTTTGGTGCTATGGGGACACTCCATGGGCGTGGCTCTACACCAAAATTGTTAGGCTCATCTCATCTCAACAGGGGTGAGATTCACCCAGACATGAAGGGTGAAGGACGACAATCTCATACATAAATCGACAATATTTCTCCGCATCGTGGCCAAAGCGATTTCTAACAAGCTTCCATCTCTTGATGAAGTAAAAGGGTACAAAGGCGGTCGGAACTCTGTGTGGGAAAGCTGGGCAGATCACCAAGTTGTATCGGGTTGACACGTCGTTACTGTGTTGCTGAGCTTGACCGAGAAGGGAAGATTGAAAACAATTCCAAAAGGCAAATGGTTATCGACACACAATCGACTTGAAAATTGATCAGGCGGGCAAGACAGGAAGACATGACGAAGCCATCAGGCACGGGCCAACCAAAGCCACCAGCAACATCATCCTCAGGTGCTTCTTCCTTGGTAACGACCTTTTTCGACCGCCCACTCCCCCTTTACCTATCCGCCGCAATATTTCGTCTGGTGTTTCTCCTTTATGGCCTCTGGCAGGACGCAAACTCCCCCGTCAAATACACCGACATCGACTATCTCGTCTTCACCGATGCCGCACGCTTCGTCTCCCAAGGGCAGAGCCCCTATAAGCGAGAGACCTACCGCTACACTCCAGTCCTGGCCTGGCTTCTTCTCCCAACAGCCCATGTTACCGGAAACCGGACCCTAGACGTTGCATTCTTCAGCTTTGGCAAGGTTCTCTTTGCCATATCAGACTTGGTAGCAGGATGGCTTCTAGAAAAGGTGCTCGCCAAATCCATGGATGCCCCTCGAGCCCGCAAATTCGCCACCATCTGGCTTCTCAACCCAATGGTAGCCACCATCAGCACAAGAGGAAGCTCTGAAGGTCTTCTCGGAGTACTAGTCATGGCACTACTATGGGCCGTGTTGGAAAGACGTGTCACCTTGGCCGGTCTATTGCTCGGCTTCAGCGTACATTTCAAAATCTACCCCTTTATCTACGCCCCCGCCATCGTCTGGTGGATGGACAACGAAAGAATGTCCCCCAACAAGACCAAACCCACCAGTCTATCATCCAAACCACCCTCCCTCACCGCCAAAATCCTCAACTTCATCACCCCACCCCGCCTCCAACTCGCCCTCATCAGCCTAACCACCTTCTCAACCCTCAACATAGCAATGTACCTCATGTAAGCTCCCCCCCCTCCCCTCCCTTTTCTCCCCAGCCCCCAACTAACCTCCCCCCCCCTTCCCAGCTACGGCACCCCCTTCCTCCAAGAAACCTACCTCCACCACGTAACCCGCCTCGACCACCGCCACAACTTCTCCCCCTACAACACCCAACTCTACCTCTCCACCTCCCTCCCCCTTTCTTCATCATCTTCCATCCGCATCGAAAAACTAGCCTTCCTCCCCCAACTCCTCCTCTCAACAGTCTTCATCCCGCTCGTCACTGCCAAAAAATCCCTCCCCACCTCCATGCTCGCCCAGACGTTCGCCTTTGTCACCTTCAACAAGGTCTGCACGAGCCAGTATTTTTTGTGGTATATGGTCCTGCTCCCCCTGTACCTCCCCCAGTCGAGCTTTGTGAAGAATAAAAGGTTCGGGCTCGCGGCGCTGGTGCTGTGGGTGGTGGCGCAGGGTGCGTGGCTGCAGCAGGGGTTTGAGCTGGAGTTTTTGGGGAATAGCACCTATTTGCCGGGCTTGTGGCTGGCGAGCTTGGCGTTTTTGGGGGTGAATTGTTGGATTTTGGGGGTGATTATTGGGGATGTGAGGTAAAGCAGTGAAGAAGACGGGTTTGTGGTAGAAAGGGGGTTTTGTGTGGAAAAAAGTGGAAGGTGGTTGGTATGGAAATGAGGAGCTTGTTGTGTAAATATAGTGGGTAGGGGTTGTATGTTTAAATGCATATAAATCTGGATGTTGAAAGGTGGAGGTCAGGTGTCTGCCCAGTATAGTAAAAAAGCATAGATGACCACCTGAATCATTAAATATATTGATAATGGACATATCCAAAACTACATTCGACATGCAACCATGCTCTTGGTAACTCCGACACCCTCCCGGGGAGAAAAAAATCTCGGAGCCCGCGGTCTGATTCTATCAGGACAATGTAGGTACGTGAGAGGCAGTAACAAAGGTAGGTGTAACTGAGTTGCGTGTGCGTGTGTGCTCCAGAGTCATCGTCTTCTCTACATCTCCTTCTCGCTTCGCTTCCTCCTCCTCCTCCTCCTCCTCCTCGCCTCGTACTCCCACGGGTATATGAATAGAAAGGTAGTATCTGTCTCGTCTAGCTTTTACCGCAAATCACAACATCAGCATTCAGGCACTAAACCAAATCATTAAGCCTCTCGGTCCCCATCATGATGAACTGGGAACGTTGGGCGCGCTGTTGGCTGCTGACGCAGCGGCCTCCTCCCAGGCCTTGTCTCCAGGCTTGGCGGCCTTCTTGTCCTCGTCGTCCTTCTTCTTATCCTTGCCCTTCTTCTTCGACTCCTTCTCCTTCTTCATGGCCGCCTCGGCAACAAGCTGCTCGAATGCCATGTAGTCGCCTTCCTCCTCAGGGCTGCGCTTGGCCTGTAACCAGTGTGTTAGTTTCTGAGAGATCACGGTCAGATAGCAGAGAAGATACGTACCGCCAGGCAAATTTCACCAATGTACACCAGCGCCTGCGCCCTTTCAAGCCTCTTCCCGTGTGGCACCTTCTTGTCGTTCAAAACAGCATCGCAAACATCCCGAAGCACGCTCTGAATCTCAAACTTGCTTCCCCTCCAGGCCGCCGTCAAGATCTTCCCCGTCACCCTGCGCTCATACTCGATCTTCTTCTCATCCGTCCACTCCTCCCCTCCCTGCTGCTCCAACCTGGCCATCTCCTCCATCGTTTGCTGGGCGTCAATAGCGCTGCTGATCGTGTTCCATGTGTCCTTGACTAACGTGCCCTTGTCCTTCATACGGCTGATGAACCCGCCCATACCAAAGAACTTCTGGCTCCGTAGAAGGGTGGTGCCCTTGCTGAAGTAAGTCGCGCCAATGGCGTGCAGGATATCGATGCCGAACGACTCCATCTTGAGCTCCTCCACCTCCAGCCTTGTCTTCTCCTGAAACGCGCGAGTGACGTCCTTGCCGTGATCCGTCTCTGTCCACACCGAAATACGATCGAGGAGCTTGCGGGCCAGGGTGTCAACGCGTTCCTGGCGAATCCGCTGGCGCTCCTTGTCCAGCGCCGCAAGCTGCTCTCTCTGCTCCTTGGACAAGCCTGCCTTGGACTTCTTCCCCTTCTTGTCACCTTCGTCCGTCTGCTGAGACACCTCATCCGACGGCCGATCCATAAGCGCAGGCCGGATAGGGATCTGGGTGCGGCCGCCGGGCTTGGGAGTGGACGCTCCTGACCCAGGGCCTGGCGAAGAAGACTTGGTGTACGGGGGTGGTACCTCCTCCGTCGCGGAGGGATTGTAGGTGTTGTATCCGGCCTCCTTGGCCTTCTTGGTGGGGGTCTCCTCCTCCACAACCACGGCAGGAACTGGTGGCTTGTCAGGCGGTACAGCGGACGATGACTCTCCACCCGATGTCTTGAGGCTCTCTTTCAGAGCGTCCGCTGTACCAGGGAACTCGCCATCCTTGGCGGCAGCGGCAGCCTCGGCCTCAGCAGCAGCGGCGGCGGCAGCCTCCTCTTCCTCAGCAGACATGGTAATGTCCATGGTGGCGGTCAAATCCTTCATAAGGCTGATCTCGCCAATCCAGTCGACAAAAGACTCGCCGCCAAAGATGCTCGAGAAGAACTCGGCTGGGTCGACGAACCCCTCGGTTGGGCGGGCAGATTCTTTGCCATATTTGTCGTAGGCCTTGCGGAGGTCTTCGTCAGATAGAACTTGGTAAGCTTCGCCGATTTCTTGAAACTTGGCGTGAGCGTTGGGGTCGTTGGGGTTCTTGTCTGCATTTGGGGAGAGATGTTAGGCAAAGAAGCATACAAGTGTCGAGGCAACGACATACCCGGATGGTGGACGATGGCGAGCTTGCGATAGGCCTTTTTGATTTCGAGCTCAGTGGCCGTCGGCTTGACCCCGAGGGTGTCGTAGTAGGCCGTGTCTACCACCATGACGGAGACGGAAGTGCGCAAAGACGAGAACGATGAGATTTATAGGCTATGTCGTCGTGGTAGGGTCGGTTGTAGGTTTGCGCGCGCGTTGATTTTGCCAGCCGGATAAGGAAAGATCACGGCTAGGCGCAAAAGAAGAGAAGATGGATCTTGGAAATGACGTGGACCAGGGGGGGGGTACCTGGGTTTCTGCGAAAACGCTGGGTTCGAGGGGCTGTGATACAAAGAGGTGGTCGGTAGATATCTCCGGGCAGTATCTAGAGGATGTCAGGTTGAAGCCCAACTACTATGGCAGCTGTTGTAGGTACGGTACTTCTTGTCAGAGTATTTCTTATTGCACGTTCCCGCGCCTTCCATCTCCAGAGCCAAGCACAGCCCAGTCAAATTACGTACCCCAGTAGCGGAAATCGCCGCGCTGCAACCGAGGGCTGTGGGAGAGCACAGCACCAACTTTTGGTGGGGCAGCATCATTGTCGTCATATACTGCTTTACACAAGGACAAGTCTGGAGTCAGTATCATATATCGTCAAACAGTCCCATTGTGATTTCTAGACATCTTTCCGACATCAACTTCACCGACCGCCTCTCGACAGCCATGTTTACATACAGGCATCATGCCGTTATCAACACGCATGCGCTGAGGCCTTGGCATCAATTTTGATGCGGGGCATCACATGTATCCAGGCCATCAACATCAAAAGTACAGAGGATATGGTATCCCAGGACACAAGTTGGGTACGGACTAGAGTCTAGTAAGTTGAGCTACTTAGGTAATTTATCATCAATGATGCCCCGCACAGCCTTACTGGACACCCGCAGCCTTCATGCGCTCAAAGCACTTTCGGTAGGCTTCGTGAATCTCGGGAATCTCATACCCATACTCCTTCAGCTTGTTGACCAATTTCGTGGTATCAAGCTTGCAGTTGCTTCGGCCTGCCTTGATCACCTTGGCTTGCTCCTCGAGGCTAAAGTTCTTCCAGCTAAACGAGGGGCGCACAATGTCGCGGAACAGGGTGAGCACCTCGTTGTGGGAGATGGCACCAGGGTTCGTAAAGTTGTAGATGCCCAGCTCTTTGTGCTCGGCCATCAGGATGCTAGCCGGCAGCAGGTCGTTCAGAATCGTGTTGCTGTTGGGGATGTCCACCACACGCTCGTATTTGGCGATCTTGGTGACAAAGTTGCGGGGGTGCAAGTCGTCCGACACTGGCATCCGGAGTCGAAGAATGAGGCAGTTGTTGTAGTGCTTCATGACCTGGTGGGGTGGTTGCGTGTTAGTCAGGGTCAACTATCATGAACAAACTCCGTCGGTAAAAGTACTTGCCTCTTCAACGTGGGCCTTGGTCATGGAGTAGAAGCTCCCCGCAAAGTTGGCCGGGTCGGTTTCGAGGAAACCTGGGCCATCCCAGGGGTGTGCCTCATCGTACTGGTAGATGCAGCCGGTTGCAAATACGGTGCAGTGAATGCCGCGGAGGAAGCAGCAGTCGGTGAGGTTCAGGGTGCCGATCACATTGGACCTGATGGTAGCCTCTTGGTTGTCCTCGCACCAGTCCACGTTGGGCCGCCCAGTGCACCCAGCCGCGTTCAGCACATGAGTGGGCTTGACCCGGTCGAGCTCGGCGAGAACAGATTCGCGGTTCTCCATTCGGATCGTTGTCATGTGCACCTCCTTGCCGTCCTTCTCAAGAAGGGTCTTGAGATGTCCTGCCACCCAACCCTCGCCGCCCCAGATCAAGAAGCGGTTGCTTTGGGCGCCATTGGAACCGTCGGTGGCCATCTTGTGTGGTTGGAGTGTATATCGAGGTGTATAGGCTGGGAGTAAGTATTGGCGGCAACCAGGAATTGATGCTAACGGAAAATCACAAAGAGTTGTTGAGGAGGAAGAGCATAGGCAAGTGAACCAACAGACGAGCGAGGGGGGAGATCAACAAGTAAAAAAGGAACGACATGCTCAGTTGGGGCATCGGCACGCCAGGGATGGAAGGGCTGAAAGCAAGGGCAGGAAGGTGGTCGTCTCAAAATGACAGTTACGAATCCATCCGCTACGGTAGGAGAGGCAGGTGGCCCCCCAATGCCTGCACCGCAATAGGGGTGGGATGTCCAATAATTGCCATATAGGTGACCAGTGGTGACCAGAAGCGCTGATAGAAAGGGAAGCTAACGCAGGTCTTGTGTTTTTGTGTGGCGTGGCCACGACAGCTTGTCAGCACTTCCTTCTGCAGTCCAAAACACACGACGTCCGGGGCTGTCTGTCAGAAAGTCGGTGGCCCGGCATCCACAACTCCGTAACGCCCAATTGGGACGAAGACTGCGAGCAGGATACGAATAAGTGGTCTTCGCAATCTGGATATGTTTTTGTAGTAGTTCTCACCACGGCTCCAAAGTCTGGACCCTGGGTACATTGTAAATGTTCCTGAAAAATGGAGACTGATATGCTGGTGAAAAGGGGCTGGAAAGCTGACAGCTTGGCTGTCGTTCACCGTAGGTAGCACCCACCCGCCATGGACGGCAACGTTGCTCAACAACAACAACAACAACAATAACAACACCATCTTCTATGATAGAGGCTTCCTAAGAGGAATATAATAGAAACCGGTAAAACGGCACTCTAACATGCATACAATTATCCTAGGTAGAAATCTATCTATCCCATTGTTTCGGGAAGGGTCTTCGCTCACAGCCCAGCAGATCCATTCCAGCGGTACACCGTCCTTCTGGGTGGGTGTCCGGGGAAGGAGCTTTGGCCACTTGAACTCGATTGACCAATAGCAACGCGGCCCGTGGCGGATGGGCGGACCACTTTTCCTATTTTGCCGGTTGAAGGGTGTGAGCGAAGCCAGCAAAAAGCTGTTGAAATTGGAGAAGACAAATTTCCTGTGGAGTAGCGACACACCCTCTCGCCCCCGTCTCCATTCTCCATATTCTCCCCATGTCCCTCGTGTCTGCATCTGGTCTTTCCCGAGCACATCTGTAGCATCCAACAAGTCGACAACATTGTGATATTGCATCTGCACTTCGCACTCTTGCACCAGAACAGGAACATCACCAGATTCGACACCTAGACGGCCCCCAAACCACCAGTATATATTACACCAGGCGCCGGACACCCTACACCACTGTGTTCTGCACGTTTCGAACGACAGCCGCCCGTGTCTCACAGACACAACTCCCTCTATTCAAGAATTTAATCCCGACGTCGAGCTCCCTCGACAATCCACAGCCCAGCATGGGTGCCGCTCAGCAAATTGCTTACTTCCTCCTCCACCCTAATGAGCTTCGGTCCATCGCTCAATGGTACGCGCCCCCCCTTACCTTGCCCGTGCTCTACCCCCCTTGTTTCTAACCTAGTCGGCTACAGGAAAGTATGGCATGAGCCTGTCCACAGACGCGATGCCTCCAAGGAGACGCCCACCGAGAAATCATGCTTCCACTTCCTCAAGTTGACGTCGCGGTCATTCTCAGCTGTCATTCAAGAGCTCAACCCCGAGCTCCTGATGCCGATATGCCTCTTCTACCTCGTCCTGCGTGGTCTCGACACCATCGAAGACGACATGACCCTTGACATCAAGGAGAAGGAGCCCCTCCTCCGCGATTTTCACAACATCATGGAGCAGGATGGCTGGACTTTCGACAAGAACGGGCCCAACGAGAAGGACAGGGAGCTGCTCGTCCACTTCGACGACATTATCTTCGAGCTGAAGAAGGTCAAGAAGCCATATTATGATATCATCAAGGACATCACCGAGAAGATGGGCAATGGCATGGCCGATTACGCGCTCAACGCTGAGCACAACAACATTGGTGTGGGCACCATCAAGGAGTACGAGTTGTACTGCCATTATGTTGCCGGTCTGGTGGGAGAGGGCTTGACACGCCTGTTTGTGGAAAGCAACCTTGCCAACCCGCAACTTCTGGTGCGCATGGATCTCACTGAGAGCATGGGCCAGTTCTTGCAAAAGGTTAACATCATTCGCGACGTACACGAGGACTGGATCGACAAGCGGCGATTCTGGCCCAGAGAAATCTGGTCCAAGTATGTTGACAACTGGGACGATCTCTTTGCCCCGGCCAACCGCGAGAAGGCCCTTCAGTGCAGCTCTGAGATGGTGCTCAACGCTCTCAAGCATGCCGAGGAGTGTCTTTTCTACATGGCTGGTATCCGAGACCAGAGTGTCTTCAACTTCGTGGCGATTCCCCAAAGCATGGCCATTGCTACCCTGGATCTTGTCTTCCGCAACCCCGCCATCTTCGAACGGAACGTCAAGATCACCAAGGGAGACGCCTGCCAACTGATGATCGAGTCGACACAAAACCTGCGGGTGGTCTGCGATGTTTTCAAGAAGTACGCGAGAAGGATACACAAGAAGAATGACCCCAGGGATCCCAACTTCCTTGCCATCAGCGCGCAATGTGGAAAGGTATGTGCAATCGCACACAACTCATGCTCAACATGTAGGACAAGCTAACCAGGTGCAACCAGATCGAGCAATTCATTGAGACCATCTTCCCAACGCAAGACCCTAACAAGGTCAGGGCTGGGCTCAAGCAAGAAGATCCCAAGATGGACGCCTTGGAGACTTTCTATCTGATTGCTGCTGCGCTGTCAACATTCATCTTGATCGGTGTTCTGATGGTGGGTCTACCTCTCGGGGCTCCACATTATTCCGGCCCGCGGCGGTGGAGTCCGCATTTTTTCCCACCTCGAAAAAAAAAGCTAACTATTTTGTCCAGATTGGAATTGCATGGTACTTTGGTGCTCGGTTCGACCAGGTCTTCAAAAACATCGACCAAAAGATCGCCGGCACTGTTACCAGCTCAGTGGCTGCTGTTACCAGCGTTGCTCACGAGGAACTGTGAGAAGCGACCTGGCCCAGCAAGCAAATTCGACCCCTCGGCGCGCTCTTTTTCCCCCTCTTCACAGCGTGCGCTGATATTCGCTACATACACTTAATGATATACCTCGATACACTGCGCTTTATGATGAACGATCGGTTAGTTGGACAGGGCCACCTACCCAGGGTTATATGGGACATGAATAGTATTCTCGCGGAATCGTTGTCACCATGGGGGCACCCACCCGAGCAATCTACTAATACTAATACATTCCTTCGGTATACTTTTCTCTTTGCTTTCACTTGTGACCTTTCTCGAAGAAAAACACAAAGTCAGAACTAGCACGGATGTCAAATTACAATTCAGTCGCCTCGTTTCCTTCGGGGACGATGGTTTCAATGACTGTGGTTGTGCCGAAGATGTGCTGATAGCAACCCCTGGGCAAGTAGCCTGGTATCCGGGCACGCTTTCATCTGGGCTCTTTGCTTCTTGGTCAATAGCCTGATGACGGTGGATTGCGACATGTTTTGACGATACCTTAATGATTCCACATGCCCTGTGACCTGATTGTTACACACACACTGGGAGGAAAGCGAAGAGAGAGACGCGTCGAGGCCCAAGCCACCGGGCCTGTGTCACGATGTTGAGACTTTGCCGCGCGGTGTGGTGGTGGTGTGTGTCGGGTTGTATAAAACGGCCGCAGTGGTCGGTCCTACGGGTTCCCACGTGGGCGTCGTCCACTGATTGAAGCCCACGGGTTCACTTGTCATTCATTCCTACAGCAGTGGCTGTGGGATTTGAGTTGACGGTTCTTACTCGACCGCGGTCTTGTGGACGAATAGATTTTCCTAGTGCCTGTGTACAAGCAAGCAAGCATTCAATACAATACATCGGAACTTGGCATCTTTTCATCACAGCAATAGCGTCCAACACAGTGGGTAGGTAGTTCCATCAAACAACACCCATCACAACGCTCAAGCCCTTTCTTGCCCCAAGCTTGACGTGCAACCTTTTTCTTTCTTTCTAAATCAAACCTCTACTACCTCATTATTCCCGTACTCTCCCCGCCCGTCTGTTCAGTCATGTTCGGGCAAGTGAGTTGAGTGACCGAGTTACACCAAGTTTGATCTCTTGTCAGATTTCCCCTTTTCTTTTTCATGCAACGACAGGGCGCCCATCCACCAGTCGGGTGCTCTGAAACCTTGTCCACAACCCGCAGCTGCACCATTCCCCCAGAAATTTGACTGGCTGTCCAGCAGAGAAGATAACTGAAACACTCGGTTTGTTTCCGAGAGTCACAACTGACTCAGGCTGATTTGTTCTCCAACAACTTCACTCAACACTCGCATTCGTATGTACTACAAGGTTTCTTGTATCTTGTTTTTTTTGTGTTATTCATTCCATTGTCATTTTTCATTGCCCCCCCCCCCCCCCCCCTTGAAAAGTTTCCATGGTTTTGTCTATCTCGATGGCCTCGGGAATTCAGAAGTGTGTGTATATGTAGATTAATATGTACAAAGATGTTTTGCTTGTCTCTTCCTCCTCAAGACAGTTCGGCGCATCGGTAAACCAACCACCCCTCTCTAGAAAATAAATTGTTGTATGTACAGTGCCTGCTGCAAAGATTTCAAAAAGATCGCATTGCAAACAGAGGCGAAAAAACCACTCGCTCTTTTCTCTCTCTCTCTCGCCAATCCCTCCCAAACAGAAAACTTAAAATGGCAAATATATCAGTTCATTACTTTTTTCATGACAGTTCTTCATCTGAAGCCGTTGTTGGCGATGAGGTCGGTCGTGCCGGCAACGTTGCTGGCGGCCACGACTCTGGAGTTGGTCTGGCCGGCGAGCTGCTTGAGGCGGTCGGCCACCTGCTGGACACCGGTGATGCCCTCGAGAGCCATGATGTAGGCGGCGAGACCGGCAACGTGGGGGGAGGCCATGGAAGTTCCGCTCAGGGTGGCGGTGTCGCTGTCGCTGCGGATGCCGCAGGACTCGACACGGACACCGGGGGCGAAGATGTCAACGAGGGGACCAAAGTTGGAGAAGGAGGCGCGGCGGTCGTTGGTCTGATCAATAGCACCGACAGTGATGGCGGCCTCGGCAGAGCCAGGGGAGGTGAGGGCAGTGTCCTGGTTCTCGTTACCGGCGGCAACAACGGGAACGACACCGGCAGCCTCGATACGGTTGATGGCGGTGTTGACGGCCTGGGAGAAAGAGCCGCCGAGAGACATGTTCATGACGGCCTTGCCACGGAGACCACGGCGGGTGGCATCACGGGCAACAAAGTCCATACCGGCAATCACGCCAGAGTTGGAACCGGAACCGTCAGCACCGAGGACCTTGACAGCAACGAGCTGGGTCTTCTTGGCGACACCAAACTTCCAGCCTCCAATGGTGCCAGCAACGTGGGTGCCGTGGCCGTTGAGATCCGTCTCATCTTCGCCTCGGATGAAGGAGGCGCCGAATCTGGCCCTCCCCTGCAAGTCCTCGTGGGTGGTACGGATACCAGTGTCCACAACGTAAGCAGTGATGCCCTCTCCAGCAGAACTGTCAAAGAAATAACCATTCTGTCTGGCACCGTCATGGCTGAGGCGGGCCAAGCCGGTAGGGGCGCGAGACTGAAGCTGGCGGACATTGAGCTTGATGACGGCATCCTGCTCGATGTAGCTGACCTCCTTGGCGGCATAGATCTCATTGATCAAGGCATCATCGGCCTCCAGAGCCATAGCTCTCCACTGGTCGATCTGGAAGGTCTCGACTGTCGTAGAAAGGATGTTGTTGGTCAGTGGGCTGCGCTTCCCAATGTTGCGCTTGGCGATCACGCTCGCAATGCTGGACTCGTGGGCAAAGACCTCATCATCGCTGAAGGTGTTGTTGTAGACCACGATGAACTTGTGGGGGATGAGGTTCTGGGCATCGGGGTTGGCGATGGGCACACCGATATAGAACCCCTCGGACTTGGTGAAGGTGGTGGCAGGAGCAGCAGACACCCCAAGGGCAGACAGAGCAACGCTCAAGGAAACAAGAAATCGGCCAGCCATTGTTGATGTATTGTTGATGGTGTTTTAGACAGGTTGTTGATGAAGTTCGAGGAAAAGAATGGATCGGTTGGTGGGACCACGTAACTGGATGCTGAAACTGGTTTTGAAGCAACGTCGAAAAGACGAGATCGGCTAGATGCAGTTGATCAAGGATTGTCGGGAAGTGAAGAAAAAGGGTATGCACAGCACGAGAAGAAAGCAAATGGGTGGAAGGCAACGTTGACGATGCCTGACCGGGAAAAAGGAATGGAAGGAAGGAGGAAGAAAAGAGCAAGTGACAAGGACGGATGGGATAACAACAAAAGAGAGAAGCCCACGAGAGAGAAGTAGATTAACTGCTATTTAACTGAGAAGCGCGCATGAAGTTGGCGGCCCATTTTGAACCCCCTTTTGCAGAAAGCAACGACGCTGTTTGGGTGGTGGGTGCAACCTTCAGGGGAGCGTGGTACAAAGCAGGCCAGGGGGTTACCGGGGTACTTACATGGGACGTCTCCCCTGACTCCCCTGGCTCCCCTGGACGCCAAGTCAAACGGCAGATCCCCAGGCGTGCCAAGATGGCAAATCCTCCGCGATTCTGAACGACTTTGGACAGAGCCCTGAAGTTTCGACAGATGTTAGACGAGAACTACTCGTGATCTCGAACCTGGCAAGGGACGCTGCAGTTCTCCCAATACAGAGCTCAGGTGGCATGCTAGATTGGCCCCCATGATCGGATTCCCGTGGCCGCTGTGGCTGCCATCTCTGGCGGCCAGGAACACACGACGGTCTGGGGAGACTTGGGCAAAACTGGGATGAGCTGGGATGGACGGAGGAATGGCCGACTTGCTGACCTCGCAAACGTCGGGCGCCGGCTGAGCCGGGTCTGCTCAAGTGGTCTCTTTGGCTCCAGCATCAGCTCCAGGCGGATTCGAAAGGCAAACGCATGCCACAGGATTTGCCGTCCGTTGTTGGTGATGCGGTTGGCAAAGTTGAACGAGAATGATTCCGGCGCATAACAGATCTTCTTTGATCTCCCGCCGCGAGGGTGGTTGTTGTGGCTGTCGTGAGCCTGCGGGAAGCGTGGGAAGCAAAAGAACCATGGGTCTTGCAAACACGGCATTGGTGGAAAGAGAATGTGTGATGGTTGCGACTTGATCGAGGCTCCAGGTGCCGCCATTGGACACGAGGAACCGACAGCTCGTACCCTGCAATTCCGTTGCGGAAATGTCTCTGCCCAATCGACCTCTGCCGCGTCCATGGGAATGCGGCTCTGGGCTGGGTCTCGTCCGGCCTGATGCTTGGCAACAATTAACTGCAAACCTGCGCTTGAATCTGAACAGTTAAAGTCCGAGATCTCGCTGTCACTTTCGGATGAGGCAAACCTGTTTGACCTGTTTTGGAGGTGATGGATCGCTGGCTCCGATGAGGTCTTTGGAATCCACACGGCATTGAATGGGGTCTCCGGATTAACCCATTGACCTGCCCAATGGAAGTTGTTGCCAGCGGCCGACGAGAACAGACGTCGGCGGCAGCAGCAACAAGCAACAAGGCCACCATCCTCCGTCACCCAAAAAGAAAGGTAGGAGCCGCGCTGTGCAGACCCTCTGCGCGGGGGTGGCGCATTTCGTGAAGCGCGCTAATGGTGGACCCCGCTCGCTGGGAACATTCTACACTATAAAGGATGGCATTCAGGAGGATGCGCTCCAAACAACTTTCAACGTCCTGGGGCTGTCTGGCGAGAGACACCGAGCATCAACAAGAAGCAGGCAGCGTAACAGAGAGGAAACATGGATATGACATGTCAATGCCAAGGGGGCCGTTGGCGCCGTTGCAGGGACCCGTATCGTACGAAATTATCTGGGGAAGGGGGCAGGTGCAGGCGAGAAATGGTGTGGATTTGTGGATTTGTGGACTTGTTAGTGCAGTGCAGCCGCCCGTTTAGATGCTGAAACACCAAGGTCCGTTCTGTGAAATCTCCACAGCGCGTGTTTCGGTCCTCTGCTACCATAGCATCCAGCTCGGAGATTTCGACACTTCTCTCTCCATTTGGAATTTCTGTTGCCGCCGACCCTCCGTGCTCATCCAACTGCCATGAATAGGTAAGCGGTTTTGGATATCTACCACATCAGTCAGCGAAGAAACAAAACATCTCCATAATGTACCAGAGCTTGGATTCTCTGGTGCTCAAACCAAGCACAGCCCACCCAGTCCAGTCTACGGAGTAGTGCACCGTGATGGCAACTAACAACTTCTCGAAATAGACCATCCGATCGCCGCTTCATGCCTTGGCTTTGCGCTTGCGCATAAACATGCCCTGGGCGAGCAGTCGAGTTATATACAAACCGGGCGGCCGCAGCATGAACCTCGATATTAACAGTACCGGTGCTGCGTACGACCTCGGTTGAGCAGAGGACAGTTTCGACCTCACGGAAGCAAGAGCCGAGTAATGGCCTCGGGCTGTCCTGGTGAGCAAATCCCCCGGTTCGCCTGCCGTCGGTTAGCGCGGAGTGGGCCCGATGTCCGGGCGCCCAAGGCCGAGAATTGTGGGCCGATAACAAGAGGAATACCGGCCATTCGGGGGCGAAATCCGGCCGGCCTCATTCGACCTGCACCACCCACCTGACCCCGCAAACTAACTGTCTTCCAGAACTTCGGAACGGAGTCGATGTGGAGATGGATGCAGCCTTACCATAAGACCAGCAAAATATCTGGGAATGGGGTGAGACCGAGGGCACAGAGGGCAGTACAGTAAACAAACAAGGCAACGAAAGCCACTATGATGTAACTGCGTGTGTGAGTGGGACTGTTCACACATCACGTAAACCAACATTCTGAGGTGGCCGGGTCTTCCTCCGCAGATTATCTGGGTTGCCACGGCTGCCACTATTTCTCTCCTTTCTCGTCAAGATGATTATCTCATGACATGGCCCGATCTGATGAGGTTATCTGCGTAGTGCGTAGTGGGGTTTGTCGCGTCACTCAGCATGAACATGAAGCATGACGACCTGAGGAATAAGAAAGAGAATAGAAATAGATCAACCAGCCAGTAGGTAATCGGCACCCTCTTTCCCTTGAGGAGGGAATCGTTCAATTGAGTGGCTCTCGAGCGGCTGTGCCCGGGCAATGCGCAGGTTGCGAATTGGATTGGGGCTTCATCCGTGTCTCATGCGACAGACAGGTGTCTGTACGAAGTAGTGGTCCCTGGAAAAAAGAAGAAAGAAAAGTCGTCCAGGGATGTCCAAACTGCCCTTTTTCATATTTTGGGAGCCTTCTTCGTCATCCATCACCTCATATCCAAGGGAGTGCCAGTTAGTTTTATTCCCCGGGCTTGCTAGGTACCACCTGGCGGAGTGAACCGCCCAAGACAAGACGTCCGTCCGTTGACTGACTGCGCCTTCGGTGGGCTGGAACACACTGCAATCTGTGACCCAACAACTCGCAAATCCCAGCTTGGGTCTTATCGAGACTTGCACATCACCACAACAACACAGCGAGCAACAACAGCAACACTCCAATCCAGCACCAACGCTCTTCCGTCTGCGCTCTCCGTCTGAGGCTTACGCACATCATTAACTTTGCGATCTAGCAAGGGCCAAGTCGGCCAATCCAGCGCCCAAGTGTACAGGAACCTAACCCCGCGCCCGTCCGTCCACGCGACCAGTATAAGCCAGACCCGACTCCAGTCGGTGCCCTACCTACCCACCGCAGCAGGCAGTGCGCGCTGCAGATAAAACAACAAGAACAAAGTTTCGTAAAATCAAGCTCGGCCATCGATCCGGGCCCGCTGGTCCAAGTCGCAGTGAACGAGTTGTCCGTCTGCGCTATAGCGGCTCTCGAGTCTGCGCCATCCTCCATCCACCACCCACAACAGACCTACCGTCCAGGTCTGTCCTGTCCTGTCCGTTTCCGTTCGATTTGACCCCGAACGACAGACACCACATCCACCCACCACCGCCCGGTTTTCTCGACGAGTAGATAGTTTCCCGTGGTCGGCCTTGCGTCCCTTTTCGACTTCGTGTGGTTCCAGGTCGATTCGTCGCCAGCCTAGTCGGAGACCAGAGCCTCGTGTACTGCTGTGCCATGGTTGTCGCATCATCATCCGACGACAACTGAGAAGTGTTACCGATAGCCCACGACTGATTCCCGCGGGCGAATACGACATCGAGGAGAATGGAATCTCCCACGAGTCCCATGCTCATCGACGACGGTCGCGATGTCGACTCTCTCAGCATCGACACGCGCCTGCCCAGGGCTGAAAGGGCACAATCAATCATTCACCAAGCCGAGGACGAGGAGGAAGACGAGAACAAGGCAACGGTTGAGCTGGCTTCCATCATGACAACCACCTCGAACCCGGTATCACCCGGCCCATCAAGCCCGCCGCTGAATCAGGTACGAATGCAAGACTTCATCCCTCCAACACGCCCAAGTAGCACGCCGTTCCCACAACCCGAGCCACGAAGTACAGATTTGCGCTGCCTGAGGTGCCCTTCAGAAGCCTCGATGGATCCCGACGAACCCGGCGTTTCTGACATCCCATCGGTGCAAACCGACAACGAGAACGCCGGGCTCAACCTCTCAGATCTTCCTGCCGAGATCCACGAATGCATCTTGGATCATCTATTTGGCTACCGGGTATCTACATCATCCAAGAGCTCAATCACGCGGTGGGGGACTGCTTTGCGGCATCCAAGAAGGAAGGAGCTTTCTGAGCTATCACGAGTGAGCCGGACTTGGAGGATGTTGATCCAAGACAGGCTCTATCGGCATATCAAGCTCAAGGCGACCATCGATTCTTTGAGAGGATCGTTCGAGTACTTTGCTGCTCATCCACATTTACGATCATATATCAAACATGTGGAGATCTGGTTTCCGGTATTCCGGCCAAAATATGGACCTCTGGCTCTGGGGACGGCAAACACCCTTCCCACAGTTACGCCGGATGGCTTGACAACGGCGTCTTATGTCTTACCCATGGATAACTGCTCTCTGGAAGAAGCCTTTTATTTCGTCGCCAACACCTTCCCAGATGTGTGCATCATGACGCTCGAAGGTGGTGAACGGCGCAAAGCACCGAAAGTGAGGCATTGGATCGGGGAGGATCAGTCTTGCCCACGCACGATGCCCAGGGTGAACTCGGTCCACACCCTTATTTGCAAGGGACAATGGAACTTGATCCGGGGGCAGGACGACTTTGAGACCATCACGTCCGCCCTGCCTAATCTGAAGGAGTGGCAGGGCTCCTTCAGCAAACCGAAATCCAAGAGCTACCTCACCATGGCCGACATCTTCTCCAAGCCCATGAAATTAGAAAAGCTGGTTCTCTGTCTGGAGGGTGACTATCGACGAGAAATGTCTTTCCCATCGTACTTTCTCAAGGTGTCGAGCAAGGTGCACTTTTGCTCCAAGCTGGCCGACGCGGCCGCTTCTCCCTACCTGGAGCAAATATCGTACACGGGGAGAGTTTGCCAGCAGTTCTTCAACGATCTTGTCCTCAAGTGTCACGACACGAGGCTATCACGCCTAAAGCGGATCGACCTAACTGTCAAGAACTGCTGTCGGAAGGTGGCCCACTGGAACGAATCGGGGTCGGGAATCACAGACATGAACTTCATCAAGGCATTTGAGCAGCTGGTGCTTGCTGGTATTCGAGCACTGGGGAAGTTACAGTCGATTGAGTACCTCCGGATTCGCTACGTGGACCTAGGTAAGGGCAATTCTGTACTCGATCTTGTATGCTCCTCTCAGCTAATGTTTTGTTGCCAGATTCCCCTGTCCCACCTTTGAATCCTTACTTTTTGCTCGACAAAGGGTGGTGTTCGGGCGTGTGGAGCGATGAGATCGTCGCCGAGCTCAATATCTCAAGGCCATCGGTTCAGTTTGAGGAACTGTCCGAGTCGTTTGGAGAGGTGGGGTACAACAAGGACGGCCGGATGACCATCAGTCCGGATTTCCCTCGCTCCAAGAGTCTGTCTTTGAAGCTGGAAAACTACGCGATGCTGAGTGTTGGGATCGCGATGCCGTAGGAGTAACTCGGGGGAGGATGCGGGTCCCAAGGGATGGTCGAGGTGCTGATTGGTGGTCAAGAGGCCTCGTGAGGTCTTGAAACATGAACGTGGACGTGTTTGTCGAGATCGGACCGGTCTCTTGCATTTCTCGAGGCCTATTTATTGTCCTTGAACACCTATAGACCATTGCTCGACATCTAAGCAGTATCTCGCAGGGCCTCTTTGATGTTTGCTAAGGCCTGAGCACTATCTTTGCAGGTCTGTCTCTGTTGTAAGTAGGAGTAGCCTAGCACTCACCTTCTATGGTTACCGGTGTGGCGGCAGCGTTTTTGTTTTTTTCTCTTATCATTTTGTGGGTCCTGGTGTACAACATTGGGAAATGCTCAAGCATAGAAGGGAGGTTTTACCGCTGGAAATTGTTAGGGGGGGCATTATAATGGTGTTTTCATTTTTGTTTCTTTTGTTTTGCTTTGTCCTCTTTTACGTCGATGTTCCGAGGAGGGACAGGGTCATTACCATCATTCTTCCCTATCATCGTTACATGAAGGATTTTGCCCGTTGCTCATCAAAACACTAAGGGAGGATGGAATGGGTTTTCTGGCTTTGTTTTGTTTGTATTCCCAGGCTTGGACTCCTGCCTGTGGGGAGTGGGGGTCAAGGGGTGCTGGCTGGTTGGCTGGCTTGGTTTTTTTTATTGAGAAGGAACTCTGGGGCTGAAGGATTACCTATGGTATGGATGGTGAGCTTGGACACAGAAAGCGTTGTCTAATTATGTTGTGGTGGTGGCGGCGGTGGTTGGTGTCGTAGGTCATTCGCGTTCGCTGGGCAGAGGGGGGTGAGGGAAGGGATGAAAGGGGGAACTTGGAACTTGCGTTAGTACCGACTTGTGGGCTGTTTGGGAAAATGTTTGCCAGTGAAGCGGGGATGAGCGAAATAGAGAGCTGATATGTCTGATACCATGAAGTTTATGTTGGTGGTCTTTTCAGGGTAGAATGCCGTGGGTGTCGTGTGTCGGAAATGGAGAAATGGAGGCTGTGATATTAAGGGGTAAGAAAGTAGTAGGCATGCCTCTTGTCTGTATTGCACACACCTCTAAGCCCGTTCGAGACGCTTCTGGACTATGTTAGATGCATCGTGAGGATCAATGAAGACGGACATGTCAACCATTCCTTGCGACCTAGGTATCAACCTCCTACTTCAAAAGGCTTTCTATCCCGACAAATGTGCTGACTTTTCTTGCTTCTTCGTTGCTAGCTTCTTTGTCAATAGCCTGCGAAATGAAATGGCTACAAGACCAACAACAAGATGCAATGAGTCTGCAGGAGAGGTTCTTATTTTGTTGCTCACTGGGCTCAGAATCCTATCCAGGACTCATAAATACAGAGCTATGCTCATTGATAAACGTCGAGTGGATATATCAGCTTTCGACTCCAGTACCTCGGTGTCTGCGTGGTTTGTTTTATGGTCTCAGGCTCATCTACAAGCAAAGAAGAGGGGACATTAGTTGGGGTATACCAAAGACTTTTCTCCCACTGGAAAGCTATGTTTCTTCCTAGGCTTGTACTCAAGCATTTTGGGATACTGGGGGCCATTCTTTTGAAGAGAAAAATGGTCTGGGCAAGCCCCACAGAGCTGAAGATATACAAGCAAGTTGAGGTTCTGAATGACAACCATGTCCGGTTCATTTACTCTTCTCTCTTCTCCCACACGACTGCCTAATATAGTACCAACCACCTTTTGAGTCTCAAACACACAAGAGATCATTCCATTCACCAATACGACTCATTTAAACCTCAGTTTCTGTTCTTTGCCTCATAGAAATCCGGTCTCTGATTTGTATTTTATTCCAGACAAAGCCCCCTCCCCGCAGTTATGTCAAGCCCCCGTGTTTATGCCTATGCCTGGGTATCTATGCGTTACATGACATCTTGCAACAGCAAACAAAAGGAATAAGCTGGGTGGATGGGTGTTTCCTGCTCCCCATAATTTATGAATAGAAAAGAGGAAGAGTATAAAAGGGGGGTCAAATGTGTCCAAACGAAAAATATCAACCCCGAAGCGCTCTCCAACGCGCGCTGCTCAACTCCTTACTGATATACTGTTCCCGGTACGATGCAAAAGAAAAAGAGAAAAACCAGCCCATGTCCCAAACCCCGTTTCCCACAAGTATGATTATAAACAAGATGAAATAAAACAGTCGCCAGAGTGGTGATCAAGACGCAAAACCACACACGTATGTTTGTATATCGCCCCCATCTGGTTCTTTTTAACGCTTCGCTTCTAAAAACCCAAAAGAATCCCAGCCCGCCCTTTTACCTGCTGTCAGTAGGCAACTCGACCCCACTGTCCCTGTCCTGTGCATCTGGCCTCCACGTTTTTCGTCGTTCTTTCTCATCCTCAGTGTCACTGCTGTCAAGGCCGTCGTCTAATCGAGGATTTTCCCCATATAAAGAGTCCTCTTTGAGATCGTCATCATAGCGAGGGTTGTCGCCGTAGAGGGAGTCGTCTCTAAGATCATCATCCGAGCGAAGGATGTCCCCATAAAGAGAATCATCTCGAAGATCGTCGTCTAAGCGGGAGTTGTCCCCATAAAGAGAGTCGTCTCTGAGATCATCGTCCAAGCGAGGGTCGTCTCCATAGAGGGAATCGTCCTTCAGGTCGTCGTTTTCGGTGTCGGTACCACCTAGATTGTCCAACCGAGGCTCTTCCCCATAAAGAGAGTCGTCTTTTAGTTCATCCTCGTAGTCTTCAATATCGTTTTCCATGACGCTTCCATCCTCTTCCTGTTGCGGTTCTAGAGCCTCAATCTCCTCGGGAACAAGTACCCGACCGCCCAACTCAACGTCGCTGACGGTAATCTTGTAGGCAAGAGCTCGTTTTCCTTCCTTGATCAGCTCCTCCGTCCACCCCAAACACCGCTTCAGACTTTGGTTCATTTTCTGACTGTCGACGAGTAGTTGTTGATGCTTGGAGAGATCAATCTGAAGCCTCCGCTCGTCTCTCTTCTGGCGCGACTCATTGCGCTCCGTGTTGGCCCCGGAACTGCCCGAATCCGAATGCTCCGAGCCAGACACGGAATCTTCCTCCTCCTCTTCTTCTTCCTCTTCGTCTTCCTCTTCCAGTTCCTCTATCGCAGCGTCCCCCGCCGCAATCTCACCCTCTTCCTCGTTGAGATCATTCAGCTCCATTCCAGCTTTCGCCAACCCCCCACCTGCAGCTGTCGAGGCCGATGGGACGCGGCTACTCAACGAGGCCATGCTCATCCTCGACATCCGCTTATAACGCCGCAGCTCAGCAGTCTGCTTCCGCAATTGTCTTTCCAACGTCCTATTGATTGCCTCAAGACTGGCGTTTGTAATTTGCAAATCTTGCACTTTGCGCTCTCGGCGCGCGTTGGCGACCAAATCACTCAGCGGTTCCTTTTCCTGCGGGCTAGACTTCGCTGGGCTGTTCAGCGACTCTGACTTCCCTTCTTCTGATTCGGCAAAATCCTCGGCAGCCTGAAGAAGTGATGCAAACCCACTCATGCCTGGGCTTCCTGGAAGAATCGTGCTCGGTGGGGCAAATAGGGGAGATGTTGCCTCAGAGGCAGGGGTGGGGGGGATGGAGCCATGAGAAGACATAAGCCTGGCTATGGCAGGAGCATCGGCAATGGTCAGGCTCTTTGGGCGAGCGTGGGCTCTTTCTGCACCGGTAGAATGGGGAGTTTGTTCCAGTCCAGACCTTCCTTGGCTGCCCACGCTGAGTCGATGGTGTGAGCTCGCTATGGGGGATCGGGGAGACACAAGGGGCGTGTTGTGTCCGCTCTTGACCTTGGGTTGGACCCCAACAGGAGAAATTGGCCTGAGCGCATTGCCCGTCCGGTTTGTTGGTATTCTAGAAGCTGTAGACACGACCGAGCTCGGTCCTCTCCTCATTGGTCCAAATTTGGGGGCAGGCTGTAATTCTGGTGCTCCGTTTGCGTAAAAGAACTTGCTCATGAGACTGTCATTGCTGGTGGCAGCAGGAGACACCAGTGGAGAGACAACACTTGATCGATCTGGAGCAGGGCTTCCGCTGGTATGGAAAAAAGTTGTGTTCCTCGCTTGTTGCGGTGCAACTACTGGTCTCGGATGTGCTTGCTGGGTCTGTCTCGGAACGTCTGCGGCATAAAAGAACTTTGAATCCGGGTCCTGACGATGGCCAGCGCCACTCACATCGGAGGCCGGACTGAATGTTACTACAGGTCGTCTCGAAGTCACATCGTCAACAACGGATGGCGAGATAGCCAGCCCATTTCTACTGTCGAAAGAATCGTGTCGTTCAATATTGGGGGTGGCGTTCGGAGTGCTGTGGGCGCTTTCAACGCGGTTTTGTCTTGACCCAGATCTCGGTGTGACATTGGTGGTGTTTAAGAATGCGGCTACGGGGGAAGTGATGTCGAGTTTATCGCGCGGCCCCGAGCCATTGGCACTCAAGATGGTATCAGGCCTTGGGCGTCGTGGCAGCGGTGTCGCAACGCTTGTCGGGTTCTGGTGTTGAGTAGAACTAGTAGAAGGAGCAAGACGCGTCGCTACTTTCGGAGTCACTGGCGGTTTGCCGCTGTTGTTTACTGCCCTTGCTGCGGTTGGGACTTGTGGCTGTCGAGTACCAGTGGGACCTGGTCGCTCGTAGGATGGCATCCTGGGAGTGGTCTGCCTCGCCGTCGTCGGCGTGGGCGCTTCGGGATCAAATCCTGCCCTCATGCCCCGTGCTGTCGACGTTGCATTTTGGTCCCTCCGTTTGAACGGATGGCGGGACAACGGCACGGCAGGGGACGAGGCGGAGGTGGTCGTCGGGGCGGCGGCTGGACAGGCGGCTGCGGTGGTGGTGATGCGTGTTGTTCTGTGGCCCGAGGCGGACGTGGTGGTAGTCAGAATACCCGCCGAGGGCTTTTTCCTCAGCGTCGGCGGTTGTGTTGCCGTGGTAGTTGATTCTCGCGGGTCGGCGGGTGGGTGCGAAGGAGGAATTGGGGGCGGAGGCATCGCGTTCGATTCGCTATGGCGGATTTCTAAAGGTGCGTGGCCGGTCGCTGGTTGAACCCTGAGTCTGGCTTTGGGCCGCTCTGACTGGCTGACATTGCCGAGAAATACAATGGGATTAGCCGCTATTTCTCAGAACTCGGTGCGAAAGTCGATAAACCGCTCCCACGAAGGACCAATCTCGAGGAAATAAGCACAATAATCTTCAATTGAGCAGTGACAAAACAATACCAGGGGCCTGTGGGAAAAGGAGACGAAGCTATGGAGTTGTATCCGTAGTCTACCTATGCTGATGAGCCCAAGGCCCCAATCCATCCGGGACGCACCGGGGCCCCTCTCTCGTCCTCCACCCTCACCGCTTCACACCGCCCAAGCCAGCATGACCAGCACGGCCAGCCAGGTTCGTCCCATCAATTGCTTTGCGTGTGTGGTGAACATCTCGATGCATTGGGCTGCAACCTGCACCTGGAACCCCGCCAACTTGTGTCCGTCAGAGACTCAGGTTGGACAGGCCGGTGGCCGGACAGACAGCTGAGGCACCCGCTGCAGGGCTCCCCTGCTCCCGGACCCCACAAAACACATGTCTGCCGAGATGGAGGCAGGGCCGCTTCATTGAAATGCCTGCTCTCTGCCCTGCTGACATTTCCAAGCGCCTTCCAGAGCCCACGCTGATGAAACAATATTGAGATTCCCAAGACAAAAGGAAAAGAACTTGCATCGACCTCGACAACCCATCACCACCGATTCCCACCTCGACGTTTGGCGCAAGGCGCAAACCACATCACCCTCCAGTTTTGAACCACAGCGCATCAAGCTCTAACGCACAGCCTAACGGATCTCCACTACAAAGCCCAAAAGAGGCGCTTGGGCCTTTCTCCGATCCTGTCCCATGCGACGATAGCATACGACCGTTACCAACGCTTCCCCGAGCCCGCCTAAGCATGGCGTTACTGGGAGTGACTCTGATAATTGCCTCTCTCATTCTACTCTGTATGCGGAGACCACAGTGGTTTCCCTCCCTGTTTGGAGGCGCTCTTCAGCCGGAGACCAAGGAAGAAAAGCACACCGACGACGGCCTGCAAAATCGACATGCCCCACCAGCGCTCGTGGTCCAACAACCACACGACGCCAACGACGACATCGACGACAATGACGAGCAGTCAACCCCCAAGGCATCCGCCACAATAGGGGTTGACAACGCTCCCGTCCCAACTCTAAATCTCTCCGAGCCAGAGCCAGAACCGGCGCCAAAACCCCAGATCCGACCACCGGTGCCTCTGTTCTCAGCACCCTCACCAGCACAATCACCCAACAACCTAATGATGCCCCCTCCCTCCCGACCACCAACCCTCCGCCCCACCCCATCTTCCTCCCTCTCACCAGCGCCCTCCCGTCTCTCCCCCGCCCCAGCGCGAGGACCAGGCTGCTCAACCCTCGCCCCTCCCCCAACCCACTCCACCAAACCCTCCAAGCCCTCCAAAGCCGTCGTCCTCACCCCGGGGCACTCCCCTCTCGACTGGGCCCGCCTCTCCGGAAACCCCTCCGCCGACCTCCGCGGCCTCCCCCCCGGAACCCCCTACCTGCGTGTGACACCATCCATGCTGAAGAGACAAACCGGCAGAAAGGGGAAGGATGTCTGGACGGTGCTGAGCGGGAAGGTGTACAATCTCACCCCTTACCTACCATTCCACCCCGGAGGAGAGCCAGAGTTGCTCAGGTGCGCGGGAAGAGACGGAACGAGGTTGTTTGGGGAGATTCACCCGTGGGTGAACTACGAAGGCATGCTGAGTGCTTGTCTGGTGGGAATCTTTGTCACAGAGGAGGAGGCTGCTGCTGCCGCGGCGGGGGGTGGCGGGATGGAAGATATGGACTGATGTTGGATTGGGAAGACTCCCGCCGGACTTGTAAGATACGCTCGAGCAATGGGCTGGTTATGTGGTAAGACGTGGAAACAATGCTTGGGAAGAAAGACATGCTTGGCATTTCAGAGGTCATAGAATATGATACCCAAATACACAAGAATTGGTTACTTGATGCTCATTACCAATATGTCACCTTGTTAAGTGACGAATGTGTAACATTGACTATTCGCTGGTCCAGGAACCTCGTAATTAATTTGATATGTAACCGCACTTGCCATAGCCCACTTCAAAGATGCAGAGAGGGAGTTGTCTCTTCACTTCCGCCTGCCAAACCGGAACTTCAACTCATCATCGCTGTCGTCGTCGCTTTCGTCTCTACTGGCAGCCATGAACCCTCCCCGACGCGGCTTCTTCGCTTCCCTCGAGCTACTAGGTGAGGCATTCAGCGGTGGTGCTGCTCGCTTGTTGCTGCTCTGCGACTGCGTTTGCGTGCTCTGTGCCTGTGACTGGCCCTTCCGAGCATTGGCCCGCTCCGCTGCCTTGGCCGCCCTCGACCTTGCTGGCTCGGGTGTTGGCTCTGGTGCTGCTCGGTCCTCGTCCATAACATCCACATCATCTTCGTCCTCATCACTGCTGTCGATGGTGAGAATGTTCTCCCTGAGAGGGGCCTTGGCTTTCTCGGGGGTGGGATTGCTGGTTTGCTGCTGCGTTTGAGATTGACGTTGGCTGGTGGCATCGTTCTTTTGGCGACTGTTGGAGTCGTTCTCGAGCCAATACTCGTCACCGATACCATTGCTCTTTGGCCGAACCTCTTCTAGGGGAATTACTGTTCGTGATGCTTGCCGTCCAGTGGCTGCACCTTGCTTTCGGAACTGCTTGTAATTCCTACGACCATTCCATTTGGGATCCCAACGACCGTCGGCAATGTCCTGCTCACGCGTACGACTGGTACCAGCTCCCCCTGTCCATGGCTCAGGGAAGCGAACCTCACATTCCTGGACCGTTTCAAGTTGCAGCCTGCGAATTTCCGCATAATCAATCTCATCATCGCCCAACTCGGTCAGTGCTCGACGTTCCGCGGCTGCTCTGGCTTCGGCCTCTTCGCGCTGCTTGCGCGCCAGCTCCAAGATATCGTCACCGCCTGCTGTTTTCTTGCCTTTCCCTTTCGTACCTCGCCCCTTCTCACTTTTGTCTTGGGGAAATTCAATCACCATCTCGTCATTGTCCTCGTCCTTAACTGGAGGCTCCGGTTCCGGTGGTGGGGGCACAGGCGGCTCTCCTGCCTGAATACGCCTGCGTTTGGCTGCCGCGGCTGTGGGGGCAATGTTGGCTAGTAATGCCGATTCATCATGTTCTGGCAAGGGTGAGAGTGGGCGTTTGCGCGTAGCTCGAGGCAGAGGGCGCGACTCGGGTGCAGTCTCTTCCTCTGGACGATCAAGAGGGTCCTGGTACTGCGAAACAAACAGACCATCCTGTGACGCTTCGACTGCGGGCTGGCTTAGTTCGGGAAGGTTAGGTTGAACGGGGCCTATCTCTTGAGTCGGCTCGGGGTTGTCGTCCTCGATATCAAAGCCTTTGAATCTGCTTACACCTCTTCGAGTCCGCACTCTTCGAGGAGGCGGTTGTGGCGAGGGTTCTCTCTCCACCTCTCTTTGCTGGGGGGCTGTCGGCTCGGTCGATGGCTGATCTATTTCCATGCGAACACCTGGTTCTGTGTGAGCTTCAGGACGTGACATTGCCGGTTCGGATTGACTAGCCTCTTCCAAGGGGCGTCGCAACATGGAAGCATCGCAGTCCAGGATCGCCTCAATAAATTCGCGCTGGTCGATTGGTCGATGGTCGAGCCGCTGAGCAAATTCTGTGAGAAACTGCGCATACCATTCGTAGTTTTCATCTTTCGGGATGTATCGAACAACCACCACTCCCTTCCCCTCGCTGCCATCCTCAAAAGACCCAAGCCCCTTTTCACCAGCCACGCCTTTGACGAAACGGACGAAATCATCCACGTCCGTTTGTCCTGGCGTCACTGCATTCAACACCGCTTTACCCCTCCCAGAAGTGATGGGAGAGAGGAGGTTTTCAAACTGTTTCTTCTCGTAAAAAACAAACGTGTACCCTTCAAACACCTCCTGTCGCCGTTCATCCGGAGCGTAGGCTGTGCTGGGTCGTTCTCCGGTCTCTTCACCTCGTGGCGGCAAGTGGTCGAGAGCATTGGGCCAATGGTGATCAAAGTCTTGTTCCAACGCGCTCGACGAGCCTTCCTCGGCATCGGCTGGTGTTGTTGCTGCATTGATGATGGTGTTGATGAAGCTCTCGGTGACAATAAGTTTGCCATTAATGAGAGCTTGAAGCCCCTTCGACGTGTTGCGCTTCTTTGACACGACGTGGGTGGTGGTTTCTTCGTATTCAGCCGAGTATTTTATATCCAATTGTTCGAGATCATCGCGAAGCTTTGTCCACGGGTCTGCACGTAACTCCTTGCTAGTGAAGGAGAAGCTCAGCACAACGGGGTACCACTGAATGCTACATCACAGCGACACCGCGTGTCAGCCATCGCAATGACAGATATACAGCGAGGAAGGCTTACCGCAGAAGCTTCTGGCACATTCCTAGCTTGACTGTATTCACAGTCTCGGTGAGGACTTTCTTCTGGCCGCGTATCTGGACATCGTTTACGGTGGTTCCCTTTTTTGAATCGAGATCTTCAATGGTGATCTGGGATCTGGAGGTAATGTTGCGCTACTATCGTCAACGCCAGTCGCGCTTTAACAATACTGGGTGCTACATACGCCGCCGCCTTCCGGGACAGGCTCAACCTTGATGGTGATGTGTTTACGCGAAATGGTCTTGTCAGAGATAACGAGCTGACCAGCCTCAGATACCGTGCGGCCGAAGAGGTAGAGCTTTCCAGGCCGCAGCCAGAGCTTCTTGCCTGGTTTGCGCGTTAGCTGCAGGTACGCTTGCAAAAAGCAGGATGCAGTGATTGAAGATAGAAACGACGGTTTCGGGGCTTACCTTCGAAAAGATCGCTCTCCAGCAGCCACATGATTGTTGCTTGAGGAAAGGCAAGGCAGTAGAGAGTAGAATAGGTTCGGAAAAGATGGCACGAATCTGAGGGTGCTGCAGCTGGTGCGCGTGGGACCAAGGATTGCCGTCCTAGAAAAGTCCAGAAAGTTGAAGCTCGGAGCATTGGAGAGGTACCGACGCGTCATTTACGCGACTCCACGTGACTATAATGCACTCTCCACATGGACCCGAGCACGGGCCACTACAATAGTTTGAAAATGAGAACCTTGAGGGCCAGATAGGGAGATCGGGCTATTTCAATGACCATCATGACTTGAACTACTTCCTAAGTAGGTATCTATACACAAAGCTACCAATATTTGCCAGTTTTTTCCAACAAAGGCCTTCTTCCCATTCAAACAAGAGTTGGGTTCAAAAAAGCAAGCTCTTGCAAATGCTTGCGCCAGGCCCCGACATGATCTTCCATGACAAAACTGTCAGTCGCTGCTACCTTCTGGCCCTGTTTAACTCCATAAAGATACGGTTTCTCGTCAGCATAACAATGAGTTTTAGCCTCGTTTGGAAGCTTGCCATGCAGGATAAAGTCTCTAGCGATCGAATTTGTACACTGAGAGGTATCCCTCGACGAGTGTCCATATCCATGATGAATAATCATCCGAGCATTGGAGCCCATCTCATGCAGGAGTCTCCTCCCATTTCGGAGAGGTGTTGCCGAATCGTAGGTTTCCGCAATCAGAAGGACTGGGTGCTTCAGTTTATGTCCGAGATGGCCACGGTAGACTTCAGCAGGACGAGGCCAGTAGGTGTTAAAGTGACGGCAGGGAAGCACGTTGTACAACCGGCTATTTCCCGCGATCCAGTTTTTGGTGGTCATATTGCCCAAAGCGAGAGCCACCACTCAAGGTCATCGGGCTCCGTAGCGTCGAATGAATCACTGCAAATCACCAAAGTCCCAAGCTCTTCTGTAGAAGGAGGCTCAGGACTGGCGAGGCAAGGCTTTTCGGGGTTGAAATACCAGGAGGTCTTGTCAATCAGAGTGGCTGCAAGTGTGGCGTTGCCTTCCTCGAGGCCCAAAAGAGCTTCGGCGAGCGCTGGCCAACTTTGTGCGTTATACATGGCGCCGTATATTGTGTTTACCAGAGCCGAATATGTGACAACAACAGGGCCGCTTGTTGGGATGTAAACGGGGGCTGGCCGGTCGAGGAGTGATGAAAGAAGGGTTTCCAACCGGCTTTGGAGGCCATCAAGGGTGACAGGTTTGCCGTTCCTTGACTTTGCCAGAGCGCAATATCTCGACCCAGCGTTGACACACTCACCCAGAAAACCGTCCCGCCAGGCATCTGTTGCATTGTCCAACCTGTCCAGCCAAAACCTCCACGTAGACGATGGTCTTTGACATATTCGGTGCCATCGAGGATCATGCGGCCGGAACGGTTGGGAAACATGGACACATAGGTTTGCGCAATACCTGTCCCATAGCTCACAAAATTTCCCGTGACTTCGTTTTCACCAAGTGCCGCTCGAATCTGTTCGAGATCTCTTGCAACAAAGGCCGTGGAGACGAACCGACCCAGGTCTCCGTGGCGCTCCCAGCATGCTCTCATGACAGCAGCGTTCATTGCGTCACCAAGTTCAACTTGATCCCGATGAGAAGCCGACACGGACCGGTGTTTCGATACCAACAACTCCCAGTGGTCCCGGTCTGCATCGTGAGGGAAACAGGCCACAGCGGGTTGAGACATGTTGACACCCCGGGGATCCCAACCCAAAATGTCAAACTTGCCATCGCTAAGTCGCTCGGTTATATTTTGCCCTGCGCGCCATGCATAACTCGCCCCACTTCCTCCCGGTCCCCCAGGCTCGATGATGATGGTTCTTTCACTCTTTCGGCCGACCTGATCGTCCAAGGCGGTATATGTTGATCTGATCCTGGCAAGTCCCGAAACTTGGAACTTGGTGACAGCAAGACGGGCAATGCGGTTGTTGGACTTGTTGGTGTAGTCCAGTGGGACATCCAAAAATCCACACATCAATATGCCACGACCGGCGTATGGGTCCTCTTTCCGCCCATCGCTGCTATTTCCAACAGTCAACCCCCAGCTCCAATGAGCAGGGTTGGGGTCAAACAAACCAAACCATCTCTTTTCGAATTCAACATCGTCCAACGGCGGCGGTGTTGTTCTTGGCGTACAGGGCTGAAATCGAAACGGATCGTGGGGCTTTGGAAACTTTCCATACGGAGAATCAGGGATTTGTGTCTTGAAGCAGCTCAAAGGGCTATTACTGTGGCACTTCGAGAATGGCGAGAACCAAACTAAGCTCCCGACAACGAGCCCAAGAACGATCCATTCACGAACAGACCTGGGCTCTGAAAGCGGGGCCGCCAGAGACGGCCGTTTCTCCAACGAGGCTGAGGATCTAGATTTGTTCATTGTGGTTGTTGTCTTTTGAAACGGTTGGCTTAGACATGGTCATTGAAGATGGGTGTGCTATTTCATTTCAGGGTGGTCCAAGCTCCCTGCACCTGCAGCAGCCTCTCGGCTGAAAGAACGCCTCTTCTAATGATGCCTTCCGGGTTAATAACAATGGTTTTGATGCTGTTGATTCGTTGAAACGGCTCGTGAGTGAGGTAGGTAGCAATCATAATCGATACGCTCTGGTAGCCCAAGCGAAAATATTTCCCGCTGAGAGGCCTGTCACAAAGTTAGACCCATCGTTCGCTCTTAATACTGGGTAACTATTTCAGAACCGTAGTATGGTTGAATATAGGGGTTCATCGACTGGATGTTGGATGCTCTCTTCGATGCCCTTGGTGGGGTTTATCAAACGCCAGCAGATATGGGTGGGGTAACTTTGCTTGTGACACATGCAGGGCTTCACAAGGGTGGGCCTGTTTCCCCACAAATCACGGCGGTTCGGCACATGACGTAATTCCTCGTCCTATCTGTGCAGATGTACGATTTGACGATAGAGCGCTACCAGATAGTATCCAAGGCTCATCTCAAACCTGATATGCACCATCCTGGTGATTTCAAGGCGCAAGCAGAGCCGCCGCCAGACATGAGACATAATTGGCCAGCTGGCCAGTCGACCTCGGCCTCAACGCTGTAGAATCCAGAGGCATCCACAGCCCAGCCACAAGAAGAACGTAAGTGTCTGTCGTTTGCTGAAAAGCAAGCGGTGTACAAGCCTGCCGGAGCATACGACATTTCTGTCCTGGTTTGGCTTGTCGTTGGCACACCACGTCATTTGTTGTGGCGCTACCGCCATGGTTGAGCCCAAGAGACTACATGCCAGGAGTATAATTCCCAACAAGCCCTTCAGAGCAAACTTTTTTTGTTCACACACGAGTACTTCTTTTTCGGTCAGGTCTTTCCACTGTCTGCCTTCTCACCTTGAGCCCTCCAACAAGAAAATAAACTCATTCTTCCAATCAGCCATACCGAAAGAAAGACAGCAATCATCTCAAAATGGAGCGTTTCGTCCCCTGGGTCCACATTGCCGCGGCCATATTCTCCGTTATTCTCTTGGGAATAAGCGCATATGGTGAGTATTTCTCATCAGGCTGAAAGTTCCTAACTGACACATCTCGCAGTTGTGCACGTTACATGGGGCCACCCGACTCCCAATTTCATCTTGTTCAGCTCTCTCTGGTCTCTTCTGGTCTTGGGCTATGTGGCTATGACACCACGATTTGCCCCTAGACTCTTCCACGGCACCATTTCACTGGCTGTGTTGTGCTTGACGACCATCTTCTGGTTCGCCGGCGCAATTGCCTATTCGGTTTGGGCCGGATATCCGTATTGCCACGGCTCAATTTGGTGTGGCTCGAACCAGGCGGGAATTGCCTTTAGCTGGATTCTTTTTGTGCTCTTTACCTTCTTGGCCGTCGTCGAGACTCTCCGTTTCCGAAGGGGTTCCGTACGCACAGGGCCTGCCGTTGTTTAGAGAGCTCGGGGCGTTGCAAAATTCGGACTGAGGCGGCACCGTGTGCAGGGCAGGAAAAGGATCACTGACCCGCGATGCCGGGGTGGCATGACCTGGGGGTTGACGCTTGACGAGCAGGTTTGGATTTTTCATACATCGATGATCGGGACATAGGAAGGACTAGATAAATAATTTCTCATATGATACCCTCTAAGGAGTGGCGAAGGAATATTGGCGTTTGGGTTTAATATATGGGAGTTCCAAAATGTTGCAGGCCATCTACTCGTGTGATTGCCAATGTACCAAGGGAGTAAGTGATCTTGGTAAGTTCCTGTTAGTAAACAACCCTAACCCGGGGTTTTGCACGCCACCTTATGGGATCCGCAGTTTAACCGGCGTCGGCGTCGAGTCACCAGCCAGGCGCCACATCCGTCGGCCAACTGCCAACCACCCATATCCATCAACATTTCTCGACTTTCATCACCTTTGCGCCGCCATCACCCAGTCTCACGACAGCAATCGCAAAGCGACAACAACCTACCCGGACCGACCACCGAGACCCACAAACTCTACATTTAAAAATGGGCAAAGTTCACGGATCCCTCGCCCGTGCTGGTACGTCTCATCGGCAATCAATCCTCTGTGTACAAAGATTCTCGGCTAACCACGGTCGCGAACAGGCAAGGTCAAGTCGCAAACCCCCAAGGTTCGAAAACCCGTTCCCAGACGTCGAGCCCGATCTTCAAAGTTGGATGGCGACTGATTCAGCACGAACTATAGGTCGAGAAGCAGGAGAAGGCCAAGACCCCCAAGGGCCGCGCCCACAAGCGTGAGATCTATACTCGCCGCTTCGTCAACATTACCCTCACCCCTGGTGGCAAGAGAAAGGTATGATATTGTTGGGACTGAAATCCTTCAGCCACAGCTACTTACGAGGCCTGCCGAATAGATGAATGCGAACCCAACCGCTTAAATCGAATGAACATCACTGAGGGAGGGGCTCTATCTCGCTAGGCGTTGAGGACTGGGCATGGGAATATGGGCTCGCCATCTTTCTAACGGCGCTTGGACTCGGTCGGCAACGTTGCGCTGGTAATTGCGGTGGCCATCTCAGCCTGGCATCAGGGCGCATCGGCGTTTCGGTCGGAGGATGACATGGTGTCCGTTTGGGGCCGACATCTGGCCATAGAGTTGAGAAATTTTTTATTGGGGCCGTGTGGCCATAATCCAAGAGATCTCATAATCAACACCGGTTTGGAGTTCCTCCCATATCTTGAATGTCTGTCTCTGCTCAACAGGAGGGAATATGCAGCATCCTTCTCATGACAATGAATTTACAAGGTGCAGCATATTCCGACTGACTGGGACCGTGTACTACATCCCATCCCCAGCTATGTGCCAGTGAATGAAGTGAATGCTCACGGATCTGAGCCAAGCCAGGAAGTTGTTCTGTCTGCATGAGATGCTGGTCTGTTTATCTTATCAGCCTCTTGGCTGTGCGAGAGCTGTGATTTGCTGGAACAGAATTAATATGGGGTTACTTGCCAGTCTGGGCATGTGGCTTCAGCTGGCACCAGTGGTGGGAGCTCTCCGGCCCCACAAAGAATTTTAGGGTTGGTTGGCTCTGCGCACCAGTTTCGAGAAATTCGCAGCAAAAAGCTTCCCCGCCTAGAGAAAAAAGTCCGCCTTGAAGCGACCGACCGAGTTCCACGACAACAACATCTCCCCTTTCGACACCCACCGAAACATCGAAATCATGGCTGATCGGGGAACTGGTGCCCGCGGCGGCGGCTTTGCTGCTCGTGGTGATCGTGGTGGTGATCGCGGCCGTGGCCGTGGCCGTGGACGTGGACGTCGCGGCGGCAACAAGAACGACGAGAAGGAGTGGCAGCCCGTCACCAAGCTCGGTCGTCTCGTCAAGGCCGGCAAGATTAAGAGCATGGAGGAGATCTACCTCCACTCTCTCCCCATCAAGGAGTACCAGATCGTGGATTACTTCCTCCCCAAGCTCAAGGATGAGGTCATGAAGGTGCGCATTGTCGCCAAACCACGAACCCCAGCCCGACGATTCGAAAACACCGTTCCGCCCGATTTCAGACCAGTTTCTAACATGCAATTTTACTCCCCTACAGATCAAGCCCGTCCAGAAGCAGACCCGTGCCGGTCAGCGTACCCGCTTCAAGGCTATCGTTATCATCGGTGATTCCGAGGGTCACGTCGGTCTCGGTATCAAGACTTCCAAGGAAGTCGCGACTGCCATCCGTGCCGCCATCATCATCGCTAAGCTCAGCGTTGTTCCCGTCAGACGTGGTTACTGGGGTGCCAACCTCGGTGCTCCCCACTCCCTCCCCACCAAGGAGAGCGGCAAGTGCGGTTCCGTCACCGTCCGTGTAAGTAGCAGATCAAGCCTGGCGCGCCAGCTCAAGGGACTCAGAAATGCTAATTGGACGCCCAGCTCATCCCTGCCCCCCGTGGTACTGCCATCGTCGCTTCCCCCGCCGTCAAGCGTCTCCTCCAGCTCGCCGGTATCGAGGATGCCTACTCCTCTTCTTCCGGCTCCACCAAGACCCTCGAGAACACCCTCAAGGCCACCTTCGCCGCTGTCTCCAACACCTACGGTTTCCTCACCCCCAACTTGTGGAAGGAGACCAAGCTTATCCGCTCTCCTCTGGAGGAGTTTGCCGACACCCTCCGGGACGGCAAGCGTTACACCAACTAGGTTGCTTCTGAATGAGGGTGATGCTCAGTCAGTGGGATGTGGTGCTTTGGGGCGTCTATGGTTTTGCGTGCATGGGCTCCGGCAATAGACAAGGGCTGTCAAAAATAGCATGATTGGCCTAAATCCCAAATTATGATTTGATCACGAAGTCTATGGTTTTTTCTTGTTTCTTTACAAAACAGTTCCGTCTTCTGGTGCACAGTGATAGGCCTGGTGAGGTGTCCGTGTGTCCAACTGGGTCAACACCTTCTCGTTTCACTGGTTGTAATTGACTTTCTGTAGGTTCGCTTGGCTCCTCCCATGCATCTCTCTCCTGGAAGGCACAAACATCAGGTAGCATGTCGATGAACCATATTGAAAACCCGCTCCTTATTTGGACCATAGCGGAGGATTTGATCCTCTCTGCACCCAATCCCGATCAACATACTCGCTTTTGCTTACATGCTTACAGCCTGTGGAAGGGGTCATCTTGGTAACTGACTGCAGGAAGATCGACTTCTCCAAGCTGCTGTTCATCTTGATTCTTCTTGGACACCTACTCTTCCTCAAGTGATTGGACACGACGCTTGTCTTGGATCTTTTTGGACTTTAAGTTTTGGGCTAGTTTTGCCATCTTGATTTTGGAACTGTCTCGACTAAACCCTTACTTTTCTACAGTTGCCCGTTAAGCACTTACGACCTGTCTAGCAGCATGCCTCAAGTCGGTCGTTGTTCGCTTCTCTTTCTCCTACTTCCAACTGTCCACGGCCTGTGGAATTCGACCATTTCCCCAGACCTGTCGCTAGTTCAATCCGATGGGAGACAATGGCTCCCTTTGCCACCCCATGAAGGTTAGGCATCCCCGACCTTCCGCTTCCAAATCTATTGTCTTCTCTTTTTGCTCTGAAGCCCATCGCTGCGCCTGAAGCACCCCCTCCAGTCCCTACAGCAGCCTAGGCTTCCCCCACAATCCCGCAAGGTATGTCACCTGCTTCCTGGCCAACATGGCCATGTTCTTTCTTGCCCGAACTGAAAGCTTCAACCATTACGTCGATACCTGGTGGGATGACCAACAAGCTCTGTATCAAGTTCAGTCTGATATGCCCTTTTTCGCTGGCCGCTACCGAGTACGGCTTCGAGTGCTACTGTGGCGATGTGCTGGTGGACTCTTGGTTGATGGGTGGTGATTCGGACTGCAACAAGCCGCGCCCTACTGTTGCGACAGGCAATCGCGATTGCGAATGGGCGATGAGTCTCTGGAACGCCGACGATGGCAAAGTTCCCAAGGTTTTCGGTCCTCAAGAGCATTTCGTGCCTCCCACCCTTGCTCCTGGTGAAATTGACGTCCTTGCCTACGTGGGTGGCCTGCGACAGACTGCTGTATTGGTTGCAACTCCGGTATATGAGTGGCCGGCTGGGAGTCATACACCCCTCGTCGTCGTCTTCATATGCTTCAAATATCGACATGGCAGCTCTTGCAGCCAGCGTTCACGCCATTGTATCAGCTGCCACGAAGCAGGCACAAGGGCTTGTGGTATCGGAAGTTCGGAGAAAAGTCCATGGGGACCTTACAGAAAGGGTCGCCAAAGCAGCTATTGGTAGCACTACCACCACCACATTCAGCACGACAAGGACGCTCACGACTACTGTTACATGCACCGAGTCTACTAGTTCATTAGTGACGAGCAATTCACCGACATCGTTGATAACCTCCCATCTGTAGCGTCTCATCAGGCGGAGGTGACAGGCACTATCTCGAATGACCCATTGACACCACTGATGGCCCCCATGCCATCCCTGTCTGATCTGGACTCGAATAGCTTTGGGTCAGACCCGACTGTTCCAAGTCCCTCTACGGTTCCTGGGAGCGTCAGCCTCTCAGTTACCCTCGACATCTCCGGATTTGAGTATAGTCTCAAACGAAACGACTGAGTCAACGTTCCCTGATGCTTCCAGTCAGGTCATCGTCATCACAGTGATGACAACAACCCTACCAGTTATAGCTAGTATGGCGGCGTCCCAGCAGGCTCAACCACCATGCCTAGCTTGCCTCTGGCTGTCACACCCTTTCTCGGCGTCAGTACTTGGGAACAGGCACCGCAGGGGGCACATACATATGTGGCTACTGGTGGACAACGGAGGGAACGGTGGTCTTTTGTGGCATGAAGAGGTTAACTTTGAACGAAGGATGTTTATGGGAAGGCGATATGACATTTATTACGTTTTATCTTTGTGTTTAGATGAAATTCTATCGCACCAGGGCCGCTGCATAGTTAGGTGGGGAGGAAGAAGCCAACATCATGAGGGTACACTTTAACTCTTGTGGGCAACTCAGACGGAATATTTTCGGGCTATTGGGTATGTGTGAAGGGCGCTGGGCTGGAAGACTTTGGTCTGCTTTTTGTCTTGTTTTCTCTCGTTTAGCATATCATAGACGACGGTCTTTGCTGGTTTGATTTCTTTTATTGGTTCCAGATTTTGCTCTTATACATGATGCTGGTGGGGATATTACAGTGCAAAGATGATATGTGATTCAGCCTTCTCTTTGCGACTGAAACGGCAACGATGTCCCAACACATTGACAGGACGCTTCCATATCGATCGGATGTCTCGGTACCCAGCTAGACCACAGGCTACGGAGGATAGTCATCATTAACATGCCTTTAAAGACAGCCATAGGCCCCGAAAGAAAGGTAAAGACCTCGAAACACAGTTAATAGGCTTTGTAAGATAGTTGATAGGATAATACCATGGCCTGTTTTGTATTTTGCAAGGTATAGGTCAATGTTTAGCATGTGTTTTAAAGACTTGCTGTGTTCGGTTCTTTTGTCCAAAGTATGCCAGGCCAGGGACTTCGTTGCTTGGTTGCAATGCTGGGTGCTTATTAATCGAGGGCTCCTTCATTACAACACCACAAAATATCCCTCTGCATGAGGTGGAGGTGAATCGACCCCCCCGTGGTCATTGTTACGAGATGCTTTGTTTTAGAGCGCAAGTAGCCGGCCTGGGATACATGGTCGAGGTTTCTCTTTGCTCTCCTCCATCAACCAAAAGTTGCGAGGAAAAAAAACAAAAACAAAATACGTCTGTCTGGAACGCTCGGTGGGTTGTGTCATCAAACTCCAACGGAGTTGGTGAGAACAGAGAAAACCTTGCGAGCTCTCAGCGGTCGTTTGCGCTGAAGGCAGTCCAGAAGGTGTGAGTGGGGTGTTTCGGGGATTGTGCTTTTTTGGATACGGCCCGAAAGAGAGGGCGGTGTTATGGAGATATTGGTGAGGTGAGTAAGGCGAGGAGTGTTTTCAGATGTTTGGCGAGATGACAAGTTTTGTAAATAGTAACTCGGGGGTAGGCTTTTCACATCATCACAAGCGCAGTCAATGTCAGTCATGTTCCGGTTAGGTACCACCGTGAGTAAATAGAGTTGTTGTTTGTTGAGAGAAACAAACGGCAGAGAGGGTACAACCTCGAGGAGACGGTCCCGAGATGCGCGTGAGGGCATGAGAGGGATGGACTCGAGAGGCAGTAGCACAAGAGTTGCAGAGTCGCGTGCCGACTGCCGTGTCCCGCGGAGATAGGATGGTTGAACATGGATTTGACCTCCGTTTAAGAGAGAACATGGCGGAGGGAAAACCCCAGAGAAGGAGGCTGTTGTGTGTTTCTGGGGAGAATGCTGAGTTTTTTTCTCACTTTTGGGGAGTGGATTTGGAGGAGTTGTGTGATGGAGTAACACGAAGCGAGCTCCTGACTTCGGCAGCATCTCTGCCAAGCTTGGCATGAGAGCATAACAACCCGTTACTTGCATACTCCAGGAGCATGCCGGCTGTTGAATATGCACAGACCATCCCCAGTCTGCACGGAGTTGGCCGGCGCAGGGTTCAGATGGTTCCCCATATCTACCCCTCACGACAGACAGGTATTTCCCCTCACGAGGTGTAACGATAATGACGGGACAGACCCCAATACCCCACTTCCCAAGGTGTGGGCAGCTGCCAGTTGCAGTGTAAAAAGGAGTTCGGCTGAATTCTCGCAAAGACAACTTCGCATTGAGGCCATCCATGATGTTCAACTTTAAACAAACAAATATCTCCGCTTCCCCAGATATTAGTGCGATAGATTGGACGAGGGACTCCATTCATGAGAAGATCCAGAATCCAATAAAGCAACAACGGCACTTGCACCAACGCCGCCGAGCGACGAGTTGCCTGGTTTCGCGGTGGAGAGTGTCTGCTGTCCGGACGGCTGTTTACCCGCACTTGGGATAGTTGAGCCCCCGTTTTGATTAACAAGCTGGAGCATCATGAAAGACCACAATGGAAGGATGCAAGATCCACTCGGACCCGGAGACGGTGACTGACAAGTGTGGGTTCTTCCAACAAGTGCAGCAAAGACTGACATGTGTGGCCAGTGCTCCGAGTGTCTGATTACCATCCACCAACGTTGGTTTTGCAAGATACCTATTCAGATGCTTTATACTTCGTTTGGAGGCTGTAATGAGCTAGTGTAGAGATGACATGTGAGTCTGCTCTACCGACTGCTTGGAATGGTGGCCGCTGAATTCTTGGAGAGGTCGGACATTTCGAGGGTTGGAGATTTGCATGATGTCAGAGCCAGTGCAACATGCGGTTATGATCGACTCGAAGGTTCATCTCAACCCTTCGGAAACAGCTGCAGACTCTTTACCCCATACCCGCCGTACCCCAGATGGTGCCATGATAGCTAAAGCTGGGGAAATTTCCATTTTTTCTTTTCAAACCACCGATGCTAAACATTGGGGCCCCGGATTTGCGGACACTCTCATTGCTGTGACTGACCCGCTTGCTTCATCCATGTTTCCGGAAGCCGAGGATGAAGACGAGAGCGAGATCCATTGCTTCTGCTATATGTCGTCCTGGCTCCCACAGCCTGAAGTTTTCCATGTGTGATGGAAAAAGAATATCTGTTTCGACCCCTGATTTTTGACGGGTTTTTCGCCATATGTTTCGCTGACACTTTGGGTTGCACGCCGCGCCTTGTCAAAGATTTCAGCCCTCTCGGGCGACCGGGAGAACGCATGCCCAGGCGGCAGTGACGGTAGTGACGGTAAATGGCGGCGATCTAGCAGGCGTTGGCAAACAACCAGAGGGACGTTGCGCGGCTGCTTTCTTGGGTGCTTGGCCATGCGCATGGCTGCAATTGCCCATTTCGTGGTCGTAGCGATGGAAAGCGGCCATAATATCTTGGCACCAAGCCGTTAGTGGCTTGGGGTCCTCGATGCACCTCTTGGCTCTCAACCTCCAACAACAGCAGGACGCCCCAGACGACCTGAAAACACCAGATTTAAGCGTCGAATTGCGTATCCACTGACCCTATTCAAACCACATGGGCCAACCTGGACAAGCACCCTGCCGCTGGATCTGGAACGTCGTTTCTCCGAACGCACGTCCCACCCACCCATCACGGCACTCTTGACTCCTCAAGGTCTTGATATCTGCGAAACAGGTGCTGGGTAGAACTACGGAGTATCCGTACTCTATATGATTCAGGCCAAACACACGGCCACACTCTAGGTGTGCCACCTGAGATGCTGTGCGCACCACACTTTTACGTTACAAGTCTACATATATGCAGGGATCGTCCCATGGCGCAATCAAAAGACCCCCATGAACCCATAGCCGTCATCGCAGGCCCTAGCTCAGCAGTCACTGGTCGCGCCAAGAAAGAGGCAGTCTTGGCATATTCTGAGGCTCATTCATTGACACCCTGTAGCGCCACTGGCTTGTTCTTGGATGCCGAGCTTTTCAGACGTCAGAGGACATCATTGATCCCAAAATCACCATTGTCTAACCTCTGCGTGGGCGTTTACATACTATCTGCGATGTCCTTTCCAGAACCTGGTTGTCAAGAGTTGATATCACGGGGAGCACGTGGCTCTCTCCCAAACAGAAGAGCTGGTCATGGTATAAGCCAGATGGACAGGCATCCCATGTCCTGCGTTGGGTTCCCCGGATGGGGACACCCCGGGTTCTGCGTTTGCGGACAAACTTCCAACTCGCTGAATACCGGTGAGAGAAGGCCTGTCTTTATCTGATGTGGATGAGTCCCGTTCCATTTTGGTTACGAGCCCCTTTATTGCAGCGCAACCGTCAACCAGGGAGCTCCTGGACGTGGAGCTAGCCCCCTTTGACGGGGACTGGTCCGTCACCATCTTCATCCACACTCGTCCCAGAGATAGGGCACACCTGCCCTGATGGTGCCTCGGCCGAGCCAATGGGCGTGAGACACTCAAACGGCAGGTCAAGTGTCCCCGTCCACTGCCGTCATACCTAGATCCCAGTGACAGTGGACAAGTTGTGGAGAATAGTCAACGGCGCTATATTTCTCCCTTCAACCGTAAATAGTAAATCCACCTTTTCACCTGGGCGAGCTGGGGTACATACGGATTTCATTGTGTCCGGTATGCCGTGAGGCAGCGCAGATGCCCCTCACCCTCCCTCGCAACTGGTGCGAGTGACCCGCTTCGTGCTCCTTTGGGAGCTTGGGGCCGCATCTGGTTCGACGATCCCAGATGATCGCTGCCTCCCCCCAGCAACCCCAGATCCTGGACGTGGCTGTTGGGGTACTATCCCGACACTGCATATATCAAGCCCGCCGTCGCCCTCCCCCATTCCAACCTCTGTCACACCTCCAGTTCACTCTTCTCATCTTCTCTTGAATACCATCAAGCTACGGCCTCTTTCTTGCATTGTATCAGAGGAGAGTGACAGGACTCAACAACCTACTTTACCACACACAATGTCCAACTCCGGGGGTTCTCTTACTGAGAAGGATATGGGCCATGCGACCGGCACGGCGCCGAACGCCCATGGGCCTGCCACCGGTCACTACCGGGGCGGATACGATCCCCGGAACCCAATGGCCAACATCCACGCCGGCGACGAGCCCAGGCTCCCAGCCTTCGGTGGTGAATTCCAGCCCGGTCTCTGGCGGCCTGTGGAGAAGCGCCAGTTCGCCAACCCGGCGCCTCTGGGTCTGAGTGCTTTCGCTCTCACCACTTTCGTCCTTTCGGCTATCAATCTGGGCACCCGCGGTGTCAATGTTCCCAACATTGTTGTTCCCCTTGCCTTTGGCTATGGTGGCTTGGTCCAGCTCCTGGCTGGTATGTGGTAAGTTGACCTCCATTATCAGTATCACTTGTCACGGTTTCACACATGCTAATAACATGCTTTAGGGAGATGGTTGTTGGCAACACCTTTGGTGCTACCGCCTTGTCATCTTATGGTGGTTTCTGGATTGCTTGGGGCCTCTTGCTCACTCCTCACTGGAACATCCTTGGCGACGAGGGCCCTTACAAGACTGATGCCATCACCTCCTCTGATCCCATGATGTACGAGTCGGCCATGGGTTTCTTCCTCACAGGCTGGTTCATCTTTACGACAATCCTCCTCCTGTGCACACTGCGTTCGACCGTCATGTTCTTCCTCCTTTTCTTCACCCTCGACCTCTGCTTCCTCATGCTTGCCTGCTCCCACTACTCTCACTCGAACGGGAACACTGAGATGTACCACACCCTCACCAAGGCTGGCGGTGGCTTCGGTATGGTCGCAGCCTTTTTGGCCTGGTACAATGCATTTGCCGGTATTGCCGATAGCAGGTATGAACTTATTCCCGTTGACGTTGTTCTCTTTGTTGTTTTGCCTCCCCCTAACCCCCTTTTGGGAGTTCTTGACGACCCCGCACCATCAATGACCCCCAACTTGAAGTTGGAGGTTCCCTTGGTTACATCGGCCAAGCAAGCCATGGCACGCCACTTCCGTCAAACCAAGCCGCTATGAGCCGCACGAGATCTTCTGAGAACAGTAACGCTGACATCACCTTTTCTACAGCAACTCTTTCTTCCTCATTCCTGTCTTCCACTTCCCCTGGTCTGAGAAGGGTCGCGAGGCCAGACTCGCTCGCGCCGCTACCCGGGAGACCCGGGACTCGGCTTAGGAGAAACGTCACGACACGCATGTTGGCATCATTTTTTATGAATGATTTCGGTTTTTGGAATGGATACATTCACGGTTGAACACAGCACCGTGGATGATGGGAAACGTTATATTTATATTTTTTTTATTTTTTTTTGGATTTTATCCTGACCAAAGTTTCCTGAACCTGGACATAGTTGGTTTTAACTAACGGCGTTGACGAGAACAATGGATGACGGATGGAGTTTTTTCGTCTTTTACTTTTTTTTGGTTGAATTAAGCAAGCGAACTGCAAAAGGCGCAGCGAGGGCAGCATCAAAAGCTTTGGGATACTGAACGATTACATACCTATATATCACACAGTACATACCTACCTGACTTACATGCTAATCCAAAAGTTTCATGATTGGCAGATGTGCAACACTGATGACTTTCACATTCATGTAATTTTGCACAATTATACACGCGCACAAATCTAAGGGTTGGCGGATTATGCAGGGTTATCACTGCACACAACGGTCAACGGTTTTCAGATGATCTGTGGAAGTGGGCCTGACCTTCAGGTAGAACTGCCGTTGTCGCGGCCCTTGCGGGCTTTGTAAAAGCTGACAGTTTGCATGTCGCAATTGCTCCAGAGATGGACCTGATGTTTGTTGAGTTGTGGAGACATTTTCGGTGGAATCTCAGGTTTCAGGGTTATCTTTTAACCTCTCTTTCTTCACAAGGCACGTGACGCCGAGCTGTCGCTCTGAATCGCTCAGCGAGCTCACTTCGGCCTCGGAGGTGGTCTGACATTTTGGTCAACTCGCTTTGCTCTTCTCTTTCTTCTCCGGGAGTTCTTGCTTCCTGCCTGGCCTGCGTATCATCTTAACTACCTAGCGGCGAACCGTCATTCTGCATGTGCAACAGAAAATGTCGTGCGAGGAGCATTGCGTCTTTGTCGGGTAAATCGGTGATCTGATGCCGTGTCGCTCGAAGGCGTGGGAAGGACAACCATATGCTGTGAAGCATGAAATCGCAAAGATGCATCGATCTTTTCATGATCACATCTCGGGATGTCGGTAGCTCTCTTCCATCGCACGGCCCAGGCCCGTGACAAGAGACTTTTCCAGAAGACATTGGCGGTCAGACATCAGACAACCTTTCGACACCGATGTAATATCACCTGATATCTCCCCAAACCTTGGGTGGCCAGAGCCCAACCCGGCGGACACCTTCCACGTCCATCATCTTAGCTAGAGCTGCTTCCTGTGATAAATCCCCATTGCTGTCGTCGTCTGTTGCCAGCGACTGTCTTTCTCCTGTTCACCTCTACGATTCTGTTATGACTAGGCACCACATCTTGTCTATTTTACTACTCACCATTCTCATACCAATAACAGCTGTTCTATTCCACAATTACTCCGCATTTAGTCCCGTCTTCCGAGCGCGGTTCTCTCAGATGGCTACAACCAACAAGTCCCCGGTTATTGTTGTCGGAGCAGGTCTTGCAGGGTTGTCGGCATCGTATTCGGCGATCCAGTCCGGGGCATCAGTTCGTCTTTTGGAGCGAGCACCGAAGCCAGGTGGTAACAGCATCAAGGCATCGTCAGGGATCAATGGGGCACCTACTCGTTTCCAAAACGTTGAGAAGTATGGTGTCGATACCAGTTTCTGGGATGACACAACCCGATCAGCTGGAGTGAGGCTCAACTCTGCCTCGGTTAGCCCAACAGTGAAAAGACGGCGCGAGGAGCTTATCACGGTCTTGACCAACCGCTCGGCCAGTGCAATCGACTTCCTCACCGACCTGGGCGTTGATCTTAGTGTTGTGGCTCAACTTGGGGGCCATAGCCTTCCACGGACACATCGAGGAGCTGGGAAGACACCCCCCGGTGCCTCAATCGTGACTACTTTGCTCACAAAACTGAAGGAGCAAGGGCCCGACCGCTTCCAGTTGGTCACCGACTCTGAAGTGACCAGATTGCTGACCGACAGCAATGCCCCGAAAGGAACTGTAAAGGTGACTGGCGTGGAGTACAAAAACAGGCAGGATGGGAGCACACGCCTCCTTCACGGTCCTGTGGTCTTCACAACCGGCGGCTTCGCAGGTGACACCCATGGTCTGTTGGCCAAATACCGTCCTGATCTCGACGGGTTGCCATCCACCAACGACCCACGGCCAGGCACACACACGATTCTCTCTGACGTGGGCGCCAAACTCGTCGACATGGACGCTGTGCAAATCCACCCAACGGGCTTTATCGATCCAGCCAACCCGGCGAGCCCCCTCAAGTTCCTCGCTGCCGAGATGCTGCGCGGAGAAGGGGGGATTCTCCTCCACAACGGCAAGAGGGTCATCAACGAGCTGCAGACCCGCGAGAAAGTCAGCAATGCCCTGATGGCTCTCCCTGCCAAGAATGAGGACTCGCTGAGGCAATGGGACGTCCAGCTGCTTCTTGATCCTGGTGCCACCGAAGCCGCGGCGGGCCACGTGGGTTTTTATCTATGGAAGGGCCTTTTGCAGAAAAAAAAGATAGCAGAGCTGGATGAGACGACGAGACAGACCCTAAAGGAGTATGCTGCTGTTGTTCGTGGCGAGAAAGAGGATGAGCTAGGAAGGAAGGCGTTTGGGAATTGGCGGCTGACCGAGGAAGATGTTGATGAGGGCGAGGAGGAGGTTTGCGTGGGGAGGGTCACGCCCATCACTCATTTCACCATGGGCGGAGCGGTTTTCAACACAAAGGCTCAGATTTTGACGGCGGAGTTGGGAGAGGAGCAGGAAGGGAAGGAGATTGAGGGATTATGGGGAGCGGGGGAGATCACGGGGGGTTTGCATGGCGATAATAGACTGGGAGGGAGCAGCTTGTTGGAGTGTGTTGTTTTTGGGAGGGTAGCGGGAGAGGAGGCTGCAAAATACCGGGTGTAGGGGACTGAAGGGGCGTTGAAGGCTATGTCACATCCAGATCCAGGCTGGTACAGCACAACGCAAAGGGCTTGTTTCATTTGGTTTGTTGGGGTATTTGGTGACTTCTGGGCTGCAGCTTCGCTTCTGCTGTTGCTATGTTTTTATCTAGCAATGGTTCTTGAAGGGTCAAATAGAGGAAAGCTTTAGAATTCTTGAGTTCTGTCACCTACAAGGATCCCAAGATCCGGTTTCGAAATAACACTAGTCAGCCCGCTTGGCTCAGTGGTAGAGCGTATCACTAGTAATGATAAGGTCATCAGTTCGATTCTGATAGTGGGCAACTTAATATCAACATCATTCTTTTGCTGTAGTTGTTCTCTATCTTTTTTCACTACACGACAAAAGTTCCAGCTTCGGTTCGATCCCTTCGTTTCTTGCTGATACGTACCCTAAAAGGGTCAAGCGCAGCTTCAAGTCTTACTGTGTGTGATCAAAAACCTGGGACATGGCACGTAACAGAGCAGCTACATCACTGATAGCATCGTACAAATAAAGGCTTATTAGTCATTACTAGCTCAACAGTCGGTATCTTTCTCCCTTTGCTATTCCCCCGTGAAATCGTGGAAGTGGTCCTCCTCCTAGGCACCCGCAACCCATACAAACATAACAACAGTATTCTGAGTCATCCCTTCAACCAGCCCTCCAACTTTGTTTCTCGTCAAGTCATGATTCTTGGGCTTAAACATTCTCAGCCTGAACAAACCCAGCCTGTCTCATCTTCTCATCCGTCGACGACGAGTCCTTGCCCACACTCTCCTCTGCACCGTGGCCCATATCACTGGTCTGCTGGAGCTCGGCCATCAGGAGCTTGTTGGCTCTGTGCACCGGCTTGATCTCAAAGAGCCTATCCATCGCCTCAAGGGGAATAGACTTTGTTTCGGGGACAAAGAAGAAGATGAAGATGATCGAGAGGATCATGAGCGAGGCGAAGAAGAAGTAGACGCCGTACTCCATCTTGAGGAACATCTGAGGGGTGAAGCGGCTGATCAAGAAGTTCCAGAACCAATTGTTGGCGGCGGCTGAAGCTTGGCCGAGAGAGCGAGTGTTTTGGTCGAACATCTCGCTGTTGATGACCCAAGGTGTGCCGTTCCAAGAGGGTGTGTAAAAAGCGGTCCAGAGATAGAAGAAGAAGACTGCCGAGATTCCGGCGGATGTCAGCTCACCGCTGGCGCTCTGCTCGGGCTTAGCAAGCTTGATGTAGGCGCCGATGTACCACATGCAGAGTGAACCGCCTGTAGCACCGATGAAAAGCATGCGGCGTCTGCCGGCGAGGTCGACGAGCCAGAGGAGCCAGATAATCGTCAGGACAGTCTTGACAACACCAAAAATGCCTGTCGTCAAGAGGCCAGTGTTAACACCATCGATTCCAATGCTGCGGAACACGGTGGGACTGTAGTAGTTGATGGCGTTGATACCGCTGCCGTTTTGGAAGAGGAAGAGAATGCCGCCGATAAAGAAGCGCCATTGGACCTTGCGCTGCTTCAGTGAGAGGAAAGGCTTCCAGAAGCCCTTGCCGACCTCGCGCTCGAAACGCTCGAGGTCCGCTTCAATATAGCTGACTTCCTCCAGGATATAGGTATCTGTCGGCTCCAGATTCCGCATCCAGCACAAAACCTTCAAGCCCTCCTCCTTTTTGCCGTTCGCGAAGAGCCATCTGGGAGACTCCCTGAGCCAGAAAGCACCGATCAGAAGCAGGCCAGCCGGGATGAGCTGCACAGCAAATGGGATGATCCACTGCTTGTGAGAAGGGGCCAGTGTGGTGTTGACGCCATAGTTGATCCAGAAGCCAACGAGACCTCCCATCTGCCACCCAAGCTCATAGATGCCCACAAGACGCCCTCTGACGGCAGGCGGAGACAATTCAGAGATGTAGATTGGGACCATATTGGAGCAGCCACCTACACCGATACCAGCAAGGACTCTGCCAGCGATGATGGGCGCCATGCCTCTGTCTCCGTTGGCAGCAAGCATGATACCCGCGCCAATACAGAAAACCACGCTGAAGATGAAGAGAGAAATCCGTCTGCCCCCAAAATGGCTTGTGACGTAGGCAAATAAGCTGCCGAAGAAAGCACCGGCCTGGTAGACTGAAACAATGTTGGCCTTCAGCAAGGCGCGGCCGGATTCGCTATACGAGGCGAAGTCAAACTCTTCTTCAAAGGACGGGAGGGCGAGTGTGCCGCCGATGAAGGCCGAATCGTAACCGATCGTGCATGCTGCGAAGGAAGCAACAGCCGCACATGTGTAGACACGCCAGTTGTACACGGCCTTTGGCGTCGGCCTGTCCTCCTTAAGAGAGAGGAGCGTCATCGTGTCGACAAGCTCTCGAGCTGGGGAGATGCCAACGATGACAACGTGGCGAGTGGATCAACGGTTGACAAGAAAGTTCCCACGGTGGGAGGAGGCGATGGTCCGAATCTGGGGAAGGAATCTGGGGATGGTGGGCATTTGATCATGGCCCTGGGGCTACTTGATTTATAGCAGATAGAACCCTTCAATATGTGCTGCTGTCGTTTTTTCCACACAGGAATTCCAAGACCTTGGAACCCACATACAGGCTCCCCGTCTCCATGGGGAATCAAGCAATATCTCCGTCCTTGTTGGCGAACTAAAACGTTCCTCCACTCGAAGATGCTTGAGCTATACTGCATGAAGATGCAGGTCAGCCATGCGTGACACGAAACTCATGGGGTTGAAGTTTTAGGTGGCAAATCAGGTTGGCCGGAAATTCCATTTCCCAGGAGTGTGGTAGATCTCCTTCCCCGCAAAGTCGAGTGCTCGTCCCCACATGGGTACCCGTCGGTGAAGCACTAGGGCCAGAGATGTCGGCATTCAGGATGAAGACTCTCCCGGATTGAATCTTGAAATCCTCCGATTGCGGACAAGAGGCAGATGGTATCTTTGTTGAATGTTCAAATTGAGTGACGTGCCCGAATACCTCCTCCAGCTTCACAGCAGTTGGCATTGCCAGGTCAACTGCCGAGAACCATGCACGAGCCTGCGGCCAAGACCTGTGGCCTCCATGTACGCTCTGTTGGACAATATCAGACCTCATTGGTATAGATATTATCAAGGTTCTTGTGCAGTTATGTTGTCGAGCCGCGGCTGCAACAGCCGCGCAAAGTTCAGACGCCCTTGGTCATCAGGATACGATCTGAACACCTCCCTCCTCATCAATCGACGTGGTGCGCGCCGACCAGTGAACAATTCAAACTGTGCAAAACCTTGTTCTGGTAGCAGATCCAGGCCATCCATTGTAACCCACCCTCTATGAGCTTCACGGCGAACTTGTTCCAGCAGAGGGGTGATAAGGGTCTTGTAGGCAAGCTCTACTACGACACCGCCTGTCGAGCTTTGCAGCCACGACGCTGGGACGGTAAAGTCAGGAGCGGGGTGGTCTCCAATGCTGTGCGTTGGTATGCAAGATACGATCATGGTAGGGTGTCTGAAGCTCTCGGGCCAAGTGTCGTCTCGGGAGCGAAGGATGTGGAATCTGGTGCCTTCGTGGGTTCTGGAGCCAGCGCTCAACCAAGGTAGGTCATTGCGAGCCAAGAGCCTTTCGAAGTGAGAAACAAGCTTCTCGGCATTGGCAACGGTCCGGTTTAAGATGGCAATCTGCTTGACTCCAAGCTGCAGCATGGCGTACACGGCTGCCCTAGCCATGCCACCAGCTCCGATCACGAGTCCGCTACTGGTGGATCGGACGGCGTTGGCGGGCGAGAGACCTCGGCGGATACATGCCCGGATTCCCACCCAGTCTGTATTCTCCCCGTACAAAGCCTTGACGGGCCCGGCCCTATTTCTGTCATTGAACAAAGCCACGTCATCGCCAATACTGCCATCCGGGTTGAGGTGCCGAACCGGAATCAGAGTGTTGACTGCGCCGATAGCCCGAGCATGTCGGCTCAGGGAATGCGTCAAGCTGATTATCTCGACTTTGAAAGGCAGTCCGACCGAGGCACCAGCAAAGTGCGGGTCACTGACGAGCTTCTCGAGACTTGATATGTTGCTTGTCGAATGTGGCTCGTAGTGGTGGGGAATGCCGCAAGCTTTGAGAGCGGCATTGTGCATTGCTGGGGATAAACTGTAGTCCACGTTGGCGCCAAAAACATACAGTCTCATGTGATCGTAGAGAAAGGCTGAGTAGAGAGCTTCGGTGGCTTGTTTGGCCGTGAGAAATGGACGGATGGCCAGGCTATGTGAGTCAACACCACCGGGGTCTTTGCTCATGCCTTCGGGTTTAACAGAGGATAGTATCCTGTTGAAGCACGCCGAGTGCTTTCCAAGAACGCCAGTATTGTAAGCGATCAGGGGCAGTCTCGAACTAGGCGCTGACTCAACCATGGCGTGCACCCGATGTATGCCAAAGTTATCATCGATGCTGGCAGCTGTCCTGGTGAATCGGACCATGTCGCAGCCGTAATTCTGTGCTTTCTGGTAGTAGGACTGCCAGCTGGAGTCATTCCAAGACGGCGGGTGGGGATCTGATAACTGAACGTTCCCGACTATCTTGCAGGAGCCCTTGATGTTGAGAATGCCGGCAAGCGTCACGCTGTCGAGTCGTAGATCAACAGTCATGTACTCCGGGGCAAGACGAAGGGCATGCGAGACATATGAACTGTACATAGATCGCCAAGTCTCGTCAGACAGCGCAGCCTCCGGAAACGCTACATGGAGGAAGATAGGAATCACGGTGTCTCGCCTTACTTGGGCCACGACGCGGCTGATTTCTCTGGCTCTATCTGGGGGTAGCTGACCGAGTTGCCGTAAGTGAGCGGCAAAGTCTGTGACGAGGTCATCCAACACAATCTCAATCGCATCCGCTCCTGTCTCGAGGTCCTGGACGTCGAGGTTGTCTTTTATGAGCGACGAAAGGGGCAGTGAGATTGCGTAGGTGAACCGCCGTTCTTCTGCCGGTATGCAAGCCAGCGGGAAGGCCGATTCGATGAAGGGTATGGTTCCCCTTGGGAGTATCAAGGAGAGAAACTTGAGGAAGTGTCGTTCAGCTCGTTTCAGGGTGAGATAGGGGGCAGCAATTTCATCAGAACTCCCACCCATGGTCTCTTTGGCTGTGCTTTGCTCTTCTGACGCATTGAAAAACTCAAAGCGGGTGCATCTCCGGAAAAAGGCACTGCTGGCATCCAAAAGCTCGCAGAACTTGCGGGCATCGTTGACCTTCAAATGGGTCCTGATGGCTTCTGAATCTCGAAGGACATATATGACGGGATTTGTTCTTCCAAGGTCTTCGAGGATGACTTGCACACTCCTATCCATCCATGAGCTGACCACGATAGTGTTTCGCTTATGTTTATCAAATACATGCTGAAGGATAGAGGCCTGGCGGCGTTGACAGTCAGTGGCGCCATGCTTTCTCTTGTAAGCTGGACTCGATAGCCCGGTTTTCTCGTGAAAAACATGCTCCAACTCGACGACCTTTCGGTTCATGGCGGTCGAGGCCATGACGGCCAAAGTGGATTTCCCCGAGCCCCTGATACCGACGATGATAATGGAGGCATCTGGGTCGTAGGGACGGGCTGTTTGGACAATCTCATGCTCCAATGGCGAGTGGGTTGCTGAGCGTGGCACTACTAGGAGGTGTTAGATGGGATGGATATAGACAAAAAATTGGGGTTGTAGCTGCATATGCCTCACCTCTAGGTATAGGATCACCAATCACCTGGAAGAGAGCCCCGGGACCAGGAACATAAGCCATATTTTGGCTGTCCGAGGACCAGCCTCGGGACAATGGTCGGGACTCGGACGAGTCGCTCTCACAAGTCGAGACCATGGCCGCGTATGAACGCTTCATACCGGGGACGGTAGTAGAAGCCATCGTAAGACGCGAAACGGAAGTGCCTGTGTTGCTTCACTCGCAAGGCCTAACTGCTCGGGCGCATATAGAAGTCGTCCAAAGCTCGACGATGATGTGTGGCGTCCTGGGGGTGGCCGGACGATCCAAGGCAGTGAGTGCCGTCCAGTAACCAGTGAGCCAGTGGGTGGTCACCTGTAGGGAGCTACAATAGATGGGTAGGTAGGTAGGGCAGATCTCAGGAATAGCCAGATGCTTGGCCGAAGCGTCGTGCTCAGTGTCATGATGGGACCTTGTCCATGGAGTGTGGATGAACAACCTGGAAGCCGAAGACTAGGTGGCAGGGGTAAATGCGGGGATAAACATTTACCCCACAGTGTAAGAGCCAAGCCATCAAATCCATTTCCCCGGATATCGAAGTGGGCTTCCACTTCACCCTATCCACAACACAGACTCACACATCAATGCAATTGCACTCAGCTGCCTGGGCGTGAGGGTGCATTGCTGCCGAGTTCCAGTCGTCTTCATCGCTTCAGCGCGCATCCTTGTCTCTCCTCGCCGGCCTCACCCAGAAGAAGTCGCTTCTCCGCACACTCAGCTTAACGTTCCCCGCACACACCGGGGGACGGCAAAGCCGATACGGGCCCAGTAGCACCATTATGTTCGGTGGGTGGCCTGTCAGGTCTTGATGAACTGCCGCCGCCGCCGCTTTCCTGGACTCGGGAGTTTTGGTAGCTAAAGTCTTTGTCGCAACATCGAGTAGTGGATATGGTGCGTTGACGGCCATTTAGACAGCAATCGCTGTGCAACTGTACTATCACCATCACACCTGGCCATGCCATGGGCCCCAAACGAAATATCAAGGAGACCGAAGGTCTGAGCAGCATCGCACCAGCCACTTCGGACCCGGCATCCCTTCAACAAGCCGCCGGTCATCAAGCCGTACCTGTATCAGTCAAGCGTCAGAGAGTGTCGAGAGCTTGTGACCAGTGTCGAGCAGCAAGGGAAAAGTGTGATGGGGTCCAGCCACAATGCTTCCCTTGTATCTCCCAGACGAGGTCCTGTACCTACAATGTCAGTCCAAAGAAAAGGGGTGTTCAGACAGGCTATATACGCACACTTGAGCTCACTCTTGGATGGATAATGGAGAACATTGCCGGCGCGGAGGACGCCCTGGGCAATGCTCTGGCTCAGGAGGGCAGCCAGGCGCAAGCAGTCATGACGGGCAAGGCCGCCACCGCAGCAACTCGCCTTCACAAGAAATGGGGGAGAAGCCGAGTACACAAGGAAATAGAACGGCTCCTTTCTGGCGGTGTCGCGCCCGTCCTTGATTTGGATGGGCGATCTCCCTCAGTAGACGCAAACGCAAACAACACGGATAGCTCGGTAGACACAGGCAAGAATATTGCTCCGGAGCCGCCAGACCTGCCAACTCGCAACTCTGCAGCAGGCCCTCACTTGGCAATCACCCCGGAACATACATTAGCAGACACCCAAAGTCCACGAACAATGTTACAGAATTACTCATCCGGACCATCATCCAACACGCCCATACCCACTCGAACTCAGTTACCTCCGGAGCATTGGCGGTTATTGGACATCTATTTTTCGTATACACATTGTTGGCTCCCCATTCTCGAGAAGCAAGCATTGTTTCAAACCTCGTATCGCTACACAAAAGAAGGTCTTTTGCTGGTTTCAACAGACCCCTCTTCGGCGGCGCATGCTGAGCTTTGGAGTGTCCTCGCACTGGCGTCCTTTCAGAGTACTACGAGTTCACAGTCTCTTGCTGGTGAGGCTGGGAACACCACCCTTTCACATCATCAGATCTACAATACGGCCCGCGGGCTGATCCCCTCAGAATGCGAAAATTTTCAGATCAACCATGCCCGAGCACTTTTGCTTCTAAGCCTTGTCAACATGGCCCGAGAAAATCGCACTGATGCATCGCTGTTACTTGGGTTCGCCATCAGGATTCTATTGAACCTGCACTCGAGCGAGGCACCGTCGGCTGGGAACACTACCAACATCGAGGCAGCACTGATGTCATGTTTCATTTTAGAGACTACTTTGTCTATCGCTTACAAGCAACTGCCTCACTTGCGAGCCGAGGATCTTGCCAGATTTCCTTCCATACCAGAAAGTGGGCTGGACCAGTGGTGAGTTGACATCCCAGCAGAAGAGTCCTAGATGGATCGGCTAACATTTCTGGATGCAGGGAGCCATGGTCGCCATGTGAAGGCTTTGGGAGCAAGTCGGTCGATTTCCGGTCATCACGGAATCCTGCCTTTTGCGTCACTACGTTCAACCAACTATATGCAATCCTTCTTGTGGTATCTCAAAGGGTGCTGGCAGAAAGACGGGGGGTTTTCTCAGAGAACCAGAAATCTTCCTTCAGTGCGCAGTTGCAACATGCTATCGAATCCGAGACGCCATTTAGGGACTTCATTCTATCCGAAGCCTGCCAGCCTTCCTCGGTTCCAACCGCCTACATTATCCGGATTTTATATCTTTGGGCCATGCTGCGCAATTCCAGATCTTGCACCGAATCTCTGGTCTCGATGCTGACAGAGACTCTTGAGCATTATGGGAACAGTTTCCACGCTGGCACCATGCCTCCTTTTCTACTCACAAGCCTCCGTTCCATGGCAAATGAAGATTTTCTGGCAGGTTTCGGAGAACGGGACAGAGAGCGATTAGTGGAGCTTGCACTGCGGTACTCAGCCTCTCGGTCAACCAACGTTTCAAATATGCCCGGAGCCCATTTCATTCCAGTTCCCATTCACCAATCGATTATAGGACGTGACCACACAGCCAAAGCTCCTTCTTCACTCGCCTCGATGGTTTCAGGCTCAAGCTTAGCCCCATTGCCAGCCTCAACTCCGAGTCTATATGGGGATGGCCGAAGAATGAGCAATGCTTACGACCAACAATTCCAGCATCCCTCTGCCACCGAAAACCTGCAGGGGGGTTTTGGGTCAGTCATGGCTTATGGTGTACCAAACGTCGGCATGGGCATGCATCATTCCCATGCTTCGTTGGGCTTTGGTGGTCCTGACTACGATGCTCTTCTGGATGATATGGCCGCCACCGACTGCACTGATTCCATCGAGGTTGACCCTCAGTTTATGATCAATCTGGGATATGGGCCTGGATGCGACACTTCGGAGGTGTTCAGAAACAGATTCGACGGATATGAATAAACTTGGATCGGAAACGAGGGGTGGAGGGGAATAAGAACGAGCAGTCCCATTGAGGATCTTAAGCTCATTCAGAAATTCTAGAGTAGGGCTCATATGAACGCCATCCACACTAGACTCCACGGGACCACTTGATTCCTCCTGGGCACTTATTTCACTCGCCACTCCCCAATGCCCGGATGCAAGGCTTCGTGAATTCAAAAACCATGCACGGTGGTCCAGGAAGACAACTCGTCCAAGCCAGAGCGGGCCCATAAATATTACCATACAACACGTCGCCGTTAAGAACTGCAACCGCCTGGGCCCAATTAAGATCACAACAAAGTCCGAATGATAGCTAAATACAATGAAACCAAATCTTATATACAATACCATGCCTGTCTGTTATTTTTAACAACGCATAATCTTATCATCATACAATAGGCTTCAGCCTACGCATTCGACAGCTCCGCTAGCCTGGCAGCAATAGCCTCCTTGACCTGAGCAACAGGAAGCTCGCTGGCGTCAAGACCAGTCCAATATTTATCCTGGTTCACTTGCGTCAGCCAAAACGAAAACATCAGTACGGAGCGGGACAGTCCTACCTGCTCAATCCCTTGCCAGATCATGGCCTCTGTTCCCAAAATAACCTGCCATCCTTCCTTCTCCGCGATGGCGCCAAGCGCAGTAAAAGGACTTGGGTTGTAACACATCTCCAACATTGCCCCCTTATGGTCCTTCCCCAGCATCACCTCAATGATCTTCCTCACCGTCTTCTCACTCTCCGTTACGGGGGCGAAATCAGGGATACACGCCACGATCGCTCCAGGGCCCTCGAGCCGCTCGGCTTGTTCCACACTCTCGACATATACCAACTTATCACCATACCCACGTTCTTTGCACTCTTTCATGACGGCCTCCACTTCACTGGGGTCTCGGTTGACAAGGTAGATCTTGGTGGCTTGGAGATACTTGTGCAGAGCATACACGGCCGATCTGGCAGCGCCACCTCCACCGACAACCATGGCGGGGCGGTTCTCATACACATCGGCATTGGGAACGTTTTGGACAAAGGACTCGCGAACACCGATCACGTCGGTGTTGGCTCCGCACAGGAGACGACGGCCCGGGGTGTTGGGGTCGTCACGGAGGAAAAGAGTGTTGCAGGCACCGACGTCACGGCACTCGGGTGTGAGGTAGTCGAGGTGAGGGATGATAGCCACCTTGTTTGGCATGGTTACCGATGCGCCTGGGAGATAAGGGGCGTCAGTGAGATGGGACGATGGGGTCTGGGATCGGTGGGTGGCACGGAAAGTGCGGGCCAGGTGCTGATCATGATTGGGATGACGAACCGTAGAACTTTGGGTCTTGGACAAGGTTCAGGAACAAGTCCATGTCGTCCGAATCGAGACGCAACTGGCCCCAGTTCAGGCCGAGACCCTGGTAGACTACATCGTGAAGCAGCGGGGACATAGATGCTGCCAGCTTTTTGCCGAAGAGGAAGCCATGTTTGGTGAGATTTTGAATACGGGGGTCGAAGGACAGTTGGAGAGCTGGGGCCTGTTGCTGCAACAGCGGTGGTGTAATGGTTACTGTGGTTGTGGTTGTCATCTTGATAATGCGGCCCTGTCTTGCGTTACACTAGGCTCGGAAAGAGGCGGTATGCAGGCGCAATGCAAAGTCGTTCCAGAAGCTCAATGTGTGATTGGATACTTGGAGGCGGCGTAAGAGCAGCGGTTCGGTCGTAGGCTCAGTAAGAGGAGGCGGTGACACGGGCGTGATGTTTACTCAAGATAAAGATAGAAATGGACTTGGTGTTGAGGTACTTATTAAGAGGATACGCCTTGGATAGATAGGGAGTGAACTACGACGGTGGGATCTACAATCACGGAACGACATTTACCCCAGAGTCTTGATGAAGCCTTCGGGTTCTGGGCTTAGCATCCTGCATAACAACCACGGCCATACCGGTATGTTTTCTTGTCTCCGCGATCGGTGGAGCACACTCGGGTAGTGGTGGGCAACGGACCCAGGACGGTGGAAAGCCGATTCCCTACCTTGCGGCAATTGGCAATGGGATGGTGGTCGTGGTGGTGCAAGGTGGGTGGCACAAGAAAATGCATCTGAGCATGAGCGGTGCATTTTCATCCAAAGGCCAGGCAGCGTAAAGATTTATCCCTTCGTTAGGAGTGGCCAACTAACGTCTAGCCCCGCAGACTCCACACTTGACGTCGGTTCGTTCCCATTGGCCGGGTCCAGCTTGTAAGTGCTTGTGACTCGGTGAATTCACACGAGCATCCACGGGGCAGTGGTTGCTGCTCAATGATTCAACACCGGGCGCTCACACGCTCTGTTTGTGAACGGCTTGGAGCGGGAAGAAGCATCATCCATCTTCCCTATCACCAGGGCCTCAACGCGGACGAGCTCCGGCATTCCGCTACTTCTCGCTTACCTTCGGCCCGGACGCCAACCTGGGCCTTTGCTTCTGCGGCTGCACAATGCCTGCTCGCTGCTCACACAAACGGGAGGGATTACACGTATCTCCCAGCACTGTGCCATCCTAGCCACTCTGTACACCGCTGAACGCCCCCGGTCAGGCTGCCGTGGATGTGATTCTCACCTCCTCTTGCACTTTGCCCGTCAGTTGCTTTTCCACCACCTTGACTTGACAAGTTGACAGTTGACAGCGCTGTGTCATGATCTGCACTCGGCACATCACGCCCGTCACTCACCGTGCAGCCTGACTCCATGTCTCGCGGTAGCCTCTGCCGGGATCGAGCAGTCGACGTGAGACAAACAAGATTCGCAAAAGAAAGCCCCCGGGGAGTCTTCCCGAGAGAAAAAGTTTTCTGATTCAACAGGTAGGACACGGACGGAATGGACCTGCCACGCAAGTTAGCCCCTTATCGCATTCCTTATTTTGACTAGGACCTCAATGGGCTCATCTGAAGTCGACATGATGTGAAAACTCGGGCTCGATGGGGCAGCGTCATCAGAGAGGGCCAAGGCCCATATTTTTATCCCCTCCTGTTTCTTCCATGAGGGGTATTAATACGCTCCTCATCTCCCTCGTTCTCTTCCTCCACCGCTCCTGTCCATTCCAGTCATGACATTTTAATTTTCTGTCTCAGATATTGTCTATATATTCGTCTTCTACCTACTACACCAGCACTCAAACCATCACAATTGTTGACATTACCCCTTTATCAGACATCATCAAAGCAGCCTGACAGGATGCCTTCCAAACTCGCCATCACTTCCATGTCACTTGGCCGGTGTTATGCCGGCCACTCCTTCACCACTAAGCTCGATATGGCCCGGAAATATGGCTATCAAGGCCTAGAGCTCTTCCACGAGGACTTGGCTGATGTAGCCTATCGTCTCTCCGGAGAGACCCCTTCCCCATGTGGCCCGTCCCCAGCAGCCCAGCTCTCGGCTGCCCGTCAAATCCTCCGCATGTGCCAAGTCAGAAACATTGAAATCGTCTGCCTCCAGCCCTTCAGCCAGTACGACGGCCTACTCGACCGCGAGGAGCACGAGCGCCGTCTGGAGCAGCTCGAGTTCTGGATCGAGCTCGCCCACGAGCTTGACACAGACATTATCCAAATCCCCGCCAACTTTCTCCCCGCCGAGGAAGTAACTGAGGACATTTCGCTCATCGTCTCGGACCTTCAAGAAGTGGCCGACATGGGCCTGCAGGCCAACCCACCCATCCGCTTTGTCTACGAGGCTCTGTGCTGGAGCACTCGTGTCGACACTTGGGAGCGTAGCTGGGAGGTGGTGCAGAGGGTGAACAGGCCCAACTTTGGCGTGTGCCTGGACACTTTCAACATTGCGGGGCGGGTATATGCTGATCCGACGGTTGCCTCTGGCCGCACCCCCAACGCGGAGGAAGCGATACGGAAGTCGATTGCGCGTCTCGTTGAAAGGGTCGATGTCAGCAAGGTCTTTTATGTGCAGGTTGTGGACGCTGAGAAGTTGAAGAAGCCGCTGGTGCCGGGTCATCGGTTTTATGACCCGGAGCAGCCGGCGAGGATGAGCTGGTCAAGGAACTGCAGGTTATTCTACGGGGAGAAGGACAGAGGGGCGTATTTGCCCGTCAAGGAGATTGCCTGGGCCTTCTTCAACGGGCTCGGATTCGAGGGTTGGGTCAGTCTGGAGCTCTTCAACAGAAGAATGTCGGACACAGGCTTTGGGGTGCCCGAGGAGCTGGCCAGGAGAGGGGCCGTGTCGTGGGCAAAGCTGGTGAGGGACATGAAGATCACTGTTGATTCACCAACACAACAACAAGCCACACAGCAGCCCATCAGGATGCTGTCGCTGTCAGCGGCTTTGTAACTAGTTTTTTAGAATAGCATCTACCGGCGTTTTGGGTTTGGAGAGGTGGCGATCTGCTGGAGTAGACAAAGACGGTTTCAAACGTGAATCTATATACAGAAAAGTTTTGTTCCATTATCTCTGAGCAGTTCTCTTCCGCCCTCTTATCCGACACATAAACGCCTTATTCTCCCTCGATCTTCAGGTGTTTCGCCGCAAACTCTATCGCAGCACTGTATCCGTATGCTCCCATCCCACAAATTACAGCCACGGCTTTGTCACTCAAGTAGCTATGCGCCCGGAAAGTCTCTCTTGCGTGGACATTAGATACATGAAGTTCAACAAAAGGGATCGCCACCGCTGCGAGCGCATCACGAACAGCAACACTCGTATGTGTCAGAGCCCCGGCATTGATGATGATGGCGGACACTCTCTTTCCCGGTGTGTCGGTTTCTCGCACGTTTGGTCCCCAACCTGCAGTCTCTTGAATGCGGTCAACGATGGCGCCCTCGTGATTAGACTGGAATGTGTCAATCTCGACGCCCAGTTCGTGGGCTTGTTGGCGTGCTTGAGTTTCAATATCTTCGAGAGTGGTTGAGCCGTAAATATGAGGTTCTCGTTTGCCCAAGAGATTCAAGTTGGGGCCGTTGATGAGCAGGACGCGACGTGACATGGTGATTATGTGCGGCTGGCGGTGTGTGAGGATGATGTACTTGGTTCAAAGCCAATTCAGGGGTTCAGGAGAAAGATAGAGTTCGGGCAGTAAAGACGTCCAGGGTTGCCATCAGACAAGGCATCTATGACACCAGAGGTGACTTCATATATATTTTACGTGCATGTACCAACCCAATTACCGTATCTCATCTTCGCGAGCCTGCTGATGTCTTTTCCCAATGCTCCAGCAACGGTCAGGAGGAGTGCGGGCTCTTCCTGTCTCCGTGCTGAGACCACCGGTACACAACACACTCGAAAGCACTTTGCCGTTGGTTCACGGAAATACAAACTGTAATACTGGCTAATGATTCTCCCCCAGGTGTGAGGTCGTCAGCATGAGGAGTGTAAACTCGATCCGAGGCTTTGTGCCAAGCCAACGATGGAGGATCCACAGCTGACGGGTAAACACTTATCCAACAATTACCCCCCCGGAACCCTTGTGGCCACCACTTCGGCTCAGACAGCGGGAGACCAGTGCGGAATTCATTCCACTGTCTATCACCGAGGAGCGTTATTCGGATCTCTGGAAAGCAGATCAACTCGCGGGGTAATATATCGGGGTATTGGGCTGCATACATACACAGGCAAGAAATGGAGAATAGGTAGTGTAGGCCCCGTCTCAAAATCCGGGGAAGCTACAGGGGTCTTCCACTTTGGAACCCCTTGACCGATCAGAAAGTACGTCACAGCATGGGGGACTGTGGATATTCTTCTCGGCTTGATGCGGTTCATGTTTGATGGGGCGGAATCTGTACAGGAGGGCCCAGTTGCTGCTCTGAAGTGTTTTGCGCCGTTGTGACTGTAGGATTCTTCCTCGACTTGTTTCTGTTTTGCATTCTCTGGACCTCGCTTCAGAAAAAAACAAGATAGACAATTCAACATGACGCCGGTAATGCTCACCGAGCAGGAGCTCGATGAGATTTACACCTTTGCTGTCCAGCTTGGCAAAGATGCAGGCAAAATGCTTCTCGAGGCTGCCCAGCTGAGATTTACTGGCACTCAAACAGCCGATTTGGAGGTTGAGGAGAAGGATAGTTCGGTAGATATCGTAACCAAGACAGACGAAGGTGTGTGTGTTTTGGTGAGCTAGGCAGTCCATGAGCACAGAACTGACCTCATCAGATGTTGAAGCCTTCATCAAATCTTCCATTGAGGCGAAATACCCCCACCACAAGTATGTTCACAGAGCCAGTCCGTTTGCCTGAGGCGTCTAACGTTCTGCTGGCAGGTTTATCGGCGAAGAGACATACTCCAAAGGCGCGTCCCGCTCCTACCTGGTCTCCGAAACCACACCCAGCTGGTGTGTCGACCCACTAGATGGAACGGTCAACTATACGCACCTCTTCCCCATGTTTTGCGTCTCTATCGGCTTCATCGTCGCCGGTAGGCCCACCATTGGCGTAGTCTATGCGCCATTCCTTAACCAGCTTTTTACCTCTTGCCGGGGCAGAGGTGCTTGGCTTAACGAAACCCAGCGGCTTCCCCTGATTAGGAACCCAATACCACCCATGCCAGCGGACGCTCCAAGTGGCTGTGTTTTCTCGTGCGAATGGGGCAAAGACAGAAAAGACAGACCCGACGGCAACCTCTACAGAAAGGTGGAAAGTTTTGTGAACATGGCAGCGGAAGTGGGAGGAAGAGGAGGAAAGGGTGGCATGGTGCACGGCATCAGGAGTCTAGGGAGCGCAACCATGGACCTCGCCTACACGGCCATGGGGGCGTTCGATATCTGGTGGGAGGGCGGATGCTGGGAGTGGTAAGTTTCTGTTCCAAGACTTGTGTGGTTGAACCTGGGCGCTGACAGCATGGACAAGGGATGTGGCGGCCGGTGTTGCTATCCTCCAGGAAGCTGGTGGGCTAGTCACGAGCGCCAACCCACCCAAGGATATAGAGACGGCAGAAATACAGGAAGTGAAGCTGGGAAGCAGACTGTATCTTGCTATACGGTATGGAATCACACCTGAACTTTTGTCCTTTGGCATCCCGACAAGCTAACACAACACAGGCCAGCAGGGCCAAGCAAGACCGAGACGGGGAGGGAGGGGCAGGAACGGACTGTTCGAGAAGTATGGCGACGTGTGAAAGCATTGGAGTATGCAAGGCCGGGAGCGTGAACCTGGCAGTAGATATAATAAACACGAAACTATAATTATTGCCACAAATATAGATGGGCTGAGTGGTATTTATCTCTGATGCTGAGGTGTACCAACAACCTCGACCAGGTATGGTCCCAGACCTGGTTCTTATCCTACGTGGGAGTCGAACATGTGGAGGGAGTGAAGAAACTACGCTATGAAGCCCACGCCCACCTTTTTCATATCGGTTTCATTGGAAGCATTTGGTGCCAGAGCACCACGGATTGCAACCCAGGCCGCCCTTCGGCTTACTGACCATTGGCGGACCACTCAAATTCAAGTTCGAGACAAAAGAGCTCGAGGGAGTGCACCCTGTCCAAAAAGTTAACGGCAGCTGCTGTAACAATGTGTCAGTCCTGGCGCAGCTCTGGTAGTAAAATGGCCAGTCCTTGTTGGTTTCCCTGATCATACAAACTACCTGAAGTAGTTGTCCATCAGTCTAAGCCCGGGAAAGCCACACTCCTCGCCTGGTTACCCTTTCCCTTTTTCTGCTTCTTGTTGGATGATTTTTGCGGGCGTTCGTCCTCACTGTCATCGTCAGAGTCAGAATCGCTCCGGGCCGGTCTCTTGAAGCCAGTGGCTTCCGCCTCCTCCTCTTCCTCTTCGTCAAGGTCGTCGTCTCCAGATTCAGCCCAAACCTTGACCGTTCTGCCGCCGCCACTAATAAGCCTGTTCTGGTAGTCAAAGGTTAAGGCAGAGACCCCCTCGACCTCATCGTGTTTGAGCACAAACTGCACCTCGCGTCTCTTGAGGTCGACAATACTCAGGCTACCATCACCAACACCAACGATGACCTTTTTGCCCCAGCCAAGCTCGTCGGGAACGCGAACAATGGCATCCAGACTCTCGCCGTCCTTTTTAGTCCGGCCACCAGCAACGTTGATACGCTCCTGCTGATCGTCCCAGGCGCCGCGGTCCCACAGCGTCAAGATTCCATTACCGGTGCCAACTGCCACCACAGCATTGCTACGCATCTTCTTAGGCCCAAGACCGGTCGGGATGATGGTGGAGCAGAGCAGTTCGTCTTCTTGGTCTTCTGAAGTCGCGACAATTCCGTGCCTAAGGTCGGTGACGGCAAGCGTGGTGCCTCCGGTGGAGACCCACTGTTTGGGAAACCCAGAGGTGCTCTCAGCCGAGGCAGGCAAAGGAGTAATGCTGGAGATGTAATCGGCGTGCGGCACATGCTTTCGCACTGGCTTAGGATTCAGGCTACCGTTTTCGCGCAAGTCGAAGATGTAGAGGCCGCCAGAGTCAGTACCGAGAAGGAGGGTCTGAGGCGACAGGACATGGAGGATGGCAGGGCAATCGGTCGTGCTTGTCGCGCTGTTGCGGGGAGGGAGGCCAATCTTGGAGATGACATTGCCGGTCTCGGGCGAGAAGTGCTTGACCACGGAGTCGGTGCCGGCAGAGTACATGGCTGGTCGCAACGAAGCAAACAGTCAGTCTTGAACCAAAAACACAGAGGCAAAGTTCGACTGGCTGAAGGAAGAGGAAACTGACCTGAGCCATCATGGCTGTATGCGAGATGCCGGCAGCTGCCCTTGTGGCGGCGGGTGCTCCAGATACTCTTAATCATACCGCGTCCGCTGCTGGTGCTGGTCCGGCGGCCGCTTTCATCCTCCTCGTCGTCATCGTTCGGCAGGCGAAAGGTCTCAACTTTGCCGCTGGCCAGGCCGACTGTGAGCAGCGGCTCGGACGGGTGCAAGACCTGAGTAAACAGATCCGCTGAGAGCGGAAGAGTGCAGAGGTTTTCCAGCATGGTATGGGAGATAGTGTGCTAAGGTGTGATCCTCACAGTCGCAAAAACAATGCGGAACTTGGATGCCATCGCGACCTTTTTGAAGCAGCCAATCGCGAAAAATTTGGAGCTCCGGGGGTGGCTTTAGTAAACACTGGCTTGGCATTCTGTGTGGAGTCTGGGGTTCAGTGGGGGTCCAAAGCAAGCACAGACCAGTTTGTGACATGAGGAGGGGGGCTGTTGATTTCGTCACTGCTGTCCTGGACCAAGTTTCCCTCTTTGCCTTTCCGCCTCTCATCCAACGACCAGTAGCTGCTGTCCCACGCGGCACATGAAGCATATATGGGAAAGATAACCTACCTCTAGCTAGCAATGTAGTATCTTCCCCAATACAACACCTGCCTCGTTCTCTCAATATCACCTTCCATCCCAGTCGCCAACTCCAGTTCCAGAACTGAGAAAGAACGTGGGCAAAATGAAAACCAGCTGGTACATTTTCTTGTGTTGCCTATCTTTCGCAATGGCGCTGAATCTGACAGCCAAGCGGCCTTTGAGATGCATCATGTACTACACCGGGTATGTCCCCCATTGACAACCTAGACTCTATCAACCAACTAACCGTTTGATCAGTCAACATCCAGTCACGCCTCCAATCGATCAATTAAAGCACGTTACCCATGTTGCTGTTGCCTTCATGAGTCCCGGGGTCTTCAACGAGCCGGGCCGGATGGATTGGCCCTTGTGGACCACGGTGGAAGATGTCAGGAAGAAATTCCCCAAGGAGGCAAAGGTGCTGATCGCAATTGGCGGTTGGGGCGATACCATCGGCTTTTCAGTGGCCGCTCTCTCAGACGAGACACGGAAAACATTTGCTGAGAATGTGGCAAGCATGGTGAGGGTGACTGGGGCTGATGGTGTCGATATCGATTGGGAATATCCAGGGTAAGCCTTAGTCCCATTATTACACAGTTGGACTCAAGTTCGTCTGACAATGCAGTCAATGTCTACAGAGGCAACGGTGAAGATTACAAACAGGTTCCCAACACATCGAAATCCTGGGAAATTCAGGCCTATCCCCTTCTCCTTGCCGAATTGCGAGCTGCCTTGGGACCAAACGTCATCATCTCGGCAGCTGTACCGGGCCTCGAACGCGACATGCTTGCTTTCACCAGAGAAACCGTCCCTAGAATCATGAGGCACCTTGACTTCCTGAATGTCATGACTTATGATCTGATGAACCGTCGTGACACCGTGACGAAGCACCACACCGGCATAGACCTCAGTCTCGAGGCTCTCGACGCCTACATCGCAGCCGGAGCCGCACCCCAGGAGCTCAACCTGGGCTTTGCGTTTTACGTGAAGTATTTCCGCACCCTACACGAAAAGTGTCTGGATGATCCGATTGGGTGTCCTACCGTCCTTCTTGAGGATCCGTCAACCGGCGCGGATCTTGGACAGGCGGGGGCATTTTCATGGCACGATGCTGTGCCTGAGGATGTGGCAAATTCCTTTACAAGGGCGATCGGTAAGGGGAGGTATGATGAGAAACAGGGAGGGTATTACTACTGGGATGAAGAGGAGGATATTTGGTGGACCTTCGACACGGCCGAGGCCATCAAGAGGAAGCTTCCAGTTCTCGTGGACAAGAAGAGACTCGGAGGAGTGTTTGCTTGGGGCCTAGGAGAGGATGCGCCTGTTTACGAGCGCTTGGCGGCCGTCAATGAGGAGTTGGATAAACGATTGGAAATCAAGGATGAGCTTTAAGTTCGGTATCCTGAAGAGACGAGGATGGGGACGCTGATTGGCATTCTGGCTGATGAGACTATTTTAAAACCCAATTGCTCAAGAAAAGCGCATTATGTCGCGCTGGATGACAAGTACGTTGATCTATTCAGAGCTGCCTTGACAATGCAGTTTCATCATCGCTAAGATTAGCGATGACTCCCACCCGGTTTGCCAGACCCTATTCCTCTCCTCAACAGGAACAAGTCGAGGCAGATGTACAACGCAGCCAAGAGCAGCGGCAGAGCAACTATCCACAGCACAACCACGCTAACCCTCTCTTCCCAGTGAACCTGCCTTCCGCTAAACGCTCGGCTTCCATTCACAGAGGCTCCATCCACAACATGTTGTGACTCTTCATCTCCCTGGTACTCGTGATCTTCGACATCAGTACTCGGGTCGGAACCACGGCGTGCGTCGAAAGTGTGATAATTCACATGTTCATTCTGGTGAAGTGGCAACGGGGGCTCCACATGATCTTCGTCGTTGTTATCTCTGGGCCAGTTTGGCACGGGTGGAATAACAGGCATCAAACTGCCTCTCGAACGACAGTATCCTGCCGTTTATTTTTCAAATTAGCAGAGATCAAGCAAGGAGAGGGAAAATCAAAACGTACGGCCAAGAAGGGGTCCTCTGAGAGGATGTCAACAGAGCGAACTATCCCGCTATGGTCGGATTCATGGTCGGAAGAAGAGGTGGATAAAGCAATGGAAGTAGAGCGGGAGGCAGATCCGGAAGGTGACCGCATCTTTTTTGGCAGCTTCTGGTTGCGAGATCGCGGTTCACCTGTTCTTGTATGGGTGATGTATTGAATGTTTGTAGTTTGGGTGAGATAATGGCAATGGGTGATTTCAAAAGAACCGAGGTGCTCTGTTGCACAGACCGGCAACGCAAAAAGCAACAGTCATAAGAGTGGATGAATTACAATAAACAGAGCATGTTGTGTTTGGAAAGACAACAGGTCTCTGACAAAAGAAGCACCTGCACACCCACATAAACCCAACACCGCACTTGTAAAAATTGTAAGCAAGAATGAGAACACGGACACTATCACCATTTATAGTCATTCAGCAATAATGAGGCCACGAGACACTGGAAAGATGAGTACGGGAAATACCGGGCTGGCAACAGTATGACGGATACACAAGCCCGGAAGTGAATGATTGATTCCGCTGTGCAATGTCCTACTTGAACTATCTTTCTTGGAGCAAAGCCAATAAAAATGTCATCTTCTCTGCCCTCTGTCCCTTCATAAGCCTTACTACAATCAAGCACCATCCCACCCTGGTATGGAACTCAGGATTCGTTGGTCGGGGGATCTAGGGTCAGGATAATCTATTTGATTAGCCAGTTTGCAATGCCCAAGCCGTTGTGTTCCAGCATGAGCAGATGACCATTGCCATAGAGCCCAAAGTCTTCAGGGAACTTGAGGTGCGAGACAGGCATGCCAGCCTGACGAAGAAAAGCAACGGTGGCATAGTCATATTCAGTATGGAAACTTGAACCAGCTGTGACCACGCATTGTGGAATATCTTTGAGGTTTGGTAACTTGCGAACTGGGCCGTTTGCTTCGCCCTGGAGGTAGCACTCGGTTCTCGTGAGTGAGTCTACCGACCTGACAAATGGTATCGGCTGGAATCTTTCATGTTTGGGAACTTCATCGATATATGCAACGTCCTGAAGAAGCTCTTCAAAGCTACTGGGAAAGAGAGGCGGAGGGACAAAGCCCATAGGGATGTCGGATAGCCCGTATGGTCGAATGCATGGGAAGGGGAGGCTCTGGGGAACCGGAAAACGCGGCTTGAATATTTGCTTTCCACCATCGTTAACCCATCCATTGGTGAATGGTGGACCGGTTGGCTCGATAGCAACTATGGTAGCAACCAGATGAGGTGCCTGATCAGCTGCTAGCCATGAGATTGTTGCACCGCTCCCATGACCAACTAGGATTGCCGGGCTTGGAAATTTCTCCAAGAAACGCATCAGGGACCGGACGCCACTCTATTGCTGCTCCTGTGGGTCAAGATACTCCGGTACCATACGCGCGTAGGTCCTTTCAAATATCGGTCTCCTGGTTCGCCAGTCTGTGAGCATATTGTTGGTCAGCTTTGATGGACCGGTATTGGGCTCCCTGGGACCTGAGAAGATACATACCCCGTCCACCATGCAGTGGGACTGTACAGACGGCCAATATACTTCGTGTGATTGGCTCCGGGGAGCTGTGTAGTATCTCTGAAGCTCGTCTTTAGACAGGGTTTTGGTGACGCATCCAAAAGATTCATGGCCAGCTGGTTGCTCTGGGTGGCCGCAGCCATGGAAAGGGCGATAGAGTACAAAAGTGAAAAATCTGGCCGCGCAGAAGTGGAAGGCCCATCCAGGCTCGCCATCAGCTTTCCACCCCCAAATGTCTCCAGTTCTGTGATCACCGTGCACGAACACAACTGGATTGTAGTATTTGACTGCTTGCGGGGGGAATATCACAGCTCCAATCTTTTCTGCGCGTGTGGAATCGGCTTCCAAGGTCGATACTCCCATTGTAAAGTATCAGTGATTGCTACTCAAAGAAGCGAGGTATGAAGATGCGAGATTGTGCGTCAACATTCGAAGAATGAGAATAAAAGTTACTTAACAGCTTAGCCACGACTGAGCTCTCTATTTGAAGTTGGAGAAATGACGTTCCAGGAAGTTAAGTTGGCAGGAACAAAGGCACGAGTGGCAGATACTGGGCCAGGAGCAACTGAGCGTCTCCCGCCTTCACACAATGAAACCTGGAATCCTGACAATTTATTAAAACATAACACTCCTGTGCCTTTCTTTGGAATTGACAACAAATTAATAATCATCCAACGGCTGTTTCTCCGAGTCTGAAGCCAGTGGGCTGACCATTTGAAAACCCATTCAACAATCCTCTAGGTACCTATCTACTTAGGCAAGGTCGGAGTGCACAAGCAGCCCGTCATTGATTTCGTTGGTCCCAATAGACTGGTTTGATATGCCCATTGTTCAGGGGACTCCAAATGAGCCGCATGTTCTAACTATGCTAGTATCATTGCCAGTCTCCAGTAGCCAAACCAATACCCCCACCCCATTTGAAGCTTTTGACATCAAAATTGACAACCACCCCAGAATGATCTGGAAATATCAACAGCCAAGCCCCCAACGTACCAGGGCAGAGCGCGCATCACACCATCCCCATCTCCACATCGACTGTCGACATGGTTGGGTACCCCAGACTCTGCCACGTTTTCCAAGACTGTTTAGCCCTGCCGAGAACATGCACCGAACCCACCCCTGTTGTGGACAGAAAGGTACCACTCACAACTTCATCTTGCTCTCTCAAGGCGCCCGACCGACATCGAAACAACAGGTAGGTGTGGAGACATGGTCGATATGTCCCTGAATAGAGATACTTAGTAGGTTCTTCAATGGCTCAAGATGCATAACAAAGCACCTCAGCAATCCCTATCTTTTTGTTCACGATGTGACCCCCGAAGGTGTGCTACGCCGCAAACCGGCAACCGGCTGCCGGGGTTAGGTCCCGCACCACCACCCGAGCCTCCCGATAGGCTCGGCTTGACCTACCGAGATTGGCGGCCGAAACTGATACACCCCATGCTAACATCGTGGGAAAATCCACTGTTTGGTCCCCTAATTTGGTAAAGACCTTCCCCTATCTTGGGGGTCGGCTCCACGAGAGGTGACACTGGAGTGGCATACATAATGCGTGCCATTCCCGGTTCACCATGTCGAGGCAGGCTGGAGATAGTCCTTCCGTCTGTACACCACCCACACTCCTTTGAAACAGCTTTGCCCATTCACAGTCACTCCTTTATCTATTTTTCTCTCAGTTTTTGGTTGTAAACATGTGGTTCCTGCGCAACGACGTCGTCGCAGCCGTGCTGCTCTTGGCGCCCTTTTCGTTGGCTGCCCCTACCGAGTATAGCAAGAAGCTGCCTCAGTTCGCTACCATCATCAACCGTCGCCAGCTTAATGCCAACAACGCTACCTATGATTTCATCATCGCGGGTGGCGGTATTGCTGGCCTGACCCTTGCCGACCGCCTGACTGAGGACCCGAATGGTGTGTTGTCCGGACTTCTGTCTTGTCTCGCTATGGTCTTCTAACATCACCTTTACAGTCAAGGTCCTCGTCATTGAGGCTGGGCCCATCGACCCCGGTCTTGAGGGTATCCAGGTGCCTGGCTCATTCTCGCCTTGGTATTATTTCTGGCCGAATCTCTTGACCGTCCCTCAGACAGCTCTGAACAACAGAGTGATCGGGACAGTCAGCGGTCAGGTCCTTGGTGGTGGAAGTGCGATCAATGCCATGGTCTATGTGAGAGGTGACGCAGACGATTACGACGCCTGGGGTTTCATGCAGCGCCGTGGCAACTCTTCGTTTTACGGCAACTCTTCAGTGAGCTCGAGCATGAGCTGGAACACTATGCTGCCTTACTTCCTGAAGAGCGAGAACTTCACAGCACCCGATGCTGCTTATGCTCTGGAGGCCAACATCACCTGGAACCCCGCTGTTCGAGGTACCTCGGGCCCTCTCAAGTACACCTACCCTCCTTACTATTTCCCCGGCGCCGCCAACTGGTGGAATGCCGCGCAGTCGGTGGGACTTCCTCCCGTCGATGACCCTCTGTCTGGAATCAAGAATGGTAAGTCCGTTCAGCTGTTGTCTGGGTGCAAAACATACCCAAAAGTGAACTAACGCCGTCTTCCCAGGTATTTTCCCCATTCCGTCAGTACTCGATGCAGATACCATGACCAGGAATTACGCCAAGATCAACCACCATGACAGGGTCAAGCAAGCCCGTCCTAACTACCACGTCCTCGCTGGCAACATTGTCGGCAAGGTCCTTTTCGATCCTAGCTGCAAGAAGGCCATCGGCGTGGAGTATCTCCCGACCAGCGGCGGGGCGGCCACCAACGTCTTTGCCTCCAAGGAAGTCATCCTTGCTGCCGGCGGCATCAACACCCCCAAGATCTTACAGCTTTCTGGCATCGGCCCCAAGAAGCTCCTCGACAAGTTCGGCATCAAGGTGGTCTCCAACCTGCCCGGTGTAGGCCAGAATCTCCAGGATCAGCCCACTCTCACCGTCCCTTACACCTTTACAAACAACCTCACCCCCAACTCGGGTTCTCTTATGGCCAATGCCACCTACAATGCCGAGCAGCGTGCTCTTTACGATACTGAGCGCAAGGGTGCATACACCATCATCAGCTCTCTCTCCACCAACATCGGCCAACTCTCCCTCAAGCAGGCCACCTCCGACTACCAGGCCATCATCGCCGCCGCCCGCGCCGCCAACCCTGCCGACTCTCTGCCCGCTGATGTCGATGCTACCGTTCTTGCCGGCTACCGGGTCCAGCGCGAGGCCATCCTCAACCAGTTCGAGGGCGACGTCGGCGTTGGAAACCTTCACTGGGGCACCTCCGACAACGCGCTCGTCTACCATCTCAAGCCCCTCAGCCGCGGCACCGTCGAGATTGTCACCACCGACCCTCTCGTCAACCCCGCGATTGACCACCGCACAGCCACCGACCCTATCGACTTTGCCGTCTACACTGCCCTCTTCCGCAAGAACAGGGAGTTGTTTGCCGCCCCTGACATGCAGGTTCTCGGCCCTGCCGAGGGCGCCCCTTTTGCCGCTGCCACGACTAACGAGGAGATCATCGAGGTCATGCGTGACCAGATCAACCCCTCGAATGCTCACCAGTGCTGCACTGCCGCTATGTTGCCCAAGTCCCTCGGCGGTGTTGTCAACAGCGAGCAGAAGGTTTACGGCGTCTCGCGTCTCAGAGTCGCTGACATTTCGTTCTGGCCCATGCAGACTGCTGGTTCTCCTCTGGGGACCATGTATGCGGCCGGTGAGAGGCTTGCTGACATGATCAAGGCCGAGTATGGTCTTGCGTAAGTTGTCCTTGTGTAAAAGTAGTGGGAAGGGAGATTTTTTGTACATCAAGCTATAGAAATGAATAGATCGTAAACCAGCCCGTCGTTTTCCAACCCCGCCTTTCAGCAAACCTTGACACGGCAACTTTGCAACAGAGTACTCTCTAGGACATTCGCAAAGGTAACAAGAGCGTGTGAGGCTAGGATTCATTGCTGTTATCATATTGCTTAGGTGCGTACCAAATGCCTGCGGTTGTACAGTCTCCATACACCCCCCAAACGCCGTTAATGCCGCCGCCCACCACCGCCACCCCTGATCTGTGTAACATCTGTAATGCGTAGATGACTACTACCCCGCGAACACAGCCCAGCCCTCGCTCCGTTTGTGTCCACAAAGGTGTGTCTTGTTGAAATGCGAGGAAAGGCCAGAAGCTCGCATGGTCGGTTTGAATAACTGATCATGTACAATAAATATGGAATCCAGTGAGCAGTGATTTCTAAGTTGGGGTTGTTGTCATAGCAGTGCTGTATCACTCGCTGTGTTGCTCCACGGTGCGAATCAGCGAATCCGAGGGCTTCACTCTCTGGGCCCATTCCCTGCGACGTCAAAGTTAGCAACACTAACCAATTAACGAATACACCTCGGGCAAGAAACTCACGTCCAGCTCCCGTCGTAGACCTTCCTTGTCTCTGGAGAGCCATACTGGGCCTCGTTGAGCGCCGTCTCGAGCACACATGCTGTCACTCCCGTGCCACAACTGGAGATGATGGGTTTTGCCGGGTCAACGCCCTTTTCCTTGAAAACCTGCTTCAGCTTGTCTACAGGAAGGAAGGCCTTGGTCTGGGGATCCAAGACAGCGTCAAAGGGAATGTTGATGGAGCCGGGCATGTGTCCCGAAGAAAGCCCCGGTCTTGGCTCAGGGTCCTTGCCGGACCAACGGCCATATGATCTCGCATCCAGAATTTGGACGCCCTCAGCGCCCTCCTTGTTGTAATCAAGAGCTACCTCACGCACATCCTCAAAGTGTGCCACTTTCGCTTCGTCCATTTCGGGGATGGGGTACGTGCCGCACTCGACAGTCCATACATTCCCCGACTCAGTTGGCAGACCCTGTTCTACCCATAACCTGAAGTTGTTCAAAATATGCACCCGTGGGTGGCCAAACGTCTTCAATGTCCAGCCGACTCGGGGCGCACTGAAGATTCCCAGCTCCTTGCTATCGTATACAACCACTGTGTCCTCGTGCCGGATGCCCAGCTCGCTCATGGCCGCAGCGAAGCCTTTTGGGGTTGGGAGCATGTGTGGGTATTCGCTGTGCTTGTCGATCACCTTGTCCAGATCAAAGAACCGGGCTTTTGGAATTCGCTTCTCTCGAAAGACGTCGATACCTGTCCGGCCTTCCGGGTCGTTTGGCAGAAACCACGAGGCACACAGAGGAATAACGCGGGGCTCGGACGAGATGGGCGAAGGAGGGGCCTTCTTGAGGGCTTCGGCAAGTTCTTGGGGAGTCACAAGATAGCTGGAAAAAGACCGGCGCACCCCCGCGGCTTTGGCAGCTGGCTGACGAAGCTGCTGCGAGCCAGATCGAGGCAGCGAAACCCGTAAAGGGCGAAGTATAAAGAGAGAAGCCATGGTGGCAGTGTCAATTGGTGCAGTCGCGGAGGATTGGTCTGGTTCTGGAGGGGGAGATTTGTGCTTGTAGTTGGAGATGTTTGAGCACGATAAGCGAGCGCCAAGCAGCTGCTTAAACACTCGAACGATGCCGGGCTTTTGGCTCGTTCCTGTTCCCGAGAACCTGCTAGGATTCCCTGCACCCGTAGCCGTGACGGGGCCCGGAGGGACGACTGGTTTCCAAGGACAGGCGTTGTCTTGGAGAAAGACAAGTGGGAGAGATGCGTGGTGACGACCCTAGGATTCTGTAGGTGCGGGGTCCAGGACTTGGTTCTTTGTCGTTGAAAGCTGCTTGGGGGGAAGAGGTGGTCGGGGATTTGGAGAGGGAAACTTTTGAAATTCCTGGGGAGGGTCGAGGAGCTTGGGCCACAGCAAGCGCCTAATTACGCCATGACCCACTAACACTTGGCTGCCGTTGCAGGGAGAACTGATAACGGCGGCGCCAGCACCTCTCCCGCTCTCAACATCGGATGAGAGACTCCATAGACACTCCAACAGAGACTACCGACAAATAAAACGACCCTATAAGCCACCGGATTGTTAGACTCGCCGGAAATCTGCCAGCGATGAAGGTCAAGATCAAGAGGTGGAACGCGGTCGCGACATGGCGATGGGATCTTCCCGAAGATGATCTTTGCGGTATCTGCCAGAACCCCTTTGACAACACATGCCCTGCCTGCAAATATCCCGGCGATGACTGCATCCTTTGTGAGTTCCACACAGCCTGCGGCTATCAGCGGAATGGCGTTTGTTGACTTTCTGTGTAACCCAAAGTATCTGGAAAATGCGGACACAACTTTCACATGGTGAGCAGATGGAGAAGCATTCCTGAATGGAGCCGGCGGTTGTACTGATATTGGCTTGCAGCACTGCATTCTGGAGTGGATGAAGCAAGACTCAGCCAAGGGACAATGTCCGATGTGCCGACAGAGTAAGCTCGTGGGTTGCCCTTTCTTGCAGCAATTTGTCTAACATCATGGTAGGGTTTGAATGGGCCGACCAAACGAACCAGACGATGAGGGATGCAGCACAGGCTTTGGCCAGTGTGTAGGTTATCGACTTGTCGGTGCCATGCTAAGTTTTACCTTGGGGCATTTTGCATTGGGCGGCGTTTAAGAGGAAGTACTTCTGTATGGTTTTCATGCTTTCTTCCTCGCCGGTAACATGTACATATATTTACACCCATTTCGGGGTGAGGCTGATAAACTCCTATCATCCCAAGAATACACTGTTTTCAGCTGCCCCCAGACGAGGCGGGCGGGTGGGCCGTCCATCGCCCCGTTTTCAGCTCGTACCCTTGACTTAGCGTCACATGCTTGATCACCAGATAGGCGTGCGTCCAGGTCGGTAGATAAGATAAAGGGAATGCGGCGATCTCGTTGACAGCTCCAACTGCCTGCATTGCCATTGCTGCATAGGTCCAACCCGCAAAGCCAACCTTGGTTTTGTCACCCATCTGTCACCCAGGATTGACCAGTAGTGTTTTGTTTGCCTTTCTGTTGAATACTCCGCGTGATGGATTGAGGTTCTGCCTAGGCGTCTCAAGGCTGCCCATTTCCCCTAACCTGGTCTTCGCAAGCAATATGCCACACCGAAACGCGCTTTCTCTATCTCTCTATCAATTCCCGCTCGCTGTTAGATTCCCATCTAGCCTACCAAGCCAGAACTATAGGCAAAATCAGTCATGACCGGTCCCGCTTTCGAACGACCCAGCTCCGCTGCTGCAGGTTACCACGCCTCTTCCATCCCCCCGAGCCCGCGTCCGTCTGTCACTGGCAGGGCCAGCAGATCCAGTCTACGTCGCGACCGGGATAGCCATGATTCCGGCGCCTATCCACGGCCTGCGTCTGCAGCTCTCTCACATGGGACATCTCATGATGAACCCATGTACCGTCCGCCATCCTCCTCCTCTCCGCCACAACCGCAGCCTGCGCCCCAACCGACATTCTCCCCGCCCTTTGTGCTCCTCACTTCCACCTCGCATGCTTCGAGCAGGCAGACCATTCACCATCCGGCGGTTCGGTACATTTTTGCCGATGACGATCCAGAGATCTTGTCTGCCGAGCTGACGCAGTACCACTACACAAAACAAGACGGCAGCGAGGATAAAACTGGTCCCGGTCACCGTGCCGTCATCATAGATATGGATCAACGAGAGGGCGATATTGGGTTTGAAGTAGCCTGGGCAAGCAGCCTATCGCCTGACTGGGCTGTCACATCAGCAAGCATGGCCAAGATGGACGGCGGCGGCGGGGGACTGGTATTAAAGGTAGAAGGTGTGAGCCTCGAGCCGCCCATATCTTTGGCCGCTTCATCAACAACGGGAAAAATGCAGGCTTCTGAAGTTGGTGATATGCACTCTTCCGGTGCGAGCGGTGAAGGGCAGCAACGCCGTCCCCAGCCAAAACAAAGCCCATCATCGTCAGATGAATATGCAGCGTTGCTCCAGGACTTTGAGAAGCGGATGGCGGTTCTACGGAAGGTGGCTGAGGTGGGTGCAGAGAGACAGCGAATAATGCGGGAGCATGATCATGGTGACATGGCTCCTGAGGTCTCAGCGGGCCATCAATTTGCTCCTACAGTTGAGGGCTCAGACCGCTTGCAAGATTGAGACGAGAGAGATACGAGCGTTTGTAGCTACTGGCTTTTCTGGAGCTGTTATATGGCTTAGGCTCGTCATCAGTTTGAAATGGCATAGCCATTTGCCAGTCATCATCAGAATTGGCGTATGGGGGCCGTTCGGCATTATTTTATATGGGCGGATTAATAGTCCGGTAATCAATACGAAAAAAAGTGTATTAAACCCCTTTGCTATGCTATGACAAAGCATTGGCTTCAAAAGCTATCGTGACCAATGCCATTTTACCTTGGTATCCCATAACGACACAGACTGTGTTAACGACCTATACTCCTCCCTGGAAACAAAACAAATGTATACAGAATCAAGGACAATCCATGCCCCTGGTTTATAACGAGAACCCACCCGGTACCGATTACGACATGCAAATGACAAGCCAACAAGCTTTCCGGGCGCCTCGGCGCAGCTCATCACCAACACAAACATGGATGCGTTGGGTTGAGGACTTGTTAGCAAGTCATCTTCCTATTATTTATGAATTGAGGGCTTGAGAACCCTTTCAAGAGCCATCAGATCCCACATCCCACTCAACAACAAATCGCTTGTGCATGGGTTGATCTGGCACTCTGTTTAGCCGCCTCCTCGAGATCTGCGAGAGTTGACCGCTTGGCTCGCCAGCGAGTTTGACGGCACGAGCATCGTTCATATGAAGATCATCGAAAACGTTTCGTTCAAAGATGCTCCGTTTCTGTTCGGCAGCCGGAGTAGGGGCAGGAGTAGGGGCAGGGGCAGGGGCGGCGGCCGGAGCGGCCGGAGCTGGGGCTGTCTGTCTTGTTATCATCACATAGGCCACGACAGCCACAACGATAATGACAATAATGGCGACTAGTCACTCTTGTCAGCACCAAACTTTCACCAAGGGGGCATGTTTTTCAGGGGTGGCAACGTACCGCAGATGCCGAGGCAAATCCACTTCTTCTTGCGCGTTTTCCTGGCGGTTGTTACGGCCACCACGAGCTCGTCATTCGCCTTGACCATATCCTCTGCGGCCTGCTCGGCGTGCTGGTCGATCTGCATGACGACCGCTTCTTGCTTCACCAGCAACTCTTGCATCTCCTCCATGAGCTCCACAAGCTCGTTCAACCTCTTCTCCACTTCCAGCATCTCCTGGTGGCGCTGCCGCACTGCTGCCAGGACAGAGCTCGCCTGACCGGAGCGGTTGCTTTGCATAAGTGCCTGCGAGAAGACGGCGGGCTCGCTGTCCACCATCCGGCGCATGTCAGCGTCGCTGATGTCGCCCTTCACGATGCGGATTTGACGTTCTGTCTGATCTCGTATCCTCTTCCTGTTCTCGCCCTCCAGCGACTGGAATTTTTGAATGGCAGCCTGAACCTGTCGCTCGACCAGCCCGACCTGCCTGTTGTTGCCCCCTAGCTGGTGGTCGTCGGTCTTGACGTCCCGAACACGGTCCTTCAGCGCCCTGAACCGGTCCATGATGTTTGCCGTTAGAGTATCGATTTCATCTCGGACGGCCCCTTGGTTTGTCGCACCCGATAGCTTTACCTGGAGATTGGAAAACTTGTCTAGAAGGGCTTCGAGGCTGCGAACATCGTTGCTGATTTCGGAACATTTTTGGAGGATCGAACTCTGGGTTGGTCTAGAGGAGGATGTGGGGAGCGAGTTCATCTCGACATTGGCTATCGCGCCTTTGGGGTTAGAAAATCAACTTGTCCAGCAAAGGTCGTAGCTGCTCAGAACTCACCCGCATTACGGTCGTCGAAAGGATTGCTGTAGCCGCTGGGGCTATTTCCTCCACCATATCCGCCCTGGCCGTAGCCGCCGCCGCCACCACCTTGATTATAGGGGTTGCTGTTTGGGTTGTACCCTGCGTACTGAAAACAAGCAGTTTGGTCAGCAATCTGTCTCAACAGCAGTAAGGAACTGCAAAGAATGTTTCAGGGGCACTGTGCTTGGCATACTCGACCACGAGGGCGTATGAGACATGGAGAGTTCTAGAGCATCGGTTCCCAAGTTCATAAATGGCAAAAAGTGACAGCATATACTCACACTCATGTTGTTTGTTGTGGGAGCGCGAAGAGCCTGCTCGCAAGGGCTATGGGGAAAGTGGAGGGGGAGGGGAGCGCGGTGGGAGGCGCTCGGTACCCTATTCGCGAGTGTAATGAGGTTGGGTGTGGTGTGGTGTTGACGGTGGTAGTAGTCTATGTAGGATGATATTGCTGGCACAAAAGAAACCACGCTGGAGGAGAGGGTATCGAGATCGCGAAAATGAACAGGGAAAACACAAGCGCCAAAAATTGAAAAGAAGTTCAAACAGGGGACAAAAAACGGCGGTGGGCACGGCTGTGTTAATGAATGGTAGCTTTTTCAGGCGAAGGCCATCAGACACAAGAGGAATCTCAGGAGGTCGGCCCAAACGAGGTTAGCGGGTTTGTGGCGCGGTCTCACGTTTGCTCGCAGAACAGCCGCTCGCTCGCGTCGGGATCATGAACCCCTGCTCTGGAACTGTTAAAGGTTGCAGTGGATCCTACACCGAGTACCTACCTTTGCCATGTTCCTTTCTCGCAACGGCAATTGTATGAATATGCATGGGATGATTGGTGGAATAGGCTGTATGTAATAACCAGCACCAGATGTCCCGGACGGCCATTCCCCAGGTCAAGGTCTGAATCGAGTGCGAATCACGGTCAACGACTGGGTCTCGATTCTCGAGGGGATCACCGGTGAAGTGGGTCGCTGATTTGAAGCGCTTGGCTGGTTACGAAGAGCCGTCTTGGCAAGAAGCAGCTTAAATCCAACGCAGGCCGGGGCAGGCTCGGCAGCAAAAACTGTTTCAGAACGGCGATCGTCAGGCACGTTCAATCGTCAAACAGACATCGGCCCCGTGCTCAGTATGAAAGCGACGACAATGTCACTGTCTTGTCATGGCTCTTTTTGCTGTCCAACCCCTCCAACGAAGCCGGCATCATTCCTTTGATGCTTATCCCAACAGAGCACGCTTCCCGAACCCAACTATAAACACCTGCATGCTGCACGACTCAGCCCCAACTATGGCGTGGGCGGCTCAGTGCCGTTACCCCACCGCGGGGAAAGGAATGGGGAGTGTACAGCACAAGGCCCTCTTGAGGACCGCCGCTTGGGCTCGGGGCCTGGTGTGCGGAAAACAGTCAAGACATCGTGGCCAGGGCGGCCGAGTTTGGGCCTCTTCCATCGGCACCTTTTCGGGTTGCTGCAACATCACAAGCATCTTCTGGCGTACAGACCGAACCTCGATTTACGAAACATGCCTCTGTCAGTAGCTGCAAACATCTAGCTGATTAAACCACCAAACTACTTCCCGCCGCTCTGTAAAGCACTCCAAACCATGCCCAGCCAAGAACCGGTGCCCCCTTTCTCAACGTCAAGTCAGACTACCGCATAAGCAGAGGCATAGCTGACGCTGAAGTCGAAGCTCTTCTTCACCAAATTGCTTCTCTGGTACTGCACAAATTTGAACTTTCCTTTTCCATCAACGGCTTCCAAGGCTGCCATGATTACACCAATTGGATGCCTGCCACAGACAGTGTTGTGGCTATCCTGAACCACCTTGTAGAATTCACTATGCTCACCAGACTCCACGGCATCCATGGCCAACTGGTCCAGCACTTTGATGACATCGTGGATCTCAGGCTCTCCAGAACTGATGCCGAGTTTGCTCCAATCTGGCGGGGTGACGTTCAGGACTTCGTGCCGCACACCCTTGGACCGTGGCGCGTCCATGTCACGAATCGCACCGTCAGAAAAATGAGGTCGGTAGCTGAATCGGGATCCCCAGTGACAGAAATCGGACGAGACGATCCAGGCTGTGGTGGGGTCCTTCAGGTACGAGGACAGCAACTTTCCAAAGGCCTTTTCTTCTTCGGCAGATCCATCGCCCACGAGTATCGGAACTATGGGCGGGTACTTTGTGCTGTCGTCTCCGAAGGTCTGCTGAAGTCTCTTCCAGAGGAACGGAACGTGCATTTCCAGAGAATGTTCATCGACGTCTCGGCGGGCGGGTATATCGGTGAACTTGCCCGTTTCCCTCAGCTCGTTTATCGTGTTCCTATCCACCACGAGGTCCCCAAAGGGTGTTGCATATTTGCTGAATGTGGTTAACGCGCATCCGCGAAGATAATATGTGTGGGACGGTCCGAGAATGAAGACCCGTTTCGCCGCTCTGAGGTCGAGAGCCTTGTAGGCCCAGGCTGCGCAAGGCCCAGAATATGAATAGCCGGCATGGCTTCGAATCAAAGTCAGCATATTGAATCATCTCTCACAAGACACCGGGCTGTTTCTCGCTTACGGAGCTATGATCACTCGGGCGCCAGGCACAGGGAGACCATGGTCATCCAGCTGGTCAGGCACACGGCTTAGGAACCCGTCGAGCTGCGATGACAACTCCTTCTCATCATCATCGTACCAGGATCCAGCATGGCTAGCATCCCGTGTGGCCATGTTGTCTGGGGGCTGAGTTTCAAAGGAACTTTGAAAATAACACAAAGAATCTGAGCTGGTTATCTGAATCGAGTAGCATCGAGGAATGGGAGAAGCAGCTCCTTGCCACATGGACGGTTGGGCTACCACCTAGCTCAGGTGGGGTTAGATAGGTAGGTAGCTACTTGGAGCTCTGCCCCGCACTGACGTCCGTGGTCAGTTGCACTTCATGTCACCAGCGAATTCACAGAGCAAAGCGCATAATAAAGAAAAATCAGGTCTGAGCATGTCTTTTGAATGAAATAACTAGAATGTATCGTCCACCAGAAAACCCTGTCCCAGATCCAGTTAACTCTTGATTGCCTCAAACCACAAACACCATCCGACCAAGAGGTATCAACAAACACCCACAACTTACTCAGACACAGTGTATACACAAATCCACTCCGTGACGCCATGCTTCCCAGCCACTTGAACAAATCTTGAACTAAAGCCCGCCATTTCTCACTCGGCCCATCAGTACACGTCAACACCCTGGGTCCGCCCGCTCCCGTTGGCTGCCCCCCAGTCCCGTCTCCCAGCGCAAGCCAAACATCGCCTGTGCTCCCCAAGATTGCTGACCGAGCAGCTGAAGCATACCGTCTTCCCACACGCTCCGCACGTGTTTTCTCCCATTTCGCCGCCTCCATCTATATCCATCATGATGCCATCTTGATCACCACAGGCATCCGATTCCAGCAGCCCCACGCCACAGTCGTCACATGTTGTTGAAACCACCGCTGTGGATGAGTTGGGCATCGCAATTGGGGATGGCGAAGAGGTCAAAGACGCCTGAGACGACGACGGGCTAGCCACAGTTCGTGTGGGGAGCTTCCAGAAGCTGTGGAGGGAGCGTTGGTGTTGGTCGGGGTGCACCTCTGAGGGAACTAAGGTTGGAGTCGGTTCAGTGACTTGAACTTGGGGCGGCGACGGCGCTTGTTGATGAGTATGTTGCTGCTGTTGTGCAGAGAATAGCAGATTTAGGGTACGTTCTGCGAGATGAAAAAAGAGAGGTAAGTCACTGTGCCCAAACTCATCATGGTAAAACGAATCGGGGGGCTCCTACGGTGAATGATTGCCTCAGGTGGCCTATTATCGCGGAAGCGCTTCCTGGTGCGGCCAGGCATGTGTGAAGAGGTGGGGAGACGGGGCGAAAAGAAGCCGCGCCTAGCCGTATCCATCGCACTGATGGCATCGAAGTTGAAGCTGCTCGCCCGAGGTGGTGATGCAAGGGCTGAGCTAAAGGAGCTCAGGTGCGAGTCGGACCGTTTGCGCTTGATGACCATTTTCACAGATCAATGCATTGACAACTTGGGAGTAACAATGTTGGAAATATCCGTACCCTCATCAAAAGAAACCACACGGACGCTGTCGAGGTTGCTCGAGTGACAAGCAAAGAAAGACGAAACCAGCCATCGAGTTCAAGGGGGTCCAGACGCGACTGTGCCACGACCACACGCGTAAATCTTTAAGTGCATGGTCCGTGCTTTTCGCGTTCGGCTCCCTGATGCAGGTTGGTACATACAAGTAGTGTAGCAGCAAAGCTCTCGAAACCTTCCATCCTTGGTCTCTCACTTTACCGGGAACTTTTCGAGCTTCAGTCTATAAGATTGGTTGGACTTTTGTAGAAGACTAGAAGTTAAATCAGTATTCGTTGCCAAGTTCGTCCAGGCCTCTCCAGCTCTTCGTGGTCGATGAGCTCTTGGCGTCCCGTGATCTGGCGCTGCTGACGTGAGGCCCAATCGAACGCGTCTCTTCCTCATCCCCCCGCACTACGCGTCACTTTTCAACATCCTTTTCACAGCACACCTAACATTCTTCGACGATTGGTACAAATTTTAGTCGATGAACTGAGATGTCTTTGCTAGGTCTTAATATTCTACGCCACCTGATTGACATTTCCAGATGACCTCGGGCGAGTCAGCACAGCAAGCAAAGGAGCCATGCTCTCCAGAGCTTGGACCATTCAAGGACCAAATAGCACGACCTCAAGATCCAGATAGTGAAAATACCAATGCCGATCTTGCCTCGCTAAAGTACTCACTTCTTGGTCCGTCCTTGACAAAGGCCGGCCAGGACAAGGTTGATCAGTCCAAGGTAAACCCATCGCTTCCAAGTCTCCTGATATTGCAGTGCCGAGTTCTGACTACCGGTCTCAGGTCGCCGAAGTTATCTATAATTCTTCCAAAGGTTCCAAGTTCTTCAACCGTGAGGAGGAAAGAGACAAAGCCCTGACGGTCAAGATTGATCAAATCCTCGCCAAAAAGCGACAGTTGGAGAAGCTAGACCTCTCTCGGGAGCTCAGGGCTGCAGATGCGCTGCTTGCACAACTCGAGGCCTCACGTGATCTTACTCAACACATTGTTCATATCGATTGCGATGCCTTCTACGCCGCTGTTGAACAACTGGACCGTCCCGAGCTCGCAGACCTCCCCTTTGCCGTGGGTGGGGGCGTTCTGACAACCTGTAACTATGTAGCTCGGAGATTTGGATGTCGAAGCGGCATGGCCGGCTTCGTGGCAAAAAAGCTCTGCCCTGAGCTCATTTTGCTTCCACTCAATTTCGACAAGTATAACGCAAAGGCTGCCGAGGTGCGAGAGATCCTAGCAGACTACGACCCCCGGTTCGAAAGTGCCAGTATTGACGAGGCCTATCTCAACATCACCCAGTACTGCATCGACCACGGCATGGATGCTGCCGATGTGGTGTCCCAAATGAGAAGGGAGATACATGAAAAGACACACATCACCGTGTCCGCAGGGATTGCAGCCAATGCACGTCTGGCGAAAATCTGCTCCAACATGAATAAGCCTAACGGACAATACGTTCTTCCTCGTGACCGGGTCGTCATCATGGAGTTCATGCGGAACCTCTCGTGCCGGCAAGTCAACGGTATCGGACGAGTTCTAGAGCGGGAGCTTGGTACCATTGGCATAAGCACCTGCGGCGACATTTATACTCAACGACAGTTCATCGAGAAACTTTTCGGTGAGAAGACCTACAACTTCCTTTTGCGGTGCTATCTTGGCCTTGGACGCACGAGCATACAGCCTGCCGAAGAGTATGAGCGCAAGAGTGTTGGAACAGAGCGCACGTTCCGTGACATGGATAATCCGACCCAGTTACGTGAGCAGCTCAGACGAATAGCAGAAGAGTTGGAAAAGGATATGCGGCGGGCTGAATGCAAAGGTCGGACTCTCTGCATCAAGGTTAAGCTACATACGTATGAGGTGCTCACACGTCAAATAGCTCCGCCAAAGGCGGTCTATCTCGCCGATGACTTGTACGACTACGCACTGCCAATGCTGGTGAAGCTTGAACAAGAGGTCCCTAATATCAAGTTACGCCTCCTGGGCCTCCGATGTACCCATCTACTCAGCACAAAAAGGCCAGATACAATGGCCTTTTTTGGGTTCAGACCGAGGAGGGCGGGCTCTGTAGAGACTGGGGAATCTACCAGCCGCATGAATCCAAAGAAAGCCGCTGGCACTGGAGAAGAGTGGGAGGAGTGGCCCTCTGAAGCACGCAACGATGTCCTCCTAGCTGAGCGCGCAGGGAGCAGCTCAGGGGCCGACAGTCCATTCTGGAGACATGGCAAAGAAGTTCTCCCCAACCCGAAGAAGGAAAAACAGCCTGCTGAGGTGATGCAGGAGGAGCTTTGGGACTGCCCAATATGCAACCGACCACAAACGCCTGACGAAAGACAGTTCAATGAGCACATTGATCTATGTCTCTCGAGGCAAACTATTCGAGACGCCATTCAGCAGGTGGCTGCTTCAACCCCTCCACCCGGCAAGCCCAGTATTCCTGAAGCAAAGAAGAGCAAAGATAAGAAGAGAGGAAGGCAGTCAACAGCAGCCGATCCTCGACAGAAGAAGCTTCGGTTTACATGAGAGCAAGCTGTGGTGCGATGGGCAGTTAGCTTTCTACCAAGTGATGATTGGTGGAAAGGGAAGCACAATCTCAGGAAAAGTAGATACCTGCCTTTATAGGAGCACTGGAAGGCTCACACATCCATGTAACTGAAAAAAACATGTGACTATGTCTTGGTTCAAAATAACAGACAGAGCGCCGAAATGCTGACGATTACGATGCATCGTATTTGCCCGAATGACGAGATCTACATGTTAAAAGCAATGTACGGTTCCGGCCTCACTGTCTCGCCAGAGACGAGCTGACTAGGCTTCACTGCTAACTCGACGGTTGCCCCCCATGCTCATCCTAATCTGATGATCCTCCTCCTCTTCCTGCTCAAGCTCCTCACCGGGAAGTCGAACAGCCCTATCTAGGGCGACCGGTAACCCCCTGTGCCTGCCACGAAGCATGACAACACAAAGTAAGAGTTTTGACACGGGATGCCAACCCCCACAGAAGCTGTAGGAGTCGTGTGGTACTCCAACGCTGATGCCAACGCAGCCATACGCCGACACCACCTCGAATATGACGTTGAAAACACTGAAGTTGATGGGATCTGCCATGAAGTTGCTCGTATTGATGGTAACGATGACCAAAATCGCCAGACTTAACCACCAGAGGTCGTGGGCCAGTTGTCCGTGTATCTGCTGGCTGATGAAGCTGATGCGCGACTCGGGCCTCCGGAGAGAAGAAGGTGGTCGAGCCCCAACACCATGCCATGTTACCGTCCAACTAAACGCTCGGTGAAGTGCTGACAGGCCGCCTTGAGGGGAAACCCTACTGGGTGGCGGTCCGTGATGAGTGAGGGGAGATTGTTCTGGATCTGAATCAAGCGCATCATCTTCAACATAGATACCAAGAGACCGCTCTTCATAGACGTTTGAATGTCGCATCGTGACCACCACCGGGTACGCTGATATATACATCATGATCACATACAAGACTTGCAGTCCGATGTATACTGATGGGATGGGAACAACATAAAACCCACCCGAACGTACGGCTACACCCAGTGGTCAACAGATCAGCAACCATGTGCTATAAAAGAGGACTCGGTTCAGCTTACCAATAGCTTGAAACAACCCATCAAGCACGCGAGATCCAGGAGGTATGCTTTCGATAGGTGGGTTGCCAATGTTGAGAACCTCGAAAGCGACCCAGTCAATGCTGTTCAGCAAAACGAGCATAAACAATAGCCACCAAGTGGCGCGAGCGGGAAAGAGGTTGGTATAGATGCGGCGCGGGTACTGAAGAATAAATTTCAAGGTGTCCTTAAGGGGGTTGTACTCCTCCTCTCGTGTCACCAGAGATAACAACCTCAAGAGAGACCAAACAATGAGCCTCAAAAAGACAGGATAGGCCGTATTGCCGGCGAGAATCATCAGCCCCATGGTGACAAGAACAAAGTATGAGTTCTGAAAGGGAATCATATTGGCATCCAAGAGCGACATTCCTGAATTGTTGAATGCCGAGGCGCCGTTGAATATCCCCAGCCACCAGGGGTTTATGCCATTTCTCAGCGGCGGCTCGGCTTGGTTGTTGTTGATCCAGGCACCGAGCGCGATGCAGCCAAGAGACTGCCAGAGGACAAAGTAGACAGGCACAAGCAAGGCAAGGACTTTGAGCGCTCGATACTCGCAACCGCCTAGCTGTTCCCGTTCTTCGTTGGTCAGGTCGTAGAACTGAGCGTTTCTATTGCTGGAACGATGAGTGAGGAAGCTTCGCATGCCAGAATGACACTTTGTGCCCTCTTCTGGCCTGCCATGAGCGAGTACGCTTCGGTATACTGGCTGGTTATCGAGGGGGACATGTTGGGCCGCTGTTGACGTGGCCTTGATCCCATCGTGGACTTGCATGTTCGGGAGATGAGTGTCTACAAAAGCGATATGAGTGGGATTTGTGTTTTCGGAGGCTTCGACATTGATACAAGCTCGACCAAAGTTGGTGGTGGCATCAGCCTCGGGCCGGTTCGTTTGGGGAAGCGAAACGTGCTGGTTATCTATGGAACTCAGTCTGTAAGCTGCGGGTTGGTGCTGGGCTGTGTGCGATGATAGCGATCGCCGAGATGAACGAAAATTCGGTAATCTGCCGAGACTGAGAGCGCTTCCTCCATGAGAAGTTCGTCGCCGGCGCTCTGATTGAATCACATCCCGGAAGCGTTGCTCGAAGGCGTGTTTCCTCGTCATGACCGTCCATATAGACACCCAGATGGAGCTGCCAAATATGATGAGGAAAAAAAGTAGCGACTGCTGCCACGTTGTCAGTTGACTTAGGTTGACTGTGTTCAAGCCAGCTTCCGTCATGGCGGATACAACCAGGAACAAGCTGTCAGTATAGCTGATGCTCCAAGCTGGACTGGACGACCCCCAAAAGACAAGTGACGAGACCAGACAAACGCTGATGAAGTAGGCATAATGGATGGTTATGAAGTTCAACGGCGGGAGCCAAGAACGACAACGAGAGATAAGTACCACGGCCCGAGGGTGGTTTTGCGCAAGTTCACGCCGTCGACGCGACATGGTATGGTGGACGCTCTGATGAGAGCTAACAGCAGCAAAGCTGACGTAGTCGAGGGACAGGTCCGAACCGCATCAGGCTATGCGTCTAGATGTCGTGGGGCTTCGCGGGGACCTGCTTGTTTATAACTGGCAGTGGTCCATAGGTGAAGGGTCTCAGTCTTGTATACCGGGTATCGAAGAGGTATGAAGTTGGAACAGTCCTCACAGACGTTTGCTTACCCACATCATTCCATGTGGAGGGAACGTTATGGACTAACTTTGACGGGAAGGCGCAGCTGGGGTCAACGGTGCCGAGGCGGCTTGCTCGATGAACTCAAAACGTTTAAATCAATTCATCTGATCTTACATGGCTGTCTTGTCAGCATTCTAACCAGCAGATTGCGGGCAGAGCTTTGCACCTATCCGACTGGTAAAGGAGGTACACGCCTTCGTGTCATTTTCGGCTGGCTTGGAAGAGCCTTCAAGCTGATTGCAATTATGAACCGTCAAGGTTACCACACCCAGGCCGAGTTATACTGGGAACAAAGCAATCCTGCCCTGTTTCACTCCACATGAAACGACAGGCCACAAGCCAGCAGTTAGTTCACGACGCCATCAATGAAAACATCGACATTGTCACTGACAAACAAGCCAAGATGAAACAACTGTGAGACTCGATGAACATGGACCGGAACTTTGCATGGCTCTCTTTTTCTTTGTGTATCTCTCAGTGTGTATATATACAGACCCTTGTACAAGATACCGTTTTCTAGAGCTCGTTGTGCTCCTGAGTATCGTCGGTGTCGGCAATGATGGTCTCAACAACCTCAGCCGCCTGCTTGGCGACGCTGGCCACCTTTTCAACAACCTTCGCGCTTGCCGTGGACTCGGGAGCATCGGTGGCCGACTTGGTAACAATCGATTCGGGTTTTGGCACACCCTCAATGCCAACCAATTCCGTTTCGAAGACTACAGTGATGAAATGGATTGTTAGTAATTGTACATCACAGCAAAAGAAACCACAGGAGACACCCCGGGTGGGCTGATGACGCACCAAGAGTAGATCCAGCGGGAATAGGTCCAACATTGCGGTCACCATAGCCGTAGCTTGGGCCAATGGTCAATGTCCGCTTCTCGCCGATGCACATATCGACGAGACCCTCGTCCCAACTAGGTGATTGATGTTAGCCTTCGCTCCTCATTTGCAGTTGAAGTTGGACCGTTGGGCGTAGATACCCCTTGATAACCATGCCAGCTCCAAGCTTGAATGAGAATGGCGATTGACGGTCGTAGCCTGGAAAGCACGCTGTTGTCAGCTTCGATCGACCATCGCTTCGTCCCAAAGCCCCCATGCAGGTGCCAGAGACGGAGGGCAAGCACGAGACTAACTCGAATCGAACTTCTCGCCATTGGACTTGAGTGTGCCCTTGTAATGGACATTGATCTTGTCGCCCTTCTTGGTTACGCGATCGCACTCAACGGGGAGCGTGACATCGATCTTGAGGTCATCGGAGGCGAGGACGCCGACAGCTGCCGAGGCGAGCAGGGAAAGCGAGAGCAGAAGGCCTTGCATTTTGAGGTCTGGAGTGAGCTGCGGGTGATATTAGACAGGCAAATCTCACAGCGGGTTTGGGCGCGGAGGGCACGAACAAAATGGTTTCTTGGTGGTTGTGTTTACGAAATACCCAGAATGTGGTTTGTTGGCTGAGTGCTTCTGGCCAGCTGGTCAATAGACAGCTCCAACCCCAATGTGTTTCGTGGCAATGGCCCCTGTAGGCACCCACACTAGCATCGCTGACGGAATTACCCCACAGTGCTTGATTTGTGCCAAGCCAAAACTCCATCTCAAACATTAAAGCATCCACCGTCACCAAAGCAGCACAAGAGCAATGCTCAACTCACTTGATGATGGCCTCCCATTTTCTGCTCCGAACTCCCCGTCATTTTCGGTGTCGGTCATGTCGGCCTGGTAGGCCGCGAACCACTGGTGTGCTTTGCCACATTGCCTGCGCTACAGATTCGACAGGCACACTGGCCCCGCAAACAAGGGGTAATCATGGATGACAACGAGGCGGAATGCACCAAGAACAAAGCCCTTCTTCTCACTTGTGAGTAACGACAAACTTCCTAGATTCCGGTCATGGTCTCTGAAATCACTTGAAGTCAAAAATGTCAGTCAATTAAATTTGGGGGCGTTCTTGGGTCGAAATTGTTGCAGCTGTTCAATGAAGGCCCAAGTATCGTGAAGCACTTGGCAACAACCAGGTTGAAGACCAAAGGAGAACCACAAAACTCACCGAAAATCGAGGGCCCATTTGCCTTTTGAGGCAGTGACCACCCTCAATATCTCAAGGCACTCGTCGGGGCGTTGTGTAGTCTTTTTCCTGGGCTTCATCATCATGAGTCACTCATCCAGCCACCAGAATATCTATGCTGGGTTCAAACTCGACAGTTCCATCAAGTTCAAGGCAACAGCAAACTACTGCGCCGTGCCAGCCCCCAGAAAATCCAGGCAACAAACGACTCGCAAAGTCAAAGGGCCCCGAGCTCAGGGTCTTCCCTGAGGCATACGCAGACAAAGCATCAATACGCGTCGTCGTCAACGTCAATGTAGTAGGTTGCAATGTGAGGCATTCGCAGCCGCTAAGCCAAGCTGTCTGCCCGTTGGCCCCCAGAGAGGGACGCGCAACTTCGCTGCTTCAGCTGACCGAGCCCTAAACTGAAGTCCTGGGGGCACCTCACCTGGTGAGACCTAGGACTCTCTGCCCGCCAGGCTTTACGCCCTGTCGGCATCGCAGACACGACTCGCAGCGGTCGTTGATGCGATGCCAGTAACCCAAGATGTACCCGTTGCAAAGTACCCCTCCAAACCCGAGAATTCCATATGCAGCTGACCTGCAGGTCCGGCTGTCACGACACCCTGCTGTGGCCGCCATTAGAGGAGCTTTCACCCCCACCATCAAGGTCTCTTTGTTGACATGGATGGCCGCCCCCTGGATCTTTTGACTCACGCATTCGAACAGACCGATCCACTCCCAATAGGTTCCTAACAATATAAGCGAAGGATACAAGGCACCGAGCTCTTCCCCAGGTTATGAGACTTGGCCTTGCGGTCTGCCTGGGGTTTGGCATGTCCTCACCGAAGCACTGAGCACCGCCCCTGGTATGATGCCTTGTCCCTAATCGCCTCCACGACTGGGGGCGCAAACCTATTCTAGCTTGGGCCGTCAGGATAATGGTTTGTGGTTCGCTTTCATCGTTTTTTCTCAAACTCGTTTTTTTTTGTATATATATCCTCAGTCCCAAACCATGTTGCCCAGTGCTATTCCTCACCCGACAAGCCCTCGAAAATCCATCACTCTGTAACCTACGGCCCAATTCCACAATATTCTTTACAAGAAGCCTCTTCCACCTACTTTTCAGAGTAACGTTTGCCATGCCTTCCTATAACGGTTCCAAACATAGTACCATTGTTCACCAAAACCCAAGCCGCTCATCATCAACCTATTACTCGAACAATTCTTCTGGCAGCCGGTCATCCAGCCACTCTACTCACTCACACACCACGACCTATACGATGGACTACTCTACCTCATCTGGACCCTATGGGCACGACCAGGCCCAATACCGATCTCCTTATGCAAGTAAGTTGTCACCGCACAATCCCCGAGCCAATCTAGCTGGTACTAACCTCATAATGCAGAGGATTACAATGTCGACGTGTCAAGACATGGCAGCACTGTTGTCATCAATCACCATCGTCCCAATCCAAGCACTGACGAGCCAAGAGCCTCAGAATCTCGAGGTGCCTTTACTGTCTATGGCAACAAGCACAAGGATGATAGGCGCAAGGATAACAGTCGAAACTAAGGCTTGTTTGGGCGTCCGATGTAGCAGTGAGAAAGTATCTACTTGCATGGTCTCGGCGTTTCTGGTGGTTTTTTTGAGCATTTTCAGGGAAATTGTAGGATATATGGGATGGACTTTTGGACACACAACACTGTACCGTACTAGACATCATCAGCTGGGCGTTCATGATTGAGGAATGGGGCTATGGCGATTAGGGTAGGGGCAGCTTTGACAACACTTTTCTCTTTCATACATTCGGGTTCAATTAGTAGAAAATAATAGACAAGAGCAGCATGGCTGCTTAGAACTGCAAATCTGGTGTTGCAATGTCCCGTCTTCCTTCACTCTGCGGCTTCCAGAAGACTAGCTCACCTCTTCCGTGGTAAGAGCAATGAAATAAGGCCTTGGAACCATCGATTGCTCTGTAGAGTGTGAGATACAAACGAAAATCATGAGTCATGAGAAGCAACAAGAAGCAGGAAGAACTAGAAGGTCGACGGAGAAGATAGAAAGAGGCCTACTATCCAATCAATAACCAATCAATTCTTGCTTTGTCACGTGCTTTTGCACAATTTCCAAACTACCTGCACGACATATATCACAGACATGATGCGTGGCGTCCGGTGTGTGGAACCAAATCTCAGCCTTCACCGGCTTGTGGGTGGACTTATTGGGCAATTGGAAAACCAGACGGTCTTGGAAATGGAAATGAAAATGGAATTCTTCTAGGGTTGCTGTATGTCGTTCCACCTAACCAATGGAACTTCCAATCAGAAGAGCCAGCCACTTACACATGTCATCTATGCCAAGACCATTGTCGCAGCCCAAGCACCCGCAAGGGGGGGCTACTACGCACACAATGTGTACCGAGTCGGTACTATCAGAGAAACTTATTGGGATAGGGAGAGGATGGTTTGTCATGTGCGCGCCTGCAGTGACAGTTAAGTCTCTAATTTCCTGATGATTGTTAGCTTGCCCCGTGCGGCTCCCACGCTGACAGGCATTTAAGGTCAGCATCAGCCTTGTTCAAATCACAGACACCTGCGTGGTCGCCACTGCGGAAGTATCAACAAAACGACCAGAAAAAAATTATAACATAAAAGCGGAAACCCAGTCAGTTCGATACCATACAAATTTCCTGTACTTCCAGCGTATGCTTTCGTCACCATTTGTGACTGCCGATGATACCATCTTGGGGTCAACCCTAGTTTCACATGGGAACAAGATACCCCACCAGACCACTACTCTCCCTACGCACCGCCCTCCCTCTTAGCATATTCGTCCTCGATAGCCTCGGCGTACTTGTCCTCGGGCGAACGGGGGTCCTCGTGGATGATGTGTTTCTCCAACACTGTCTCTGGCGCAGGGCGATGGGCGATCTTTTCATTGAGGGAGTCGGCACGCATGTGTTTCTCGAGCTGTAGAAGATAATGCAGGTTAAAAGCTGTGTTTGTGCAGCACCATGGTGCTCTCAAACAGGAACGGACCTCTTTCTGTTGGGCTTGGATAGCCGGCGCTGCGGTTGAGGCGGGAAGTATGTTTTCTAGGACACGCGTGAGTCAGGCCATGACAGCCACAAGAGATTCCTCAGAACCAGGGTGTGAGTCTGAATTACTATTAATGAGCTCCTGGCGATCTGGGCGATGCGCCAGGTGGTGCTCGAGCGAGTTCTTCCTGGCTGGGTTGGGTCGACTGGGCGAAATGGGAGTCTCGTCGACAGGGGCTTGGCTTACGACATTCGCATCTTGGTCGGTCATTTTGATGAGGTTTCGTTTTGATGTTTGTCCAATTTGATCGAGGAGTAATTGTGTTGGGCAGTGATGAAGCCAGAGCAAAACCAGTGCGGGGAACCACAGCTGCTTTTGTATCACTCTCTTCAATAAGAGCATCCCATTCCTCGTCCCCTGTGTTGTCGAGGCGGGGAACAACAGGTGATTGGATCACCCCACAACACGGAAGGGGCAGCGGGGACAAACAAGTAGCTGCTATCCTTGACCAGGTAACAATGACGCATGATCAACACCCCGCAACAGGGTCCCCTTGTCCCGTCCCGCCTGGCTGTTATAATTTGGAATGGGAAATCACACTGCACTACCATGACTGTGACGACAACCGCGATTAACCATATTCCCATAGCGTTTGCAGTTTAGCTGATATTTGGGATGGGAGGCACTCGGATGCCCTGAGGAGCCTAGCTTACCTAGACGCATTCTTGCACTGCCCGTACTTTCCTCAACGCGGTACCTATCATAGATGCAACAGAAGGATGGAAAGATACCGCCAGCACAGCCAAGCAGTGCGAACCGAAGCTTATGTGGGGCACACGAGGCGACTGCTTTAGCCCCAACTTCTTCCCGTGTACTCCAACCTACACTTCCTCATCGATACACCCCGTACATGTAGTTACCATGGGCCAAACTCAATCAGACCAAAGACGGCCTCCTCCGTCTCGAGAGGAGTTGACTAAGGAATTGGCAAGTACCAAGTCTTTTCTCACTTCCACATGACCCTCTAACCAAGTGGCTTCTTCAACACAGGCCGCCAAGTTTGCCGACAAATGCTTCACCTCTCTTGAGATCTACTCATTCAAAGAGGTCTTCAAGAGTCTCGCAGACCAGGAACAGAATGTCCGCCATCTCAAAGAGGATACCATTGCGCGCTTTCTTGAGATACCGGATGTGCTGGGTGTGTCGCCAGTTATATTTCAGATGATATCATATATAGGCGCTTTTCCATTCTTGCGAGATGCTCCAGCAGTGCTGGGCTTGGAGGAAATGGTCATGGTCATCACCATTATGACCGATCGATATCAGAGGGTATTAGCAACGGGTGCTGACGACAGGAGGAAATTGCTGTTCAAGAGCCTGGCTGTCTATGACCGGAAGCTGTCCGAACATGTCAACAGGGACAAGTCGCCTGTCATCGACGGCTCAGGAGCGCCCGCTAATTCCTCACACGCTTCTGGTTTTGCTGTCGACATTGCAGGAGATGATGAGGATGACCTGGGTTGTGAGGATGAGGACGACCTTGTCCTTGCTGCCTTGGATTTGCTGGATTATGCCAACGTTGGCAAACTTGGAGATGGACCCCCACCCAATCACGCCCTGATTCCGGCGGGCAACTTGAAGAAGATCATCGTGTTGCTGCTTCTCGTTGCTCCATTAGGCGCCCAGGAGAGCCTATCTTCACATGCGAATCGTGTTGTTGGGAAGGAGCTTGAGGAATTGGGGGTCGTTGCTGACTGTATCGTGGCGGCTTTCCTCGACGTAGAGCATTCACCGGGCATCAGGTTTTCTCGGTTCAATTCGATAATCCCTTCGTCGATGCCATTCGTTTTCTCTGGGTTCACTCCTCTATTTGAACACTTTTTGTTCTCCAAAACTCTCGACTTCCACAAACACGTGGGCGGCTCCACTGTCGTGCCTGACGTGGTTCAACCTCTCCTGCAGGACAAAGGCTCTCTCCTTAACCTGAGCATCATGTCGCAGCTCTCTTTCTTCATTCCCGGCGAATCTCTCTTTCGCAAGCTCCGATTACTGTACGCAGGGGGGGAAGATGGGTTCAGCATGGGCAGTTTTGAAACGAAAGTCTTCAACTGGGGAGCACCGACCATACTGCTGGTACATGGGATCTGTCTACCGGACAAAACCCATAGGGCAGGTGGTGCGGAAACGGCATTCCTGTCAACACTACCCCCACGGCGATACCCCTCTGGGAATCGCGCCATTGGCGAGAGAGTAACGTTTGGGGTTTACCTGAGTCAGCCATGGAGGCACACACATCGCGAGTGCTTTGGGGATTCGGATTCGATACTGTTTCAACTCCAGCCTGTGCATGATGTCTTCCGAGCATCCCCGAGCAACAAGGACTATGCTTCTTTCACAAAACCCTCGGCATCTACCCCGATTGGCGGCGTGTCATTTGGCTGCCCACCACCGCAACCTACACAAGCATATCGCCGGTCAAGCACCATATCAATGGGCCCCGTATCGCTTGTCATGGATAGCAGTTTCGAATTTGGATGTTTCACCCACAACTACACCTCGCGAGGTAGTAGTGCTTTCCAGGGAAGCGCGTGCAGGAAATTCGACTTCCAAGACCGCTTCGAGATTTCAGATCTGGAGGTCTGGGGTTGCGGCGGGGACGAGGAAGCCAAGCACCAGGCTGAGCGATGGGCCTGGGAGGCTAGAGAGGCCGAGGCGAGACGGAGAATCAACCTTGGGACGGGTGATATCGAGGCCGACCGTGCCCTCTTAGAGATGGCTGGACTCATAGGGGGGAATCGAAGTGGTGGGAGTATGATGTAAAGAAGATGGCAACCATGGCAACGGCTCGCCAGCGCTCCATAGAGGGGAGAGAGTAATGCATAATACAATTCATTTACGCCCACATCAAGCGTTGAAACCTGTGCTGGAATATACACCCTCTCATCAGCTTTGCAAAATGAGACGAATCAAGACGAGAAACCATCCTCATCACTGTCAAGAAAGTACAGCTTCATGGAGAAGGTGCATTTATCTCACATATCTTACATTGCCCGACATCGCAGCCTGGATCTCTGTGAGCTGCCGTTACAGCCATCCACTTCACCCTTAGTTCTTCGGGTCTTCTGGCTTGGACTCTAATGCCGGTGTTGTGTCTTCTGGTGCCTTTTTGGATCCGCCAAACCATCCACCGAGTGAGCCAAGCACCCCTCCATCCGCCTGGTTCGCCTCGGTTGAGGTGGCCTCGCCTGTTTCGGTTTTTCCAGCTTTGGACTCTCTCAAGGCTGCCCTTGCCTGAGCAGCAACACTTTCGGTGCCTGTGCCACCAGCGCGCTCAGCTGCCCTCTTCCGCCTCTTGTCAAGCCGTTCTTGGAGAGCCTTCTCCTCGGCATCGCGGGCTTCCAGCTCCCTGATCCACTTCTGATGCTTCTCCTCGGCATCCTTTTGCTGCCGCAGCTTCCAAAGCTCCTTCTGCTTGTGGCGGTCGGCCTGGTAGTACATGCCGCCAGCGACCATGGCAACAACGGTAAATGCCTGGGCGGCCACACGGGCACGGAACATCTTCTGCACCTTTGCATGGTCACCGCGGCGCATGGCACGGTAGGCGTTGGTGAAGGCGGCAACGGTGAGGAGACATCCGATTGGGACGAGCGGTTCCTCCTTCAGGCGGCGAAGGACCTTTTGGAAGCCATTCTCATTGTAAAAGTCACTGTGGCGGGGCGCGTGTAAGTAGTGGTGCTCCTTTAGGAAACAATGGCAAGCAATATGTAGTGGTCGGGACTCACTCGTTGCTGTCAAATGACGAGGGAAGGGGTCGGTTGGAGAGGGGTCCGTTCGACATTGTAGAAATCCGCCTCGCTGATCCAGGGAAGATCGAATGCGGTCTTAGGAAAAGGGGGTCGTGATGATTGGTGGCGTTGGGGGAATCGTTCGAGGTTGGTTTCCAATGCGGGCCCGCCCATGAATGAATGAATTTCCATGACGCCAGCTAAGGTGGGGATCTGAACGGGCACACGCCCGGGCGGCGGGCAACGGGCGGTGTGGATCCCAACCCCAGCCGCCAAGAGACGCCCTGCAGGACCCACCAAAACTTTCTTTCCTTCAAAAGTCGGCCGAGACCGGGGCCTTCCCAACAGAGAGTGTGTGCATCGTCAGTCTTCTTGCGACTTCAACGACTGTCATACTGAAATGGCTTCCACAAATTCGAATGCACCTCGTCATGAGGGGAGTGTGGCAGAGCAGACGGCCGGCCATGTTAACGGTGACTATGTGGTCAATGGCGTGCCACAGCTGCCCACCGCATTCCGCAACGGCAACGGCGGCCTTGGTGCTGGGGGTTTGCCCAGGAACATGTCGCTGAACAGCTTCGCTCTGACAGAGTACAGCGCAAAGCCAACACCCCCCGCTGAAGACAAGAAAGATGAAGTGAAAAAGGTCGTGCCAGACGAGTATCTGCTACCGAATGGTAACCCAGATGTGAGTCACCCCGAGTCCATTCTTAGTTTTTGATCGAGAAGCTCATTATCCTACGTGTACAGTATCTTCGCCTTATCATCACCTCCTACCCGCGGGTGAGAGAGGTGTGCAAAGAAACTCCTTTGGTGCACGCTGTTGGCCTGAGCAACCGACTGGAGCGCAAGGTCCTGTTGAAGCGCGAGGATGAGCAACCGGTATTCAGTTTCAAACTCAGAGGAGCGTACAACAAGATGGCTCATCTCGACGCTACCGAGTCCTGGAAGGGTGTCGTTTGTTGCAGCGCTGGCAATCATGCTCAGGGCGTTGCTTACTCGGCCCGCAGGTTGAAAATCCCAGCCACTATTGTGATGCCCAAGGGCACACCAAGCATCAAGCATCTCAATGTATCGAGAATGGGCGGACACGTTGTTCTTCACGGCGCCGACTTTGACGAGGCCAAGGAGGAATGTGCTCGGCGGGAAAAGCAGGATGGCCTGATAAACATTCCCCCGTTCGACGACCCTTATGTTATTGCCGGCCAAGGAACTATCGGTATGGAGATTCTCTCACAAACAAACCTGCAGAAGCTTGATGCCATCTTCTGCTGCGTGGGTGGAGGCGGCCTGATCGCCGGCGTTGGTGTGTACGTCAAGCGTATTGCACCGCATGTCAAGATCATTGGCGTGGAAACGTACGACGCGGATGCGATGACTCAGTCTCTCGACAAGGGGGAGCGTGTGCTTCTCAAGGATGTTGGGTTGTTCGCCGATGGCGCCGCGGTCAAGATTACGGGCGAGGAAACGTTCCGTATTTGTCAGGAGGTTGTGGACGAAATGGTTCGGGTAACCACAGACGAGGCCTGTGCCGCTATCAAGGACATGTTTGAGGATACCAGGTCTATCATTGAACCAGCTGGTGCCCTGGCCATTGCCGGTCTGAAGAAGTGGGTGGCCGCCAATCCAACCCCGGATCCTACACGGTCTGTCGTGGCCATCACATCCGGCGCAAACATGAACTTTGACCGCTTGGGCTTTGTTGCAGCCCGTGCTACGTACGGCGAGGGAAGAGAGGCTTTACTTGCAGCCCGCATCCCAGAAAGCCCGGGAGCCTTCGCTGAACTCATCAACGCCGTCATGCCTCACTCTGTCACCGAGTTTAGCTATCGTTACGCCAGCCCAACTGAAGCAAATGTGCTCCTGGGTATCTCATTAACCGCCGTTGGTAGTGAACGCGCACAGCAACTGCAGTCGGTTATCAGCCGCATCAAGGAGTCCGGCACCATGGATATCACCGATCTGTCCAACGACGAGTTAGCAAAGAGTCACATTCGATACATGGTTGGTGGCCGTTCTAGTGTGCCTAACGAGCGTCTGTACACATTCCGATTCCCAGAACGGCCCGGTGCTCTTGAGCGCTTCCTACAGACCTTGCGTGTCAAATACAACATCAGTCTGTTCCAGTACAGAAACCACGGTGGTGATATTGGGCAGGTTTTGACAGGCATCGTTTGCCCGAACGAGGAGATTGGCGAACTAGAAACATTCCTCAAGAAGATCGGCTATCCGTGGGAGGACTGCACAGATGCACCGGTGTTCAAGACATTCTTACGGTCGGAGTCATAGACCGTTAGAGATAGAGGATAATGGTTAAGACTTCTGCAGTTTAGATGGAGAATTATACTGTAAATCAGTTGCCGAGAGCTTTTCGCAGGCCTCTGTATTGTTGATTTCGATTAGTATTTTCTTAGTTAATCAATAGTTCCATGCCTAATAAGATACAGAAAAAACCAGGGAAAAGAAAACCAAAAGAGAAAATATAAGAAAGAAGTTTAAAGTATATAAAGAAAGCGTAAGTTAAATATAAAATATAAAAATGATAATAAAGTTATTTACAACAATTCAAATTTAAAAAAAAAAGCTATAAGAAACTATAGGCATATAAAATATACTTAAATAGTAACTTTATCTACTATATTAAAATAAAAAACTAAACTTTAAACTAAGAGATTCATAAAGCCTTAAATATGGATAGTATTTTAGTATCTTTAAAAAATATTAAAAAAACTATTTTTACTTTGTTAAAAACTAATAGAATATTACAAGTTACTTAATTAATATTAATAAATTTCAAATAACAAATAATTAATTTCTTTCTCTTAAAAAAGCATCTGAGCGTAACGTAAAAAGCCAGAACAGAAGCCCTGCCTACTATTAAAACCAAAAAATTAATACTAATAATAAAACACTAAAACAGCCCTGAATAGTAGTATCATAAACCTTACAAAATCTATATGAAAAAACCTTTCTTTTATAATAGGTTATTAAATTAATATTAAGAATTTATAATAGTAATATAATATTATTTCTTATTAAATATTGGAAAACACTAATTATTTATTATAAAGTTAAATTCCAGCGTTTGAAATACGATATTCTATTTAAAACTATATATAATCAAAACTATATTTATTTCCGTTATACCTAAAAAATTTAGTAACATATGTAAATTTAAAATTATATTATCTTAGCTTTTAAATTACCAGTGCGACGAACTCCTATCAAGAACCTCTGAAAGCGATACTAGTCGAAGGCTGCTTCTGAACAATCCTAGTTTGGTACAGCTAAACAGTGTACAACAATGGCTCATCTCAATCACAATAATCAGGATACCAACCAATGTGACTTGTAATTGCATACTGCGGAACTGTCTATCTAACACTGGCCAGTTCCTCCATATATATACAAGTGGATCACCTGGATCACCATGCCCAGCGTGATCTTGGATCACTTCCTCCAGCGTAGGCTCACTATGGATCACTCCTGTCACCTTAGGATCACTTGGATCACCTTGCCCCTAGCGCTCCGAAGCGCTCCGCTTCCTATTAGCTCCTTTAACGATTGGCTGGGTACATCCCGTGCCCCGCATACTGTGCAACTTGCCTGTTAGCTTAACGGTAACAACCGGTTATTAATAATTATCGAATAAATATTTATACTTACGATGTATTTTAACTTTTCACTCTTCATGGATTTCGGATGCATAATCTTAATATATTTTGGCTTTAAATCAAGAATTAAATAGAAAACATACTTTAAAAAACTGTTACGGATTTTAAAACTAATAAAAGATTTATTAATATTATCATAAAATTTAAAGATTTTAAATAAATAAAAAAACTAAATTAAATATAAGATTTATTTTTTTCATTAAAGTAAAAAAACTAATACCGCAACAAGATAGGACTAAAAAAAAACCTTATTAGTGGTTAAAGATAACGAAAATATTTAAAAGGAATTAATGTATCAATATTTTATAATTCTTGACTTTAACTCCTATCAAAAGATCTACTACCCGTCAAGACCTAACTAACTAGGTCCCTACAAATAGAGAAAAGAAATTTTTAAGTAAAATAAATAGTAAATTAATGTCTAATATTATTGTTAATGTGTGGGTACTACTAAGTGCCCTACTTACTGCCCTACAAATTAATATTACAGTGGGCAGTACTGCTATAAGCAGTAATGGAACTTCCCGGCTTGGATCCCTTTAGAATATTCTTTACAAGGGACCTTTGAAGGCTTACAGGGCTACTGTGGCCTGAGGCTTAGTCAATAGATACTAGAACCTTCCAAAGTAGCTACAAGCTTACGCAGTAAGTTGCCACAATAGTGTGATTTACAGGGCATCTTTGCTACCGAAGGTTCTATAGATTTCCGTGAGTCTACACTAGACCCACCTAAGCCCACCAAATACCCCAAAGTGGTATAGGGGCTTCCAGGGCCTACAGGACCCACAGTAGGCCTACGAAGGCCTATATATAGACCTCTCCTCTCTCCTATAGAATAGTTCCTTTCTTTCTTTCCTTAAGGGCAAAAGTTTAAGGTTAAAGCCAAAAGCTAAGGCCAAAGGCAATAAAGGCAATTCTTATTCCTTATACCTCACTGTATTACAGTGCTTTACCTTCCTTCGGCACTGCCGTCGTATCCTCCTGCTTCCGCTTGCGCACTGCTGTATTTTACAGCAACCCTGTATAGGTTCTATATTATAGGCCTATCAGGGCTCACCAGCTAACAATTATATTTTCTTTTATACTACTTGAAGAATTTATTATACTGGTCAACTTTTTATATAATAAAAAAATTGGGTTTTTCATATGGTACTTTTTGAAGGGTTGGTAGCGCTATTATTTAAAGCTTTATTACGCTATTATTTAAAGCTATTTTATCTCTTTGGGTCTAGCATTAATTTTACCATTTTATTAGAAATTAAAGTTATTATTACTGTTGTTAACATTATATTATGGCACTTTGTTTATATATATTATATTATAGTACTATACTTTCTTTATAAAATTATTTACTATGAAGGTAATAGAAAAATAAACAT